GAGAAATAGAAACCTTGTTTCAGTTCTCATTTTCTCTGTACTCTCTCTCCATAAAGTCTGCCAGGTGCAAAGTACAGAGTTCATAACAATGACAGACCCTGGTACCCGTTAGCAAAATGAAGATGTGTGGATTTCTACATTTAAATGTATCTCTTACACCTCACAAATACATACAGTATTTGTTAAATATAGAGATAAGCAAACATTGAATTCTCCTTTAAAATTAAAAATCACCATAAATTTGAAAGTTAAACGTATGTATTTGGTAGTTATACTTTGCCATATATTTAGATGTGCAAGTTAGTAAGTAGTTCCTGTTGTTATAATGTACCTTAGCAGAGATCTCTCTTCCTTAGCATCACCCAACAAAGCAGAGAATAAATGCTTTTTCATAACATATAAAGTCATATGGGGTGTTTGTCTGTTCTACTATAGCGTGGGTGGCCAGGAAACAGCTCTTCCTGTTCCTTCACCACCAGCAAGAGGAGTCATATGGGGCCTTCTCTGATGCCTGTAATCATGCAACTGGTGGCCAGACAGCATATCTCCCAGTGTTTAAAACGAACACTTTCATTTTACGCTGCGTGGCTGGGAAGCAGCACTAGTGCAGGACATTTTAAAAGGAATTTGTGACCTACTGATAAAGAGTCATGTGTCTGAAAATGTGCACAGTCTACACAGACTGATTTCTAAATACATTTATTGTTTAAGGACGCATTTCCATAAGAATTTATTGCAGAGAAGCTATCGTATAATACATAGGGGTGTATACACTAAACAGTGAATTGTGGTAGATGGAAAATTACATTTCAAAATCTGTGCGTAAAAGGGTCACTCACCAAATCCCAAATTCTAGCACGTTAAAACCTGAATTCACAAATTTAAGGGTTACTCTAACTAAACAACACATCCATTTTACTTTAAAATACCCTACTGGGATTACTAATTATGTACCCCCTCGAAATGTAGCATATATATATATATATATATATATATATAGTGACATTTACATGTAATCCAATGCCAGGCAAAGCTCCCGACACTCCTTTCCATCCTTGTCTGTTGTCACAGGCTCCCTCACGCAATCCAAATTCTTTTCAAAAAGACCTTTGTCACTGATTCTGAGTGCAGGTGTGCGCTCTGAGCCAATGAGGAGTGGGAGTGGATAAGGTGTATTAAAAAAGTGACAGATGCAATGTTCGCACAGAAAGTCAGGTGTGCCGGGAGTGCAACTAGTCACAAACGTGCAAATATCTCACTATTCAAAACGTTGCGCATATAGACTCCTACAACCCTGACTACTTATAAAAGCAGAAGTGGTTATGGTTGGAGTAACCATTTAAGGCTAAAGCAGATGATATAGAAAAAAATGTCCAACTCCGCTACAGACACAACATGGACATTCAAGGGACACTCTAACCACCAGAACGAATTTAGCGTAATGCTTTGATGTAAAGAGCCTGTTTCTACACTCTCTGTTACATTTGTTCCGAAGGTGGTCCTCTTCAACCTGTCGTTCCTGTAAGCTTTCTTGTAATTATCCTATTTATAGTTAAATCCCCCCTCTCATAATATTGTAAAGCGCTGCGGAATCTGTTGGCACTATATAAATAATAATAATAATGACACTTCTTCTGACTGTCATTCAGACAACCACTAGAGGTTTTTCCTATTACGTTGGTGCAATATTGGACAAATGGCATCCTCACACTCAGCATGAAGACAATAAACACTCCCCATAGATATGCATTAATATACCGCTTATGTGTAGTGGGACAAATAGTGAGTAAATATTTCTCGTCCTACGCTAAGTAGACATGAAATAACTGATATTAGAAATACATTCTTGTATATTTTGAATTCCGTCTGCAATTCAGATTTTAATCTGCTACAATTAGAGCATAACCCTCAGCTCATTTTCCATGTGGTCTATTTCAGTTTAGTTTTTGCAGTTTCACAATTCACAATTTGAAATAAAAATATGTACCAGAATGGAACGAGGAAATAAAATATTACAAGAGATGCATTAAGGAATATTTTGGCACAAATAAGGGAATAACTAGGCACACACAGGAAAAGTGTCACCAAAAAAAATATATAAACACAACACTTTTTATATATATAATCTCCATAATTTCTCTTTCTCCTTGTCTCTATATACTATCCTAAACAACGGTGATTTACAGGCAGCTAGAGCTGGAATGTGACATAACAAACATATATCTCTTAAATATATACGGGATTACGCATAGTAAACGATGTTAAAAATCCTAGGATGTGATGATCCCCCTTTACACAACACAGTCACTCCTCTATATTACATTGGTTTAAGGAGAACTGCCCTGACATCCAATGAAGTCTTGAATATAATCTAGCCTAGGATTTGTTCATCTGAAAAACATGTTGACCTTTCAGTTCCCCCAGATCTGTTCTTTTGGCTGTTCTAGACAAGGATTCAGAACTCGTATCCTGGTGGCTGTGTCAATCCATGAGTCTGGATATTGCCTCCTCTGGAGGCTTGGAATACAAAGAATGCAGAGGATGCTTGGGTTTTGGCCAAAGACTCATTTTTTCCATGATGTCAATTCATGGTGTTCTTTTTCTTTGCATAGTTTTTTTTTTGTTTTTTTTATTGTGTTTAAATTTAACTGCCCAATATGGGGAGGGGGACTACTGGCAGTTAAGGGGTGATGATCTAAGATAAGTTTTAGGAGAACATGAAGTGATATAATTTGGTGATATTAAATAAATTATACATGGGGTTTATTTGCTAAACTGTGAATTGGGAAACTGAACAAACATATTCTCAAACTTTTGTCAAAATTGTTTAACTGGATACATAGTTAGAAATCTTTTATCAAAGCTATTAGGTTTCCTGTTTGTAATTCTTCTGTTAATGTGTCACTAGTTAAGTGCTCAGGTTATTGTGACTATTATTTTTACATTTACTCTAGAAATCTGTCTGAAGGCCTTTGCAGTCCATAAAACTGTCATATATCAGCGGTGTTGGACATGGGTAGCTGTAGACTGAATCTTAGACATCAAGAATAAGTTTCATAGGAATAGTAATCCACCACAATTCATATTCCTATACCCACAACTGTCCTGGGTTTGACAGGGTCATCTCAGGTTGGGTCCCTCCCTGGTATCCCCAACAAGCACAGCGTGAGCACATCAGTAGACATGCTCATGCTGTGTTGAGGGCACTAGGACTATGCACAGGACTCCCAACCATCCCAATTTCTGCGGGAGAGTCAGGACTTGCTGGTCCTGTCCCACTGTCTTGACTTAATTCCATAGGATTCCACTTTTGGGGACACCAGATAACTGTCCCCAACAAGCATATCAATACACATGTAAATGCTATATTCATGGCATTTGGACCCTGCAGAAAACACTGAAACAGTGCTCCATGCATGTGTGCCCTTAGTATGCTGGCCTAAACAGTAATAACACAAGGCTGACCTGCCACGTTACATGACTCCCACCGGCAAAGGGCATCTCGACATTACATGGGGCTAGCCAGGGAGGCTGACATGTATCACCCTGTTACTTTTGGGCATCACGAGGGGCATCAATGGCTTGTCCCACTTCCATACCTCACAATGTTAGGGTTAGGAGGTATGCATTCCAAAGTGGGCTTCCAGGAATCTCCAAACTATCAGTACTATACCCCGTTGCCACCGCCGGCACCGCCGCTAAGGGGCCAGTGGCCCAGGGGGCAGGCAAAGATGAAATCTACCTACCTGACCCTGTCCCTGGCGGACACCACCATCCACTTCCTCTTTAACGCCAGGATCCGACATCACTGCTGTACAGTCTCGCATGTGCAAGAGTACAGCATTGAAGTCTATGGAAGATCCTGTGAGACCGTGGGATCCTCCATAGATAGAGCCAATTCCCAGGCGCCATCACTGGTGACGGCTGGAGTATTGACACTTCGAGATTGTCATAGGAAAAATACTGAGGCACAGTAGTCCTTATTTTGTCTTATGTTGTTGGTTGGAAATAGATGAAAAAAGAGGAAGCAATCGGAAAAAGGTATGTAAGTTGTGACAGTGCGGCTTTAATTTGTGGTTGTTGAAAGGACATTCTAGGAAGTAGAATCCCCTTGTTCACTCCCTCCATTCTGTTCCCTTAAAGAAAGATAAGTAAAATATTGTATGTGATCCCAAATATGCCCTCTGCGTACAAAAGTATCAAAACAGGAAAATCAAAATGAGTAAACACGGGTTCCCACACTTATTTGTACAGATTCCGTCGCATAGTTACATGACTTTCTGGGTTATTCATAAAAGTGTGAATTGTGAGGCGTTTCAAATGTTTTGGCCACAATAGCTAAACTGGTAAAAAAAAATCTCCAAATCATCTATATTTCAGTTTGCCAATTTTGTCCTGCAATTTGAAATTCACTTTGCATTTGTGATAACTCACAGTTTAATGAACAGCACCGTGGGTCTTTTCTTGATGTTACTTGGCTTCTGACATTATGTGCAACCCAATCCCCAGTCCCCCTGAGTGTTTTACATTGATATATCCAACATGTGCTCACACGCTTGTTTACCGCTACGGCCCCGCTTGACCATAATGCACAGATACCACAGCACCTCCATTCAGAGGGTTAATTTATTAAACAGTGAGCTGTGGCCTGGTAGAAAATTACCCACAACCAACCTGCAGATGGGTGGATCTTTTTACAAATTCCACAGCTTTTATTCTGCAACTTGTAACTAGTCTATGAAGAAATTACTTAGGGGTTTATTTACTAAGCACTGAATTGCGTTAAACTGAAACGCGCATTTTTGTCTAAAATAACCTACACTGCAGTCGGTGGCTTTAAAAAAATAAATTAATTAATTAAATTAAATTTGCTTTTTTTGCCTAAATGTTATAATTCTATGTTCAATTCATTACAATACGCTGTTTTGTGAATAGACCACTTAATGTGGAATAACATTTCAGCAGAAAACATTGAAATTGCATCAGTTTAACCCCTTCCACCAAAGACAGGCCACAAACACCATAATAACGAGATTAACTAACACCTATTACTGAAATAATGAATCTTTTTGTATCTAAATCCAGATAAAATGCGTGTTTTATGACAGATAATGTATGAATTTTTGCACTTCCTACTCCTCGACTTAATCTCTTCACACTTTTTGTAACATTGTTGTAACGTGCTTGCCCAGGTCAGAACTGAAGGCATTGTTCAGGGTAAAACACTATAAATCTTTTTGCTCTGAAAGACAAACATGTGGAGAAAGAGTTAAAAGACTAAAGCTATTGATTTTCTCCCTCAGGCGGTTCCAAGTAATTTTGTTGGTGAATGAAATGCAGTAATAATAACAGAGTAATAACAGAGCACAAGATTAGTTACAGCATCTTCTGAAGGCTGCACTTCCATAGAAATGGGCAGGAAGTAACAAGTCTCCTCCCTTCTCTGTCATGTCAAGCCTGGCCTTAGCCTCCTTTCTGTCTCTCCTATTGGTGACTGTGAATGGATCAGCCCAGTTTTCCTGGAAAGTTCTTGGAATTGTATCAGTTCAGCTCTGCTCTCACACAGAAGACTCAGACACACACCCAACACAGCTATATATAGCCAAAGCAGAGCATAGCCCATTACATATACCATCAGAATGCTGAGAGAACACAGTGGATTGGACTGATTGTCACAGTGAGGGACATAGCCTAAAGAGTGGAATACAACAACATTCTAGTAGACTTCTGGGGGGCTGGCTGCCTCTGGAGTCAATACGTTTTGGAAGCTGAGATACAAAGACAATTTAGGAACAGCCCATTGAAAGAGAAAGAAAGAAAACAAAGGGGAAAAATACAAACATAACAGAAGAAAATATACCCATCTGGAGAGATTTATGTCTTTTCGCCACTCTTGGACGGATATGATTCTTTGTGTGCAAAGGTAAGAGTCGTGTTTGTGACATCTATGATTAATCAGTTCTGAGTCTCTCTATTATTGTTATCATTATTACTGGCATTTATAAAGCACCAACATATTCTGCAGCGCTGTACAATCGTAGGAAAAGAGACCGTACAGTATAGGCAAACCTATACCATAGGAATAGAGGTGCCTGCTCTGTGCGTTTGACTGTTTTTAGATACACGTTTTCGGAATGTATATAAATCGTTGGTTTCTGAGTTTGGCAGGTGTCTGTGTGTTTGTTCGTCGTAATATATCAAGGTATTTAGGAACCGTGGTGTTTTTATGGGGATTTTTTTAAATCAGCGCAATAGACAAAGTAGGTTACAAAAATCAATTCTGAAGAACTGGATACATTATACGACCAGATAAAGTACTCGTTAGGTACATGGTTTCAAGTCTCGTCTCACCCCACTTCCCTCCCCTCTCCCCCCCTTCCCTTCCTATTAAACTCTCACAGATAATCCCATTTCCCATGAATTAGTGTTGTGTAATCTGCCTTGGAGCAGTTGTCCTGCAATGACTGCCAACATTTTTAACAGGTTTTTGGGTTATGCAGATCTGAGCAGCAAAAACAACAATATCTGTAAATTGGGGTAGTGGGAAAATACAATTTGAATTAACCCCAGACACCAAGCAATGTGTATTAAATATACAAGATGACTGACTACGCAAGGGTTTCATTACTCCCAAATTGATGTCGTTTTGAGAGCTGTTTCAATCTGGTGTGTGGCAGTGTGTGCTCTGATGGCATTTAAAGGATTAACCATTTCACTGCTGGAGTGCACATTTTCAGATGGTAAACTTGCACAATGCACAAGCAGAAACTACGTCAGCTATTTAACCTAAAATTTACTTTGAATTCACTTCCAGTTCCAGACAATTCACAATTTAACGTATAACCCTTTTAACTGTTGCATGTAGATTTTACTACTGAATACAGAACTCTGACCTCTCTTTGTCTCTGCAGTCCACAGAGCCTGTTGGCAGAACAGAGGACTTGTAGATCTTCTTCTTGTGTCGGAGTCCCTGGATTTTTACCAGGTCAAGTCATGCATCCTCCAAATCCAAACCACCCTCGTTGCCGAGGTCAGCCGCCACACTCCTCAGAGGAACCGACCAGAGCAATGGACACCCATGCACCTTCCCAGACACGAACTCGAGATCCTGAAGAAGATCTGCTATGCATCGCTAAAACTTTTTGCTACTTGCGTGAATCTGGTGAGTTCCCCAAATTCACATATATAAACTTTGAAAGACCACAGATTAATAGGGTGGATTGGCTTTGGCATGATAATACTCTATGTTTTGTCAAAAACAAGAATTATTGTCCAACAGCTGTTGGATACTGACATCCATTTGTCTGTGAGGTCAGGGATTGGAGTAACACTCCAGGGTTCATTTAATGAACTGGAAATTGTCGATAGTCAACAAATGTAAGGCTAAAAGACAAATTGGGGAAAAAAATGTTTGTCCTGTTCAGCAATTTTTCTTGTGTGGCAAGTTCAGCTCAACATTCCAATATCAATTCCCAAAAATACCTCAATAACTGCTTTAATGATTAAACCCTTGTAGCTGATGGTTTTGTGGGAGATAATTCAAGATACTAAACACTGAGTTCTTGCTGGTGATCAGTGCGAATAGGGGAGATCACTTCCCTATCCGCAAAGAAATATCCACCACAAAATGTATCCTTATATTTTCAAAAACTATTCTCTGCTTTTGTAAAGGTGAGAAGTAGTTGTATGAGTGTTGAAGGCCTCTAAGAAAGTACAGCTGGACGTCTGTTAAAGCTGTTTATTGGGCGGACGTGACCATATCATCCATAAGACCAAATTAGCTGGTAGACCATCTTAATTTAGAACGTCTGTTACTCCTATGTGCACATTGTGGGGATATGTTACAGTTGTGGAGCAGCATGAAAGAACCTCATCGTCTTTAAAATTATTCATGTGAAATTGAACAGTTTTAATTTTGATATATATGTTTTGCACCATAAACTTAATAAGAGCCCTTGGAATATTCATAAAACTAAAACTGGGTTGAATTTATTTACAGCTGTTGCATTTGGCTAAAGTAAAGGTAAATGATGGTAGGTGTCCAGCAATAGTTGAAGTGAAGGAGCCACCCTGGTTGCCAGCGGTTCCTCACATATAAATGAACTGTCTTATAGTTTACATTAGGATCAAACAGGTAGTGATATCAAGGTTTTTATGGCATGTGAGTTTAACAATATTGTTTATTCAGTTTAACTTTCTGTGAATCTAACAGGTCTTGTTTCTTATCTAACCAGGTTGGTACTGGGGCTCTATTAATGCCACCGACGCCAAGCAGCAGTTACAGAAGATGCCAGAAGGGTTCTTTCTGGTGAGGGACAGCACTCACCATAGTTACCTGTTCACGTTGTCCGTCCAGACTAATCGGGGACCCACAAACATACGCATTGAGTATTCCGACGGCCTTTTCAGACTGGACTCCAACTATTTATGCAAGCCGTACATTATGTCCTTTCCAGACGTTGTCAGCCTGGTCCAATACTATGTTTCTAACTGTAATTCCGAGAGCAGCAAAGAAACCTCCAGGGAGTCCAGTCCATCACCACCTGTGCCACCTTCACCTAAAGAGACAAAAGGTGTTCATTTCAAGCTTCTGCACCCTCTTCCTCATGGTGGTCAAAGCCCCAGCCTACAACATCTGTGTCGATTGCAAATAAACCAGTGTATGGCTCCAGCTTCCAACATGATGGATCTCCCACTCCCAAAAAGAATGGTAGAGTACCTGCAGAGGTACCCATTCAAACTCTGAGTGACAATAGGCAAGAGTAGGTCATGTCTACTCTGCCCATATGTGTGGTGCCATACCAACTCGGAACACATGGACATTGAAATCCCAAGACTGTATAAACTCTAAATATTTATTTCAATTATTGCACCTAAACGTTTTCTAGGATTTTTGTATTTTTCTCAGCAGTTGGTACTTGTCCAGACCATCTTTCCCGTTCACCGCCCTGTGATTCCACCAAAGAACCATCATTACTTTGTAATTGTGACCATGTCAACTGCAAAGGCAATGATGAGTGTCTGGTGCAGTCCAGAGTGGTCCTCCCTTGCTGTTATTTGCAACATGAACTGCACTAAACCACCTATACATATGAGTGTCATAAGGAAGAAATGGAATATGTTACATAGTAGATGGAGATGAGAGAATTCAGACTTCTATGTACTTTATAATATCTGCTGCACTACGGTTCTCCACATAGACAATTTGTGCTGAATTCCAAGTCTTTCTGGATTTGAAGATGTAAAATCTGACAACACTAACTTACTTGACAAGGATGTTTTTAAAAGTTGCAGCACTTTGGGAGTTAAAAACAAACAATCGAACAACCATTTGTTAGGGTTGTGTCTCCAGCTGATGGATATAAATAAATAGGATTTTTTCATATAAATTTGTTATGTCGTTATTACTTCAGAAATCTAATTTTCAACACTTTCCCATGCTCTATTACTGTATATTCACTTTAAAAATCTCACTGCTATAGCCTTCACCCACAAGGCACTCATTAGGCATTATATCTTAAAACACACACCATCTCAACATGATCGCTGTTCTTCTATGTTACCTTAACCCCTTAAGGACCAAACTTCTGGAATAAAAGGGAATCATGACATGTCACACATGTCATGTGTCCTTAAAGGGTTAAAAAAGTGTAAAGGTAGTTACATTTCATTCCACAGACTTCTCTTACACCAACTCCCCAATTCTTTCCAATGACACTTCCATATTACAAAAATGAATTTATTGAAGTTTATTATGAAACAGTGAGTGAATTGCAAAGAATTTGGTCCTAAATCATTAAGATACGTATTTCATCCCAGCTATAGTTAGAGCTTTCCTATTTTTCTCTTAATGTTGAAATTCAGATTTAAATTCACTGTTCAACGAATAGACCTTCATAATTTATACTACAGATAGTCTGTGACAAATGTACTTTTAAAAGTAATTCTAAATTGATTTCATTTCCAAAACTGGCTTTACAGAATACATAATAGAAAAATGTTAATATTACATATAGTTACGTAGGCTGAAAAGAGACATGCGTCCATCAAGTTCAGCCTTTTAAATATTATGGGTAAATAGGGAATATTATGGGTAATAATAATTGGTTGCTAGGGTTACTCTGCTTAATGTATTCTTTTTGGATTCCCATTTGTTATGAAAACAAAAATGTTGAGAGACCTTGGTTTAAACCGTTACTACCCTCTAAAAGTATTAAGAATATTGTCAGTATATCTCTCCGCTTCCTTTCTGCTTTTCCAAACTAGTCTGTGTAGCTGCATTTTGTTGCCACTTGCAGTATTCTGCCAAGCCCTGTACTCACCCCCCTCCCCATTCTGTTCTTAGCTTAACACAGAATTTACCAGGAAATTCTCCTCTGAGCTTTTCTGAGAAAGTAAGCAAAAGTGGGTGGAAGAGAAATGTCTGTAGAGGGAGCACTCATAGTTACGCACTCATTACATTACATATATACATGCATACGCAGACACTGATATCTATTTACATCCACTATTTAGAATACATTTTACATAGCACTGCATTACTAGATACTGTAGCTATAAATCTATTACATATTTATAACTTGGCAAAAAAACATGTTTTTATACAGATTTATATTTAGAAAGTGTTTTGCTTGGAAGAACATACTGAGAGAATATTCTCCTTTTTTGCATCTGTCCTGAGATAAATGTACAATGCAAATATCTAATACGTACGTAATTCATGAAGTTTTCTTATTATCAAATTAGAAGTATTTTAAACCTCATCTTACGTAAATGCACTGTGGCTATTTCACCATATTATAGATTGTAATGTATTATTATTACAGTGTGTTATGGTTTTATTTCAACAAAGCCGCTCATCTCTTGAAATAACAACAATAAACTTTTTTAGAAATTAAAAAATATGTTGATCTATAAGAATCTTTCTTGCAATTTTATTTTGATTCATTTTAGCTGAGTTTAATTAGATTAATTCATTATTCACTAAACCATTGTCTTCTGTTGGAAACTGACCTTTAAACAAACCCTTTATTTTTTTCTTAGAAAATATTTATTTACAGATCTGGAGGAATATAATATTACACAAGTATATTTACATATGTCCTTGTAATTGTATTTTCTTGAATCCCTCCATGTTATATGTACTTCTATATTATGACAATGGTATAATATATCCCAGGACATACATGAAAACAATGTACGGTCTCCTTCCTGGTAAAATATTTTGTAAATAAATTATACTTTTGCTCTAATTAAAATAATAGAAATTTTAGAGCAAGTTGCACTAAAAAAAAAAGTAAATTGTGAGGCAAACATTTAGAAGGAAATTTACCAGTATCCATTTATAAATAGCCCCCTCTCTCAAACTGACTCAAATGACCCTGCATCTCCCCCTCCTATCCCCATGACTGGTAAATTGCTCTAGGACAAAAGTGTTTAAAAAAAAAAAAAAAGAATGTGTTAGGAAAAAACATATAAATTACTGAGATCCCCAAATGAGCAGAGTGCGCTGAAAACCCCCTTCCCTCGCCCACCAGAAACAGGGTTTTAAAAAAAATAAAAAAATACGTTTAAAAAAAAAATATATATATATAAGGTACTTTGATTTTGGTTTAATTAACATAATTATCTTTTTATATGCTGTATTTCTCAGAGAGACGCATATAATATAATGTTACAAGGGAAAGATTTAATGACTGTACTTCCAAATTAAATAAAAAAACAAAAGCAATGAAAATGCTTTATTAAAATAAATATTACAAATTACCCCCCCACCCCTCCCCTCCGGCTTGCTGAGATGGTTTGTGCTGCCATTGTGTCAATTCCCAGGAAAACAGGCGGGATTTTCCATGTTCCAGGCTTCCAGGGAAGTGGTACCTGCTGTCACGGCTCGGATTGGCTGTCGAACTGTGCTTGGCCACACCCCCGGCTTTATCTGGATTTCTTAGAAAGGGCTGAGTTCCTAAGAAGTGCAGCTCAGTGTTAGCAGGAGACTGAGAGAGGGAGGAAGGGGGGTTAGAGGGGGGTTTGTAAGGGCCGAGGGCGTACATTCCCTGTTAGAAAATTGATGTTTCCAGGAAAAGCCATTATTATTATGATACAATGCTGTCTGTATAACTAAATAAGCGTCTCTCTTGTGTGTGTGTGTTTGGATCTCTAATCCCTGAATACTTAATCCCTTAAAACTGAGGCAATTGGACAAGTTCTGACCAAAACAAAACCTAGAATTTGAGCTATATGTCTGTTCAAACATAACCTCTTTCATATTAAGTCCACCCACACTTGTATCTATATATAGACAGATATATCTGTTCAGGAAAAATAGCTTTCATTTTACATTAAATATTTAAGTGTTCTTGCATAGCAAGACCACTTAATGTTATCTCACATATATATTATTCTTATTCTTATTATAGCCAAATTTACCACCCTAACTCCTCCCACAGTTTTTACACTACATAGATAGTAATATACCAAAACGTGCGGATTGTTCCCGATTGGATTGCTATTACTTTGTGGAACATTTCGCCGAATGGTTCACGGAATATCGTCGTTCTTGTGCCGAGATTTGTCCCATAGGAATGAATGGCAAAGCTAGAGTGCGAGCTGGCAAAAGCTGAAAAATCAGGACATGATTTCTAAACTGCCACCACTCCCTTATTTTCAGGCCCACCTACACAAATCTTATATCAAAACGTTCAGCTATCCCTGCTGCCACTAAACATGTCCACGGCTAAGCCATAGTCCTGATAGTTTTCACAATATGACCATTTGTTTGCAACTCACGCCGTCCATTGACATTCATTGAAACTCCACTCCAGCCAGCTTAAATTTGAAGGGCAATTTCTAAACTGCGACTGTGCCTTCATTTTTAATACTTCAGAGACATACTATGCATGTAGGTCTGGGTCTTGTGATTCTCACAATATAAAGCTCTTCGCTGTAGGGTTTATAGTTTTTAAAATACGGCCGTTTGAAGATGGCAACCGCCAAAATACTCTGACCTGTGCCAGGCTGGAGCAGCAAGTGATGTCATAGGCAAGTGATGCCTTTTGTTCACCTGCTAATGTTTTTATAAATTTATGTTTTAACCCCTTAAAACCGGAGGACGTACAATTACGCCCTCTAATAGGCGGCTCTAAACGCCGCCGGGCGTAATTGTACGCCCTCCGGTTTTTGTTAACTTACTCGGTCGCCGGCGGTCCCACGCCGGCGATCGCGGTTGGGGGGACTCCCAGGGAGCCCCCCGCGGCACCTCCGTCCTCCTGGAAGCCCCCCGGCCATGTGAGAGTGGGGTCCTAGCGAGGACCCCACAATCACATGGCCGGGGATAGCTGGCTTCTGTATTGCCGGCAGGGGGGCTGCCTGTAATTACAGGTGGTCCCCCTGCTGGCTGAAAATAAAAATAAAATAAGTTAATGGTGTAAAAAAAAAAAATTATATATACTTAGATCATATATATATATTATATATATATATATGATCTAAGTATATATATATATACACATATACATACACACATGTACACCGTCTAGGTGTATTTTACTATTAATATATATATATAATTATATATATATATATATATTAATATCAAATTACACGTAGACTGATACTGATTAAATATATATATAATTATTGTTATATATATATTTATATATAATATAAAAAAAATAAAAATGTAAATACGTTAAAAAATAAAATTAAAAAAATAATTAAAAATAAATAATTAAAAAATATATAGATGTGTGTTATTTCGTTCTAACTGTATTGTGAAATTAATATATATATATATATATCAAAATACACATAGAACGAAATAATATATATATCTATACACATAAATATATACGTATATATCACTATATATATACCTATATATAAATAAAAATATTTAAAAAATTATATAGATATATACATATATATACACATACGTATATATATACATATATTAATTCTACATATATATTTATGTAATATTTTTACATAATTAGGTATCTTAATTAATTACAATTAGCAGGACCTGCATGACAACCCATGCCGAAAGTAAAGGGAATTTAATTTGCTAGCACTATATTTAACCCTATAACTTTCCGAGACACCATAAAACCTGTACATGGGGGGTACTGTTCTACTCGGGAGACTTCGCTGAACACAAATATTAGTGTTTCAAAACATTAAAATGTATTACAACGATGATATCGCCAGTAAAAGTGACGTTTTTTGCATTTTTCACGCACAAACAGCATTAAACGGACAATATTATTGCTATGATACTTTTTACTGTTTTGAAACACAAATATTTGTGTTCAGTGAAGTCTCCCGAGTACAACAGTACCCCTCATGTACAGGTTTTATGGTGTTTTCAAAAGTTACAGCGTCAAATATAAGGCTTGCGTTTCATTTTTTTCACATTAAAATTCGCCAGATTGGTTACGTTGCCTTTGAGACCCTATGGTAGCCCAAGAATGAAAATTACCCCTATGATGGCATACCATTTGCAATAGTAGACAACCCAAGGTATTGCAAACAGGGTATGTCCAGTCTTTTTTAGTAGCCACTTAGTCACAAACACTGGCCAAAATTGGCGTTTTTTGCATTTTTCACACACAAACAAATACTAACGCTAACTTTGGCCAGTGTTTGTGACCAAATGGCTACTAAAAAAGACTGGACATACCCCATTTGCAATACCTTGGGTTGTCTACTATTGCAAATGGTATGCCATTATGGGTGTAAATTTCATTCCGGGCTACTATACAGTCTCAAAGGCAACGTAACCAATCTGGCGAATTTCAATTTCAAATGTAACGTTCTATATTTGACCCTGTAACTTCCCAAAACGCCATAAAACCTGTACATAGGAGGTACTGTCTTACACGTGAGACTTTACTGAATATAAATATGTGTATTTTATTGCAGTAAAAGCAAACAGTATTATGACACTGACCGTTAAAATATAATGTAGAACTAAAAAAATCCAAAAAAAACGTATTTTCTCCCATTTTTTTCATATTAAATTATGTTTCATAGCTAAATATTTGATATTAAATGAAAGCCCTGTTTCCCCTGAATAAAATGATATATAATAAGGGTGGGTGCATTTACTATGAAAGAGGTGTATTACGGTTGGACAGACATGTAGCGCAAATGCCAGCTTTTGTTTACATTTTGTTTTGTTCACAATGTGTACATTTGGGTCCGTCCTTAAGGGGTTAATGTAACTGTGAAGCACTTTGGGCAACAACGTTGTAATTAAATGTGCTATATAAATGATAACAGTTACTCCGCCCACTCCAGTTGTAGACTACTGGTGGAGGCAAGAACACTTTACCAACTTTTCTAGTTATATATGGAATATAATTTAATATAAATAAAATCTGAAAAGAAAGTGTGAGCAATTGTTATTTTCCAAGTCCTGCATGTCATTTTAACTGTGAATATCATAATACTGTTGGCTTTTACTGCAATAAAATACACATATTTGTGTTCGGCAATGTCTCAAGTACAACAGTACGCCCCATGTAAAGGTTTTATGGGGCTTAGGAATATTACAGGGTCAAGTATAGGGCTTTCCCCAGTTACAGTCTTTATGCACTGAATTTTGCAAGTTTGGTTTGCTGGGCCTATGTTGCCTTTGAGGTATGGCAGCCCAAGAATAAAAATTAACCCCATCATGGCATACAATTTGGAAAAGCAGACAACCCAGGGTTTTTCAAAATTGGGTATTTCATTTTCTAGTCTATTTTGTAGCCACTTAGTCACAAACCCTGGCCAAAGTTAGTATTCATATTTGGTTTTGCATTTTTCACACAATATCATCATATGTTTTACCGCTCTAAAACACATGTATTTGTGTTCAGCGATATCTCAGAAGTACAGCAGTACCCCCTCCCTCCCCCCAAGTACAGGTTTTATGGGGTTTTGGAAAGTTAAAGGATTAAATATAGTGCTTGTAATTTAGATTTTTTTTTCATAATAAATTATGTTTCATATAAAAATATTTGATGTGAAATTAAATTCCTCCTGAACAATATGATATATAATTGTGGGTGCACTTAATATGAAATAGGTAAATTATGGTTGATCAGACATAAAGCGCAAATTCCAGGTTTTGTTTTGGTCAGAACTTGTCCAATGGCCTCTGTCCTTATGGGTTAATGTAAAAAAAATATTACTAATTCGAGTACAGCTTTGTAAAACTATTGCTACCATCAGAATCCTGTGAGGAGTAGTTAGTTATCCCCCAATCACCACCACCCTGCGCACTGAAAACGTTTCTGCTGTAATTTGCCAAAAACCCAACGTTTCGGTTTCCCTTAATTTGCAAAATTTCCCATAGATTTTCCCCCGGACTAAATTGGATTATAAGAAAATAAAGCATAACAAAAAATAGGTGAACACATGGACAGGTGATATAGTAGACCAATGAAGTCACATGGTCACTTTGATTGACACATGATATTCCCATAGTCCTAATGATCATCCAGCAGAGTCTCTCTGTCATCTGGTGTTGGAAAACTAAGGGGAAATTGTAATTTTTGAACCATTTCACTGCACTTCTGAGCACAAAATGGCACCTTAACTCCTTAGCGAATTGACCCCATTAAGATTTTTCTGTTTTGTGATAAATATGAAGAGAACTTGTTTGGAATGGGTTATCAGCAATACTATAAGTATATAAAGGTCTTCTCAGTAATCAAACTGCGTTGACAAGAATGAACTTGTGAAATTTTAGGCAAAAAAGAAAATAAGAAAACATCTTGGCTGAAGTGGAAATTTTCTCTAAATGGACTATTTTTAGTCTAATTTTTAGCTGGCTGATTAGTTGAAGGAACACATAAGCGCTACCACGAGCTGTAGGGGTTAAGGTACCAGTAGTAGCCAGGCAATGTGACGGTGTGACAGTTTACCTGTTGGGTGCTGGTCCCCTCCTCAATGCTCTGAGCTAGCCTAGCACTGTACGTTCTGCTGATGTTCTCAGTCAATAAGCTATCCATGCACTGCAGGATCTAGCTCAGGAGTGATAAAGAGAAGAGAAATGCAGAAAGTTACCACCACCTGAAATTCTACTGTTAGCCAATGGGGAGGCTCCAAGGCATTCCTCACAACTCCGTTGTGGTTATGGTACTTGGAGACTCCATTTCTAGTTAGATTTTATCGCATGATTTAATTAAACACCACCATTTAAACAGGAAATACAAAGGTAAAGGGGCAATCTAGATTACAACTGGCTCATTCTTTTTTAATTTAAATTTTTTTTTTTTTTTTTTTAATATTGTGCATTTGGAAAAGAAAATGAAAATCAAAAAACAAACAATGCATATTTTGTTTGCAAAGCTTTTCTCATTGTGACTTAGAACATTGGAAGGAAGATCAATTTTCTCAATCATTATGATATCATTTCTCTGGAAGGGCGAATACGATATTGTCAAAGATTTTAAACAGCATTTAGATAACATTCACTGAGATTGAAACTATAAAATAGGTTAACTTATACAGACAAAATCAGCCTTATCTAAATGGGAACAAAGACAGTAGTTATAAATAATAACTGTTTTTCAACTGCCCAGTTACTTTTGTAATAGCTGAACATTTACTTAAAGCATAGAATACATAGCTACCCTTTAAATGCAGGAGACACATTTTCCATTTATTTGTTTACCTAGAAATATTGGGAACTGAAAGGTTTTATATATTAAAGAAACGCTAAAAGCACCATAACCACTACAGCCTGCTATAGTGTTTACAGTGGCCTCATCTCACACTCATACTAACTCATAGGAACAGCGATTGTGATGCTCTGCATTAACATCCTGCAGTAACTCCCACAACGCCAAGGCCTCATCTCACACTCAGCTTCCGGGCAGGGCTCTCTCTACCTCTTGTATTCAGGGCCGTCTTTAACGCGGGGCAAACGGGGCAGCTGCCCCGGGCCCAGTTGCTCCTGGGGGCCCAGAGCAGCTGCTCTGTGGGCCCCGCGATTTGCGGCTCCCGCACACTGAGGAGGCTCCCCGGGTGTCCCATGCACTAAGGGCCACCCGGGGAGCATGTGTCAGCAGGGGCCCGGCGGGCGTTGTGGCGCTTAAACAGCGCGACCGGGCCCCTCTTCCGGTTCTGCAGCCGGCTGGGAGGAGTGACGTCACTTCCTCCCACCGGAGATAGCCGCGCGGGAGGAGGAAGGCAGGGAGGAGGGGAGTTCAAGAAGAGAACTCCCATCTGCCTCAGCCTGCCACTGGACCAGGGAAACCACCCTCCAGGAAAAGGTAAGAACCTGGAGGGTGGCTAAATGTATGTCAGTAGGTCTGTGTGTGTATGTCTGTGTGTGTGTGTGCCAGTATGTCTGTGTGTGTGTGTGTGTCAGTATGTCTGTGTGTGTGTGTGTGTGTGTGTGTGTCAGTATGTCTGTGTGTATGCCAGTATGTCTGTGTGTGTATGCCAGTATGTATGTGTGTGTGTCAGTATGTCTGTGTGTATGCCAGTATGTCTGTGTGTGTATGCCAGTATGTCTGTGTGTGTGTGTGTGTGTGTGTCAGTATGTCTGTGTGTATGCCAGTATGTCTGTGTGTATGCCAGTATGTCTGTGTGTGTAGTATGTCTGTGTGTATGCAGTATGTCTGTGTGTGTATGTCAGTGTGTGTGTGTGTGTGTGTCAGTATGTCTGTGTGTATGCCAGTATGTCTGTGTGTGTGTGTGTGTCAGTATGTCTGTGTGTATGCCAGTATGTCTGTGTGTGTATGTAGGTATGTCTCTGTGTGTGTGTGTACGTGTGTGTCAGTATGTCTGCCAGGATATATTTGTGTGTCAGTGTATGTGTGTGTCAGTATGTATCTGTGAATGTTTTAATGTCTGTCTGTGTGTATGTGCCAGTACGCCTGTCTGTGTGTATGTCAGTATGTCTGTGTGTGTGTGTCAGCATGTCTTTGTGTGTCAGTATGTCTGTGTGTGTATGTAAGTATGTCTGTGTGTGTATGTGTGTGTCAGTCAGTATGTCTGTCAGTGTATGTGTCTGTGTGTGTATCTATGTATATCTGTGTGTGTGTCAGTATGTCTGCCAGGATATATTTGTATGTCAGTGTATGTGTGTGTCAGTATATATCTGTGAATGTATCAGTCATTACTTCTGTCTGTGTATATGTCAGTATGCCTGTGTGTGTGTGTGTGTGTGTGTGTGTGTGTGTATATGTCAGTATGCCTGTGTGTGTGTGTCAATGTGTCTGTCAGTGTATGTGTCTGTGTGTTTTAGTATATCTGTCAGTGTATGTGTTTGTGTGTGTGTCAGTATATCTGTTAATGTATGTGTCTGTGTATGTATGTATGTCTGTGTGTGTGTCAGTATGTCTGCCAGTATATATTTGTGTGTAGTGACTGTGTGTGTCAGTATGTATCTGTGAATGTTTTAATGTCTGTCTGTGTGTGTATGTGCCAGTACGTCTGTCAGTGTGATTGCGGGTTGGACGTAATTGGGGGGTGAGGCAGTGGCAGGGACAGGGCCCATGGGGCCCAAGAAAATGCATTGCCCAGGGTCCTAATCATATTATAGACGGCCCTGCTTGTATTTGTCTGCGTATATTGTACATTCTCCACTAATTGTACAGCGTTGCGGAATCTGCTGGCGCTTTATAAATACCAGTAATAAACAAATAAATAAACGGTGCCATGAGTGCACGTTTTCAAATGGTTTGACAACTTACAAAAGCCTCCAGGGGGGCAGTGCCGCATCCGGTCTTCTCAGGATTCTCACTTCTTTTTGAAATCAGCAGGTTATTAAAGGGACACTACAGTCACCAGAACCAGTACAGGCTAATTTGTATACACCTCTAGTAGCTGTCACTCAGATGGCCACTAGAGGTGTTTACTAGCTCAGTACTGCACAGTGTGCAGCACCTATGTTTAGCATCTCCACGCTCTGCATGGAGGCACTGAACGCTCCCCATATAGATGCTGCTGGGCGCAGCGTGGCATTTCTCAGCTTTCCTATGGGAAAGCATTGGATTGGGTGAGATCATCAAAATAGATGATCTTAGCCATGGAGGCAGGGCCAGCTATGGCGAGACCCCCATGGTGAGGGAGAACATTTAGGTTAAAAGGAAACTCCAGGCACCAAAATATATTTGTGACGAAAGTAGCCTGTTTGGCAGCTTCCTGCCCTGTGACTATGGCCCTGTGGTAGCCTCTGTTTAAAAACACTATTGGTGCCTGTTGGGATTTGTAACAGGAACCATTCAAACTTTCGAAGTGGCATTCAAACTGTCAAACTCCCGAAGCCATTCAAAGTGGCATTCAAACATGTGGCGGTGGCCATCTTGTTTAGTCGACAGCATCCAGTGGTGTTTGGTCGTCGAATGCATGGAACTCAAATTGGACATTCAACGGCATTAACACCGCTAAACTTTTACCTTCCATGGAGGTTCGGCTATTCGAACGTGAGTCGAATGGCATTCGGTAAAAAGAAACCCATGAACAAGAGACACATAATGACATTATCCACGAACGGTTACGTTCGGTATTTCGAATCTTCGAAATAGACCGGCTGCACAGCCTGATTCTCTGAAACTATTTTGGGCATGAAACCATCCATGCGGCCGGTCAAAATGGGACTTCCATAGAATTCCTGAACCCCTGAACTGATGTGGGTGATTTTTAGATATGTTGGTCACCCAGATCAGGGCTATCAGAGGATGTAATAATTGTGGGGATTTTATGTGTTTTTGGGGTACTTTTGGGATTTTGTAAATTATGTTTTTCTGTCTGGAGATAATTGGGTTAATGCAGTATCTGCCTCAATTATCTCCCAGGCAGAGAGGAGGGAGTGTATGTTTGTATTGGGTGTGTCACACTTTGTAACCGTATTGTTATTGGTTGTTAAGTTTGTGTCCCAGTCCCCAACAAGGTCCATATGGGCGTACACCTTGCTTGGTGACTTGCATAAAAGGCCATCTGTGGCTTCCATTAAACAGAATGCTTTACCCTTTCATTAAGTCTTGGCTCGTGTTTGGGGGATTGGAGAACTACATACACTCTGGGGATTGCTATATCACAATACTGAGTATAATCAATTAGCTCTTCTAAGAGCTGTTCCTGGTACGCTCTCTGGACTAGGAGAGGTCTACCCACTGGAAGCTGAATCCTGGTCTTGGGTCCACAGTGGGTGGAGGACGGCGAGACCCCAACCAAGGTGCGGCGGTTCGTGGGGTTTACGGTGGTTATGGTGTCCGGTGCGGTGCTTATGGTAGTCAAGGATTACTAGGAAGCAGCGATTGACGGAGGTACCCAGTCGGGGTGCAAGACGGTCCGTCACAATCTTCATCTAAATAAAGTTGTTATGGTGCCAGAAGGCCTCCAGAGGCACTTTTATCTTAACGAGTCAAACCGTTCTTGAACAGTTTAACTCCAAATTTGCCTCCAGCAGCATCAAGCTTCTGAAATTTTTAGGGGTAAGCTAACGACCCCTTGCAGGCGCTATGCAGTTCTTGGCTAAGATAGTGTTTTTAACATTATAGGGTCAGGAATACGTTTATGTTTCTGACCATATAGTGTTACTTTAACTTTTAAATCAGAGGTGATGTTACAGGAGAGACAATGTGCATGCTACTTCCCTGTCTATGCCCAGATATCAACAATGAACTTTCAGGGATTAAAGGACCACTAAAGTCACCAAGACCACTTTATATCAACGAAGTGGTCTGGGTGCAGTGGTCATGTCATTTTAGCCGTGCAATTTAAAACGTTCAGTTTCTTGTTTCAATGTTTACATTGCAGGGTTCAATCCGTGACACATAAGCTCATAGGAATGCATTAAATTCAATACTTTCCTATGGCGCTTCCAATGCTTTCCTGTGCGGGGTTTCCTTTGGTGCTTTTACTATAGCATAAGATATAGTGTTTGTTTAACTTTTAGACCTGGCTAGTGGCATTGGACATACAATTAGGCAGTAGGTGTAAAAACAAAAACCAACATTTTAAACACATTACTTACATATATTTTTCAGGCACACATAAAAAATCAACTATTAAAACAGCATCATTAGTACTCATAACAAATAGTAATCTTAAATACAAGGGATTGCAAAAATGTGAACTGGATCGATCAACCTACAACTCCAAAGAGACACATAGAAGCAGGGCCGGCCTTAGGGGTGTGCGAGCTGTGCGGCCGCACAGGGCGCCATGGCAGCAGGGGGCGCCCTATGGCTGACAGCTTGCACACCCCCTGCCCTCTACCAGGGCTTAGCAGCGAAAGAGACTGTAGGAGGCGGAGCCAAGCAGCCGATGGGGGCGGAGCCAAGTGGTCGGCGGGGGCGGAGCTAACCGAGGCCTGAATCTGCTGCCTGGTAAGTGAGACCATAGTGCCCCTGCTCCCCCTATAGTACCCCTGTTCCCCATCTATCCCTATAGTGCCCCCCTCTTCCCCTATAGTGCCCCTCTACCCCTATAGTGTTCCCCATCTATATAGTGCCCCCCCCCTATAGTACCCCTGTTCCCCATCTATCCCTATAGTGCCCCCCTCTATAGTGCCCCCCCCTCTACCCCTATAGTAACCCTGTTCCCCATCTATCCCTATAGTGCACCCTCTACCCCTATAGTACCCCTGTTCCCCATCTATCCCTATAGTGCCCCCCTCTTCCCCTATAGTGCCCCCTCTTCCCTATCGTAACCCTGTTCCCCATCTATCCCTATAGTGCCCCCCTCTACCCCTATAGTAACCCTGTTCCCCATCTATCCCTATAGTGCCCCCCTCTTCCCCTATAGTAATCCTGTTCCCCATCTATCCCTATAGTGCCCCCCTCTTCCCCTATAGTAACCCTGTTCCCCATCTATCCCTATAGTGCCCCCCTCTTCCCCTATAGTGCACCCTCTACCCCTATAGTAACCCTGCTCCCCATCTATCCCTATAGTGCCCCCCTCTTCCCCTATAGTGCACCCTTTACCCCTATAGTAACCCTGTTCCCCATCTATCCCTATAGTGCCCCTGCTACTCTTATAGTAACCCTGTTCCCCATCTATCCCTATAGTGCCCCCTACCCCTATAGGGCCCCCCTCTACCCCTATAGTAACCCTGTTCCCCCTCTACCACTAAAGTGACCCCCCTCTACCCCTATAGTACCCCTGTTCCCTATAGTGCCCCCTCTACCCCTATAGTACCCCTGTTCCCCATATATACCTATAGTGCCCCCTCTACCCCTATAGTGCCCCCATCTACACCTATAGTGCCCCTGCTCCCCTTATAGTACCCCTGTTCCCATCTATCCCTACAGTGCCCCTGCTCCCCCTATAGTACCCCTGTTCCCCATCTATCCCTATAGTGCCCCCATCTACACCTATAGTACCCCTGTTCCCATCTATCCCTACAGTGCCCCTGCTCCCACTATAGTACCCCTGTTCCCCCTCTACCCCTATAGTGCCCCTGCTCCCCCTATAGTACACCTGTTCCCCATCTATCCCTATAGTGCCCCCCTCTACCCCTATAGTGCCCCCTCTACCCCTATAGTGCCCCCTCTACTCCTATAGTGCCCCCTCTACTCCTATAGTACCCATGTTCCCCATCTATCTCTATAGTTCCCCCTATCTACCTCTATAGTGCCCCTGCTCCTCGATCTACCACTATAGCACCCCTGCTCCCCATCTACCCCTATAGTGCTTCCCCATTTACCCCTATAGTGTACCTGATCCCTCCATCTACCCCTATAGTGCCCATGCTCCTTATCCATCCCTATTGTGCCCATGCTCCCCCTATATTGCCATTGTTCCCTGTCTACCCTAGTGACACTGCTCTACCCCAGTGCCCCTGCTCCCCCTATCTACTGCTATAGTGAACAAAAATCACACACGGTCAATACACACACACATATCAGACACAGTCAATACACCCATTACAAATATGGCACACAGAGAACACATCACACAATCACGTCTGACACACACATGATAAATGTAGCTGTCTTCCGAGTTCCGGCCAATCAGAACGTTGCCGCGGATTACACAGGAAAGCTCTGATCACCAGAGATCAGCATGCCCTCCCTCCATGCAAGGTAATGACAGGGAAGAGGTGATAAATATTTGTTAATTGTTAAATTTTCATTTAATAAATCCCCTATACACATGGATGGCGCGGGGGGGGGGGGCGCTGTTAAGATTTTTCGCACAGGGCGCCTGAAGGCCTAAGGCCGGCCCTGCATAGAAGAATACTGCCAAAGACAGGTACACTCAGTTAAAAAATTATAGTAAAGAAACAAACAAACAGGTTTATCAGGGCTTAAGTGACACCAAGTAACAGAGCAACTTCATTGAATGGTTTTGGTGTCATTAGATCATACCCCTGCATTGACAGCAGACCCAGGCAGAAGATCATCTTTCGATTGTCATTTACTACAAAATGTTAATACTGGCGAGCGAGCAGAACAGACTGATGATTTCTATGTAATTGTACTGATTGTATACACATGTTTTGCTAAGCCCGCTATCGGATTTCCTGACTGTATGCGGTTATTCTTGCGGTTTACCGGTAAATGCTTCCACCAGTAAATTAAAATATAATATATTTATTAAACAATAAACAGTATAATGAATGTGAGTGGTAAGAGAAGAGTCTGACATAGTTACTAGGGTATTTCAATCTATCTATAATATTCTGGGGGCTGTATGTGTGCACACTTGGAAGGTGGTGTCTCTGTTATTTTGCAATGTTATGTTTTTCTGTCTTCATAATGCTTTCTGAGATATGATTAATTTTAGACCAAGGCCTTTTGGCACTTTTGCCATGTGTTAATTTTACCACAATATCACCTTTTCTGTTTAAAGGACTGTGAAGTGGTCTGAAGTGGTCTGAGTGCCAGGTCCATCTAGAATTAACCCTTTCTGCTGTAAACATAGCAGTTTCAGAGAAACAGCTATGTTTACCTATGGGTTAATCCAGCCTCTAGTGTCTGCCTCATTGACAGCCGCTAGAGGCGCTTCTCACTGTGCTTTCCTATGGACTGACTGAATGCGTGAGCTGCGCATTCAGCCGATGATGGGGAAAGAAGGAGGAGAGTCCCCAGAGCCGAGGGAGCCCGGCGGGGGAATAAAGGTAAGATTTAAACCCTTCAACCTTAGAGCCCGGTGGGAGGGGGGCCCATGAGGGTGAGGGGAGGAGGGGGAGGGGGGACCTAGAGACCCTATGGTGCCAGGAAAATGAGTCTGTTTTCCTGGCACTATAGTGGTCCTTTAAGTGCATACATAGTATATCTTATTTTTAAATGAGAAATATGGCTTTATTTTGATACACTATATGTATACATAACACTACAATAAACATAAATAAATTATTATAAAACGGAAAAGAAACACTGTTTTGCAGTTAATAATGTCTACACAACAAATGCACCTAAAGAGAAATAACTCAAAATAGATTTACCAATAAGTCCTGATTTGGAATATGATACAAATGTCTTGGATAGATTTGAGCACAAATCCATTTCAGCTGTGTCAAACGAACCTACGCCTGAACAAATCGACATGTGATATGTTATAATATTTGTGCACCAGTCTAGTCTAGGATTTTATTTAACTTTTAGAAGTTATAAAATAAGTATTTTAAGAAACGAATTACAGTTTTAAAGCGAAACCAATTTGGAATGCTTGGATTACATCCAAAACTGCTACATAAACGTACGTGGGAAAAAACAAAACATTAAATATACCCGCAGATTTGATCTGATTTTGAAGTTGGTGATAACATGGTTAAATCACAAACTTCAAGAAAAACACCAGAGTATTTAACTAAGAGCATTTTGTCACTTTTGACTTAACCATTTTATCACCAACTTCAAAATCAGGTCAAATCTTCTGGGATTTTTTTTTTCCACTTTTATTCTCACAGGGAATTTCATAGACCTTTTATGTCCTACTACTGTGAAGACCCAATATTTGTATTCTTGTAATTTTTTCAAGAACATCACAATGATACATCACATGTACATTTTTGCCTGAAGTTTGAAGTACTTAGGATAAAATAACAGATATGCCCTCACATGGACATGCCTCTTACTTAATAGGGATCCGATTTGATAAAGTGTTCAGTGTTCGAAACCTAACCCTTCCCCTACTCCTATCTATAACCATAACTCTACCATAGAGGGATTCCCTCTGCTCACATTTTTTCCAGCTTATGCAGTACAACATGCTCTGTACTTGGTTTACAGAATAATATATATAGCTCCAGTTGTTGTTGCTAAATCATGTAATAAAAATAAAGAAAGCAGAGGTTCATGCGGACAGAAAACATACTACTAATACTCACTACATTCCTGGACAGCAACACTTACCCTTTTCCTGAGCCCTCCATTGCAACATTTGTCCACTGCACCACAACAAACACATGTCAACATAGTGTGTGGTATGTAATATGTTTTTCCATTATTGAAAATTACTCAAAAAAAGAAAAAGACCAACGCAAATTAAGGCGAATAAAAAATGCATTAAATGTATGGCTTTCTTTTATTTCATTAACCATTTACAAACATTTACACATATTGAAGTATGGATAAATATCCATATAGATAAACAGATAGAAAGACAAACAGGTACACACATACATACAAGATATATCACGCGGCAACACATCAGCCGCACTAGGCTAATATAGCTGTTAATAAAACTACTATATATACATACTGTATGTACAGCAATAACCTGATGCATAAACACACACACACACATCTTTCTCTCTCTCTCTCAATATATATTTATAAATACACGTGCAAATTGGATAAACATAAATGTACAAACAAAATGAGATTCACTGCTGAGAGGTCATACGAACAGCATATTTAAAAACATGAGCTAAGGGTTTTGTGTTTTATTGCAGATTTAGGATCAGTTCTTCAAAGCCCCACTCCCTATAACTATTCATTGTCGGTTTCCTGGAAAGATTTAGCTAACACTGTGGACTTTGTCACTGACTTCTAGGAAAAGAATGCTAAATACTAATCGCTTGACAGTACAGGGCTACAGGGGAGAAAGGCGGAGAGGAGATGGAAGCAGGAGAGTGACAGAAATGGAAAGGATTAAGGGAAGTTAAACAAAAACACCAAAATGGGTAATTTAAAGGGCGAAGTACACAAAAGGAAAAAGCAGGTGAAAGGATTAAAAAATGCAAACTATGAAGGAAAAAAATCAAAGAATCATAAAAAAAAAGTCAGTGTTATGGAATGGAGATTAGGAGGGGTAGCACAGATTAACCGTTTGGAGGCACAAGGGAACAAGAGGATATAATACATGTAATCTTTTTTTTAATTTTATTTTTAATATGAACAAAAAAACATAGTTCTTTTAGCGTTAGCTAATGTTTAAAATAAGCTTACCAGAAAACAAACACTTTAGAAAAAGAAGAAATAATAATGGTGACATTCTGGATATACACTCAGTGGCCACTTTATTATTTCTATTACTGAGTAGGACACACCATCTTTGCCCCCAGAACAACACAAAATATCTGATGCATAGGCCTTATAACGTGCTTTGTAGACACCATTCCTTAAGACGTATTGACAAGTAGAACCACACAGTTTCCGCACCATTCTCTGTAAACACTAGAGATTGTTGTGTGTGAAAATCCCAAGAGATCAGCAGATTCTGAGAAACCATCACGTCTACTAAGTACCAACAACCATTGCACGTTCAAAGTCACTTAGGTCACGTTTTCACATTCTGATATTGTCTGCTTTAATGCATCCAGTTGCTGCCACATAACTGACTGAGAATTGTAGATTTGTAGCAAGCAGTTGTACTTATTAAAGTTGCTTCTATTTTACAAGATTATCCAGGAACATATCTTTGCAGAAACTGGGTGTCAAATATGGTCCCAATTGGCCATAATCCATGCCATAACAAATTGAAATAATGAGGTTCGGGTTTGTTTAGTAATCTGGAAATTGTAAAGAATTAGCGATAATTTATAAATCAGATCATTTTTCCATAACAGTTGATTTTGCCTACATTTGGCAATTAGGTTTTCATTTCACTCCAATTTGGTGTTTAGTGCATAAATCCATATGTACCATTGCAATTAGTAATAGTGACACCTGTCGATCAACTGGTGATTTCATTAAGTATGAGATTGGGAGATGAAAACTTTTTCACCTGGTGATTGGGTTGCCACCCGGCCGTTAGTTTATCGGCAAAGCTAGTATTTTAGGCTGTCTGTCAAAGATGCTTATTTTTTTTTTCTATGATAGGACTCTGAGAGAATGATCAGAGCATCCATCTCTATTATACACAGCAGGTAAGTACATTGCTAGGTACACACCATGACACCCCTCCCTAGTCAGACACAGTATACACACACTGCCACACACAATAACAGTATAAATACACTCGAAAGTATACACACAATGAAACACACTGCTACACAATATAGTACTAAACACACACAGGATACACACAATAAACGTATACACAGAAAGACAAACAGACACTCAGACACATTATGCATACACTCAAAGGTATACACACTACTACACAATATAGTACTAAACACACACAGTATACACACAATGAAACACACTTCTACACAATATACACATAGCACAGTACTAAACACACACAGTATACAAACGGACACTCCTGTGACTCACACATAATTAATTATGCAAATTAGCTTGCCTGGTAAACAAAATTTCCAAGAAGGGTGGTAACCCTTCCTGTGGAGAGAGCATTATACAAATATATAATTTGGCACCTATAAGCATCATGCTAGGTTTGTTCTGAAAATCTGCTGTGGGTATGCCTTGCAAGGATTGGAATTTGACACCCGTGATAGAAGAGAAAAAGTAACAGGCCTTGAAGCAGACAGCAAGCCAGGTATCAGGGAAAATACTTGGCCGCTTGCTTAGGAAAACACAAAGCTGACTGAGTGATTCTTTCTCAAAGGGAATCTATATGCATCATTATCATTCATATAAAGTATTCAAAACAAATAGCAATCTTAAAGGGATACTATAGTGTTAGGAATGCAAAGTTGTGTTCCTATCACTAAAGTTCCCTCTGGACCCCCCCACTCGCTCACAAAGTGTTAAAAAAAAACAACCTTTTATTTACTCATCTGATTCTAGCTTTGATTTCCCTCGGCTGGGTTAGTGCTCCGCCTCCTCCGGTGTCATCTGAAGGGGGGAGGGGACTAATGCATATGCACAGCGAGCCCTGTAGGACTTCCCCATAGGAAAGCATTGCTTCAATTTTACTGACGCTGGATGTCCTCATGCAGAGCTTGAAGATGTCAAGCGCCAGTTACGCAACCAAAAGTCAGCTAGCTACCAGGAAGTGCCTCTAGTGGCTGTCTAAATGACAGCTACTATAGGTAGTCTTAGTCCTGCAATGTAATCATTGCAGTTTCTGTAAAACTCAGACGGCCACTGTAGGTGCTTCCTGGGTCAGTTCTGCACACTGTGCAGCACTGATTTACAGCGTCTCCACGCACTGCATGAAGGTGTTGAATGTTCCTCACAGAGATGCATTGATTCAATGCATCTCTATGAGGAGATGCTGATTGGTGAAGCATGGGGTTTTGCTGCGCATCCATGATAGCTTCTCAGTGCTTTCCTATGAAAAGCATTGGATTGGCTGAGATCATCAAAGTTGATTATCTCAGTCAAGGGGGCGGAGCCAGCCATGAGGAGTCCTGCACACGCTGGTAAAGGGTGGGTAAAATCACCTTTTTCAACTGGTGGTGAGGGAGGACAGACACCAAAAATAGGTATTTTAGGTAACGTTTGGGTTATACATGTTTGTACTGTCTAATAGTAATCTACATTTTGCTACACAGTAACATTTCTGAAGGGAATTTAGTTTATCTATTTGTGTGCAGGATAGTGGTTACACTGTTGATGCAATGAAATTATTTTGCATTTCACAGCACTTTATCTTCCCAAATGAAGATCTAAACTATATGACAGGCTAATTCCAGTACGAGGCAGGAGCGTCCTCTCTTGGGACATTCTCTGAATATTTCTTAAATAAATCTAGAGTTAGATCCCTTTTGACAGACCTGATCTGCCATTTTTGGCACTCAGGCACTAAAGGGTTAAGAGTCTTTTTATTTTGTTTCTTTTTCAATGACAAAGTTGGCAAAGGCCATGGAGCTTGACTAAAACTCCATCCATTGTCAACCTGAAATTATATATAATGAAAAGTAGTCCTAACTTATCATTATGTGTAACTTCAAAAATAAGCTTAATTTAAAAACAAAACCGACAGGAGAGGGGGGATTTAGGACAAGGGGACAAAAAGGGACAGATCTGCTTTAACGAACTGCTATCGTTCAGATTGTTTTGGCATTATTCATATCACCCTTTGTTAGGACTGGCAAGATTTAAAATTTAACATAAAAATAAATAAATAAAAAATCATACGTTTGATTAAAGATTTGATTCTTTCTTTGCAAAGTACAAGACGTGAACAAGACTGTGTTTGGTTCCTGTGGTTTAAATTCCTATCCTCTGACCTATTAAAATCCCCCAGTCAGCCGCCTAGCCCTAGATGTATGAATCAGCTAACCTTCTTGCTGACTGATCCGTCCTTTCACAATCCTTATACATTGTTGTGTTGTGTCATGTTTATTAATGATGTTGTTTCACATTGATGTCAGCGTACCCTTGAATAGCAATCTATTTACAGTAGCATTGTGTGTTTATGCTACATTAGTGTGCATGAATACATGACTTGTCCTTTTCAGCCTATATACCAGGTACATCATGCACCTGACTCCCTCCTTCAAACACAAACCTATCTCACCCATAAAGGAACACTGTAGGCTTCTGAGTGAAATGGTACTTTGATGCATGGAGTTTGCGGAGCGCTTAGTCCAGTATCACTGCTAAAAGGTTTATTCAAAGTTTAGTACAGATGCTCCGTCGCATACAGCCTGGCCCCCAAATACCTAAATGGGTGAGTAAAAGCTATGTTCCGTTTAATCCATAGAGCTGAGCTCACTGCCAATCACTGCTTCAATCCCTGGTATGAATGGGTATGGCACAGGGAGGAACCCGCCTCCCCCTTATCTTAATTGGGGGCTATGCTGCACACTGACAAGGATTGAGCATCTAATTGGTGAGTAAACAGTTTAGAAGTAATCCACAACAGGCACTATAACCACTTTAAACATATGAAGTGGATTTCTTCAAAAATGTAACCCAACTCACACCTGACCGTTATTCTTAACTATATGCTTTTATCTGGTGATAAAACAAACAAACAAGAAAACCCTTTTATTGGACTGACCATAATTTGGTCAGAGAACCATCCCACTACAGACATCACTGTCAGAGTTCTACCCATAAATTAGAATACTCCCTGTTCAGATTAGCAAAATGAATCAGTCACTGTCTGGGGGTAATCGGGCACCAAAATTCATTCACTTATCACACTATTTACCAGTGGCTGGATTTTACAATCCAATTCTTTCTTTTATCATTTTGCCTGCTTTCTTCCCTCCCACCCCTCGTTGGCTCCCTATACAAAGCCTTCGATTGGACCTCAATACAATAATGCCCAAAGCTTTAAAATATATGAGAAAAAAAAAGTGTTGGAGTAATCATTTATATTCATAATTTTTTTTTATAGTAACCATTTGTCCATTGGCTTCTTGTGCACTTCTGAAAGTTTGCCCACAAAAAGCATGTGGATACATTTTGCGAATTTGTCTTTTGCCAGATTTGTTCAGAGTAAATCTGGTTGAAATTCAGAGTTTGATAAACGTGCAAATCCTATATTTTATATAGGATCCAAAAGTGTGAATTATCATGGGATTTGAAAAGTTTATGCCAAATGTAACAAAACTGGAAAAATATTAGAACTGTAAAAAGTTTACATTTGAACTGTTCTAGCTTAAATGTTTGCAATGCCCTGTTAGTGGTGTACCCAGGTTTTGTGCTGCCCTAGGCATGACAAAACTTTTCCCCGTGCTTTAAGTATCCATTTAATCTCATTTTAGTCTAATACAGCACACCAGCATACAGATATTTGTTATAGATTGTATAGTTATATGTTCTAGTATTTTTGTAGTTTGTTATAAAAAACTACTAGATGCATTCCTAATAAACTGAAAATTTCCATCCACACCTTCGTTTGTATCTAAGTAGGTCTTGGTAACCTTTTGGAAAAGATTGGAATTAAGCATCCAAGAATTTACATAAAATCATAGTATGAACTCTTATTAAAGAAAATGCATACAAAGTTTTATCTTGTTAGTAGTTAGACCTTCACAAGTTTCAACACATTTACGGATCAACATTTGGATAATGCCAGCAGTGTTGGGAAGAGTCTGACACGTATATTCACATGTGGGGGGACATGACAACATATTGCATACATTCTCAAGCTTATAACATGGTCTACCTGTCAGGATTACTAGTAGATCCAGCACACAGAATTATATCACACCTAGGACTAAAGGTAACGTCTTACCGGGCCTTAGAATGGCCGGACTTAACGTACCAGAGAATAGTCAGAATACTTGCTGAGGGCAGGGATACAGAAGGAGATACAACGATGAGGGAAAGCCAAAAGGTAAAGATAGCAGAATACAGGGAAGTCAAAACGAAGCCAAAGTCAGTAACCAGAAATAAATGCTCAGGAACACACTCTTGGATAACCTACTAAGGAAAACCACAACAGGGCAATGAGAAGGAGTTAAAATGTGTTTAAATAACTGTTTAGATAACTGTCCTTTGACACCAGAACATGCGTGTGCGTCTTTTGTGTGTCACGCACGTTGACGTCGTCCTTGCCGTGGGGCTATAAAATGACATGGATCCGCAGCGGCCGGCATCAACTAACATGATGCAGGAGTCAGGTATACTGGTGCATAGCTGCTGAGCGGCACAAGGTGAGGATGAATATGTTATATTACCCCCGGGCAGGACCAGGCTTGAGAGGAAACTTGGTATGGAAAGAACGAATCTTGTGGCCAGCATGAATGTCGGAAGCCGGAACCCCAGAAAGCTCGGCAGACCCATACCCCCTCCAATCAACCAAATATTGTAAAGAACCATAAGAAAACCTGAAATCATTTATGGAGGAGACTTCATACTCCTCCTGTCCAGAAACAACCAATGGAGGAGGGGGCACACTTGGGACAGTATACTTATTGCAAATAAGCGGTTTGAGTAACAAAACATGAAATGTATTAGGAATACGTAAGCATGCAGGAAGTGCCAGAGAATATGAAACAGGTTTAATTCTCCGAATGATACGAAATGGACCAAGGAATCTGGGGGAACATTTCATGCCAGGAACTTTTAGTTTGATATTGCGCGATGATAACGACACCTTCTCACTCACCTGGTAAACAGGTTTGGTACCCCGCCATTCATCAGCATGAAACTTGAAACGAGCAGCTGCAGTCTCAAGAGTGGAGTGAACTTTGGTCCAAGTCTCACAAATAGAAGCAAGGTGATCATCCAAAGCAGGGATAGTTGTGTCAGAAAAAACAGCTGGTAGGACAGTAGGATGACGACTGTTATTGACAAAGAATGTACTATGTCTGGAAGAGTCATGGGTAGCATTGTTCCTGGCAAACTCGGCCCAGGGCAATAATTTGGACCAGTTATCTTGTGTGCTATTCACAAAACAACATAAATACAATGCCAATAATTGGTTAGCCCTCTCAGCCGTGCCATTGGTTTGGGGATGGTAGGAGGAAGAATATGACAATTCAATACCCAACTGTTTATTGAAACAGACACAATATTTTGAGACAATGTCTTGTATAAAGATAAGAACCAGGTCTTGAGAGGAAGACAATTTTTTGAGAGGAACAAACTGAGCCATCTTGGAAAAGTGGTCAAGCACCATAAGGATTGTGGTATAACCATTACTAGGAAGTTCCACAATGAAATCCATGGATAAATGAGACCATGGAACACTAGGTACAAGGAGCGGATGTAATAATCCACAAGGAAGTTGATGAGGAACCTTAGAAACTGCACATACTAAACAGGCCTGCACATATTCCTTGACATCTTTCCTGAGTGAATCCCACCAAAATGATCTCAGGATAGCGGATGTGGACTTATTAATGCCTGGATGCCCAGCAGTCACATTGTTGTGGAATACCCTCATTATCTTCTCTCTTTTGATCAACGGAACAAACAATTTATCTGGAGGTTTATTGCAAGGTGCCTGGGATTCAGCCTCTATGATAGCACCAAGCAGAGGTGATGATAAGGAAAGAACAGTGGAAGCAATGATACACTCAGGTGGAACAATAGGAGATGTCTCTTGTTCTTGCACTGATTCAGTGTCAAACTTTCTAGATAAGGCATCAGCTTTAACGTTTTTGGGACCAGGTCTGTAAGTTATAAGAAAGTTAAAGTGAGATAAGAACAAAAGACAATCTAGCTGGCGTAGCATCACCGATATATGCCAAATTTGTGTAGTCAGTTATGATCAAAAGGGAGTCCTTAAAACCCTCTAAAAGATGTCACCATTTTTAAAGTGCTAGTATAATGGCCAACAATTCTCTGTTACCAATATCATAATTACACTCTGCTGAAGACAACTTTCTAGAGAAGTACCCACACGGATGCAAAGGGGTATCCTGACTTTTTCTCTGAGAAAGAACAGCCCTTACCCAAGTTTTGGAGGCATCAACCTCCAGTATGAAGGTTTTGCAACTGTCAAATGTCAGCTGAAGCAAAAAAATTTTAAGAAGTTCAAAAGCTTCTCTAGCTTCCTTAGACCATATCGTACAACTAGCCCCCTTACATGTCATATTGGTGAGGGGGACTATTACAGAAAAGAACCCTTTGATAAATCTCCTGTAGTAATTAGCAAAACCAATAAACCTTTGAATGGCTTTTAGCCCTTTAGGCAATGTACCTCAGTCTGGTCAAAGATGCATTTTTCAAGTTTGCAATAAAGTCTATTCTTAAGCAAGGTTTGCAGCACTTGTTTGACATGTTTGTGGTGAGTCTGAAGGTCAGGGGAATAAATAAGGATATCATCCAAGTATACTAGAACAAATAAATAAATATAGTCTCTGAGCACATCATTAATAAAATCCTGAAATACGTCCGGAACCTTGCATAACCCGAAGGGCATGACAAAGTACTCATAGTGCCCACTTCTAGTGTTAAATGCTGTTTTCCACTCATGATCTTCCTTAATTCTTACCAAATTATACGCACTCCTGAGGTCAAGTTTAGTAAATACTTTAGCACTCTGGAGTCTATCAAACAATTCAGAGATGAGGGGAATGTGATAGGCATTTTTTTTATGGTGATCTTGTTTAATGCCCTGTAATCAATGCATGGGCATAACTCTCCATCTTTTTTAGATGCAAAAAAGAACCCTGCACTAGCAGGTGAGGATGTTTTACGTATGTTGCCTTTACTTAGGGAATCTTTAATGTACTTATCCATGATTCTACTCTCCTGTGGAGATAAGGCATTCACTGCCCCCTTGGGGGGCATAGCGCTGAGTAGCAGATTATAGAATATCAGTCTGACTCTTACTGAATACCTCTCCTTAACCTCCCAGTATTGTATGGGAACTTCTGAGGCCTGAGGCGTAGTAGTGGGCAAAGTAACAAAGTCCACTCTTTTGATAATGGGTAACACACATCTCTCTATACAGTCTTTATGCCACTCCAGCATTTCCCCCTTTGCCCAGTCTATATGAGGATTGTGCTTAATGAGCCAAGGAAATCCTAATATGATGGGACAGGGAGAAGCAATTATCTGGAATGTTATGTTTTCCATGTGTAAAGCTCCTATGGAAATGTTAATAGGCAAGGTTTCGTGGGTAATCAAGGGTTGTGAGAGAGGTCTCCCGTCAATAGCCTCAACGGCCACAGGTGATAATCTCTCCTTGATAGGTATTAAATGTTTTTTAACAAAATGTATGTCAATGAAGTTTCCTGCCGCACCATCAGGGCTTTGCATGAAAAGCTTTTCTTGTTGCAAAGGGCAGTGATATCAAGGAGAAATCTATTTTGGTTATAACCAGAGGACATATCCATCACACCTAAGACCTGTCCCCTTAAGGTTCTTAGGTGCGGAGGTTTTCCGGATGTATGGGACAAGCACTTCTCATATGTCCTTTTTTACCGCAGTATAAACACAGACTCTCCTTTCTCCTATACTGTAGGGATGTGAATGAGGAAAATATTCGGTTCAGCATTCTGAAATTCGGGACTTCGGCATTTCGGGACTTCTCTTGCAGCCGCTTAGTAGATAACTCCCTAATTTACACGGTATTAGGGAGTTATCTACCAAAAGGCTGAAAGACCTAAATTGGTCTTTCAGCCAAATTTACTAATACTAGGTAAAAATGACTTAGTATTAGTCAATTCTGCCCATACTCGCAGTTTATTAAACAGTGAGCAGTCTGGGGGCTTTTAAACTGAAGGGGGGGCCTATTGCCCCCTGGGCCCCCACCCTAAAGTAAAATAAGGAGGGGGGATCCTATTGCCCCCACCCCTGAGCGGTGGGTGCCGGCCCTAAATTACTTTAAGGGGGGGACCTATTGTCCTCCCCCTCTGCACCCAGCCCCGAGCGGCAGGTGGGGGCCCTAAAGAAGAAAAGGGGGGCCTATTATCCTCCCCCCGGCCTTCACCCCTGAGCGGCGGGGGGGGGGTGCCCTAAAGTAAAATAATAGGGGGGGGACCTATTGTCCTCCCCCCCGGCCCCCACCCCTGAGCAGTGGGTGGGGGCCCTAAATACCAATAAGGGGGGGGACCTATTGTCCTCCCCCTGGCCCCCACCCCTGAGCGGTCATTTTACACAGCGTGGGAAAGTTCTTTGGAATTTTCCCACGCTGTGTAATTTGACTCATAACTCTCTGATTGGTTACTTTCAATCCACCAGAGTGTTGTTATGAGTCAAATTACACAGCGTGGGAAAATTCCAAAGAACTTTCCCACGCTGTGTAAAATGACACAGAGCACTATGATTGGCTGGATTTCAAGCTAACCAATCAGAGTGCTGTGACAGGTAAATGTAGAGACTTACCTGTCAGTCTCTTCATTTACCTGTCAGAGCACTCTGATTGGATGGCTTAAACCAACCAACCAGAGTGCTCTGAGCCTCATTGCAGGACGGGGCAAGGCTTTATAAGCCTTCCCCCACCCTGCAGAGCTCAGTCTGTGCGGAGCCCTCCATGGATGAAGATGGATTTTTTTTTTCAAAGTGCGATGGTTATTGTGGATTTTTGGGGACCCCTAGTCACCCTAGGGGGGGGGGGTTACATTTTTATTTAGGGCCCTCACCTGCCACTCAGGGGTGGGGGCCAGGGAGGACAATAGGGCCCCCACTCACTGCTCAGGGGTAGGGGCCAGTGTGAAGGACAATAGATCCCCCCTTATTTTACTTTAGGGCCCCCACTCATCGTTCAGGGTTGGGGGCAATAGGTCCCCCCTTCAGGTTAGAATCCTCCACTCACGCGGCACGGGTGGGCGCTTGGGAGGGGGGGGACAAGGTTTTTTTTTTTACGGTGAGCTGCCACAGTCATAGTTTACTAGACATGCCCCTATTCACGGTATAGCGAGTAGCGGCATAATTTACTAACTTACATTTTATATGAATGTGTGTTACTTGATTGTTGTAAGAGTTGCAAATGCTTACAGCTGAATCCTGGCTATGTTTGTATACCTTTTATTTAAACTTGTATACAGTGTAACATTCTTCATTAGAGATGAGCGAACCCGAACTGTAAAGTTCGGATTCGTACCGAACATTACGATTTTTGGACCCCGAACATTTCAGTAACAGTTCGGGTTCGGTGTTCGGCGATTTAATGGCACTTTTGGAAAGCTGCAGGGCAGCCAATCAACAAGCATTTGACTTGTGTGCCCTACTAATGGCATGGCTGTGATTGGCCAGTGCAGCATGTGACCCAGCCTCTATATAAGCTGGAGTCACATGAGCTCTTATTAGTGTAGGGAGAGGATGCTGCAGCTGTGAGGGACAGATTAGGAAAGAATTCTGGTGTTGAATCTGCAACCTACAGCGATTATTTTTGTGGGTGCTATACTACATTTCTGTACCCTGCCCTGAGCCCAGTGCCACAGAGAAATAAGCAATCAGTCTGTTTGTTAGGTGGGCACTTGCAACTGCATGTGTGCCAGGCACATTACTTTAATCCTGTTCTGGTAGCTCAGTGGGCAACATCTAGGCATTTTTAAATAGTGCTGTGACATCCCACTTTGAAAAATTCTCATTTTTTGGGGGCTAAAAAGTATATTTGGGGTGTACACTGCATTTCTGAGATTCAAATAGAACCATCAAATACTGCTGTGACATTGCAGTTGGACTAATTCACATTTTTTTGGTGTTAGAAAGTACATTTGTGGCGTGCACTTCATATCTGAGAGTCAAATAGAACCGTCAAATACTGTGGTTACATCGCACTTTGAAAAATTCACATTTCTATGGTGCTAAATAGTACATTTGCTGCCTGCGGTCCACTTCATATCTGAGAATCAAATAGAACCGTCAAATAAGGTGGTTACATCGCACTTTGAAAAATTCAAATTTGTTTGGTGCTAAAGTAAATTTGGGGCGTGCACTTCATATCTGAGAGTCAAATAGAGATGTCAAATTCTGTGGTTACATCGCACTTTGAAAAATTCAAATTTTTTTTGGTGCTGAATAGTACATTTGCGGCCTGCAGTGCATTTCTTGCAGTCCAATAAACCCCTTAAATACTACTGTTACATTGTTGGTTTAAAAATTTACACTTTTTTGAGCTAAAAAGAACATTTGCGGCCTGCGGTGCATTTCTTGCAGTCCAATAAAAATTAAAATAAAAATAATCACTGGAGAGAAAGAGGAAGTACACCCCTACCCACCCGCGATCCCTGACCCTGAATGCCAGCATTTCAAAATTCCTGGCCTTTGAAATGCTGTCATTCTGTCTGGTGGAGACAGACAGTTTTAAAAACCTGATGGCGGTGGCTGTCCCACAGTACGTGGTTCCCAGCAGCCACTACTTTTCCAGGCGAGCCATCCCTTCCCTGCACAACCAATTGTCGAGACAAAATCAGGTGTGCACTGCACAACGCCATCTGTGGCAAGGTCCACATAACCACTGATACGTGGACCAGTAAGCACGGGCAGGGACGCTATATCTCCCTAACTGCACACTGGGCAAATGTAGTGGTGGCTGGGCCTGAGGCGGATAGCAGTTTGGCGCATGTCCTTCCGCCACCGAGGATTGCAGGGCATTTCTCTTTGCCTCCTGTTGCCTCCTCCTCCTACTCCTCTTCCTTCTCCTCCTCTCCCACCTCCTCATCCAGTCAGAGTAACACCTTCACCACCAACTTCAGCACAGGCAGGAGGAAACGACAGCAGGCTGTTTTAAAACTAATATGTTTGGGGGGAAAAACCCACACCGCGCAGGAGATGTGGATGGGCATGGGACAACAGACCGATGATTGGTTGTTGCCACTGAGCCTCAAGCCCGGCCTGGTGGTGTGCGATAACGGGCGAAATCTCGTAGCAGCTCTGGGCCTAGCTGGTTTGACGCACATCCCTTGCCTTGCGCATGTGCTGAATTTGGTGGTGCAGAAATTCCTGAAAAACTACCCAGATATATCAGAGCTGCTGCAGAAAGTACGGGCCGTCTATGCACACTTTCGGCGTTCTCACCCTGCTGCTGCTCACCTGTCTGCGCTGCAGAGTAACTTCTGCCTTCCCGCTCACCGCCTCATATGCGACGTGCCCACGAGGTGGAACTCCACCTTGCACATGCTGAAGAGATTGTGCGAGCAGCAGCAGGCGATAGTGGAGTTTCAGCTGCAGCACCCACGGGTCAGTCGCTCTGAACCAGACTTACCCTCCAATAGATCCTCGTTAAAGGATTTAAAGTGTACTCATTCCAATTACAGGGCCTCGAAAGAGTCCTGTATTGTTATTTTTCATCACTACCTCCCCGCGTCGGGAGTGGGTAATTTGCGCGCCTGCTGCCTTCCTTGGATGTGGTAGCCGTTTCTCAGGCTCCCTCTCCGGAATCCAACCCTGATTCCCCTGTTACCTGTGGTCACCATGGTAGGCACAGAAAGTACTATCGAAAGTTGATAGGGAAGACATCCGAATGCGTTGTCGCCGTCACAGGGACGTGCGATCGACCCGAGGTTATCTAGAGTCACCAAAGTGTCTGCGCAATGACTGCCGAGTTGCCCACATTCTAACTTGTGCTGATTACTGGGTGGCCACCCTGCTGGATCCTCATTACAAGGACAACGTGCCGTCCTTAATTCCCTCACTGGAGCGTGATCGGAAGATGCGCGACTACAAGCGCACGCAGATAGACGCGCTGCTGAGGGCATTCCCAACTGACACTGGGGGCTCAGTGGAAGCACAAGGCGAAGGCAGAGGAGGAGGAAGAGGTCACCAACGCAGCTGGGGCACCGCCAGCACCTCAGAAGGCAGGGTTAGCATTGCTGAAATGTGGAAATGCTTTGTCAGCACGCCCCAACAACCAGCACCACCAGCTGATATGGAACATCTTAGCAGGAGGCAGCATTTCAGCAACATGGTGGAACAGAATGTGTGCGCACACCTACACGTACTGACTGATGGCATTCCCAACTGACACTGGGGGCTCAGTGGAAGCACAAGGCGAAGGCAGAGGAGGAGGAAGAGGTCGCCAACGCAGCTGGGGCACCGCCAGCACCTCAGAAGGCAGGGTTAGCATTGCTGAAATGTGGAAAAGCTTTGTCAGCACGCCCCAACAACCAGCACCACCAGCTGATATGGAACGTCTTAGCAGGAGGCAGTATTTCAGCAACATGGTGGAACAGTATGTGTGCACACACCTACACGTACTGACTGATGGGTCTGCCCCATTCAACTTCTGGGTCTCCAAATTGGGCACATTGCCTGAGCTTGCCCTTTATGCCTTGGAAGTACTGGCCTGTCCTGCAGCCAGTGTATTGTCGAAATGTATGTTTAGCACGGCAGGGGGCGTTATCACAGACAAGCGCAGCCGCCTGTCCACAGCCAACGTGGACAAGCTCACGTTTATTAAAATGAACCAGGCATGGATCCAACCAGACTTGTCTGTACCTTGTGCAGAATAGGCATTTATACCGGCCTCACCCAACCATTGTTATACTCAAGTGCACTTATTCTTTGTTTTCTTTTTTTATATGTTCCAATATTTTGGGGGCTACCCCAATTGTTTGCAGGGCACTTGTCCTACTCTTACCCCCATTTTACTTCCTTTTGCAGCCCTCTACAGAATGCCAAACTTCGGCAAAAATTTTGTTTTCGTACTCGAACTTGACCCCGAACCCCATTGAAGTCAATGGGGACCGAACTTTTGGGCATTTTTCCACTGGGTAGGTATATTAGTACTTAATAGTACTTAATACTGTGCTTCGGAACTTCAGCAATTCGGACATTCGGAAGTCTCTGAATTGCCTGAAATTCGTCTGAATTGACATTCGGAACGAAACAAATTGCACATGTCTACTATACTGTCTCTCTGTCTCTGACAGTCTAGTGACCACTCACTGCATAGGTTCGGGTTCAGACTGTACAGAGAGGTCAGGAATAATAGGTTTGGAGAATCGAGGTGCCAGTGACATAGCCATAAGTTTTTTTCTATTTCTGGTAATTTCCCTGGTCCTATGTCTGTTATCAATCTGCATAACATATGTGATGGACTCATTTAACCTCTTAGGTAGATCTTTGGCAGCAATTTCATCAAAAATTGCGTTGGATAATCCTTCTTTAAATGCAGAGATTAAACCGCTATTAGTCCAGTCTACCTCAGAAGCCAAGGTGCGAAATTCTATGGCATAATCTGAGATAGACCGGTTCCCCTGTTTGATATGCATTAGGGCAGTGGAAGCATCATCCTCCCTGCCCAATGGTTCAAATGTTAATTTGAATTCCACAAGGAATTCCTGGTAAATACGCAATACTCATATTACTCTCCCATAAAGGATTGGCCCAAGTTAAGACTTTACCTTTAAGTTGGTTCATTAGGTAACCAATCTTTACTCTATCCGTGGGAAAAGACCCCGGTGAGGCCTCAAAGTGGTACTCATTTTTTTTCAGAAATCCCCGGCATTCTTGAATAGAACCATCACAATGCAAGGGAGGAGATAGGGAGATAGTAGGTGCCTTATGTACTATAAATGCAGGTACATTAGGCAGAGGAGACATCGTTGGAGAAACCTCAGGTTGTAGATGCGCTGTCCGAGTAAGAAGCGTACTGAAAGCCTGGGCAAATTGATCCATACAGTGATCATTCTCCCCTAGTTTTCTCTTGCAAGCTATGTGCTGATACAATTTTGGATCTATGGCCATGTTGTAATGTCAGGATTACTAGTAGATCCAGCACGTAGTGTTATATCACACCTAGGACTAAAGGTAACATCTTACCGGGTCTTAGAATGGCTGGACTTAAGGTACCAGAGAATAGTCAGAATACTTGCAGAGGGCAGGGATACAGAAGGAGACACAACGATGAGGGAAAGCCAAAATTCAAGGATACTAGAATACTGGGAAGTCAAAATGAAGCCAAAGTCAGTAACAAGAAATAAACGCTCAGGAATACACTCTCAGATAACCTACTAAGGGAAACCACAACAGGTCAATGCAAAGGAGTAAAATGTGTTTAAATAAGCCTCCTACAGATCCGATTGCCCGTAACCGGCCTTTGACCCCCAGAACGTGCGTGTGCATCTTTTGCGTGGCGTCACACGCACGTTGACATAGTCCTTGCCTTTGGCGGATGTGGGGCTATAAAATGACGTCGATCTGCAGCGGCCGGCGTCCACCAACACGTTGCAGGAGTCAGGTATACTGGCACATAGCTGCTAAGCGTCACAAGGTGAAGATGAATATGTTACACTGCCTTCATCTATAACTTGCACACAAGTGTGGCCATGCTTAACACTTACTATTCTGTACTAAATCTGATAAACCAGCCATAAAGACTGACCCGCCACTATAGTGAGAGACCATAAAAATCAAGAGATCAAAATATAATCCAAGTCTTTAGAGAAAGCAAGCGGTTTAAAACCATCTGCCAGGACAAATCTGTCAGATCTTTTATACTATTTGGAAGTTAAAGAAACATTATAGCGTTAGGAATACATATTTGGCACAGTTTAGATGACCGGTCAGCACTGCCAGGGTTAAAAATCTGATTTATTTCCCTTGCTACACTGGTATCCTCCATGTTGCCAGCCTTGTTGGCTGAGGTAATCAATGTTGATAATCTCAGCCAATCCAATGCTTTCCCATAGGGAAGAATTGGGAGGCATGCAGTATATATTTTTTTGTCTATTTTTGTTTTCCTACTGGGGTGAATAGATGCAGAAAGTGGGTGCTGGCTTCATTCATCAGTTTAGCCTTTCAGTGAGTACAAGTAAAACTTTTGGAAAGTGGAAAATACTACATAAGGCAATTAGGTAAATTAATAATCTGAAGATGTAATGGATAAAGTGGTTAGTGGGACATATTAGGGTAAATGGATTACAAAGTATAGGGTGATATATGGTTTAAAGGGCTTTAGTGTAAGACAACAGAATAAAACTGACTAAGAAAAACATTTGAGAGGATAGAAAACTTATAGGTTTAGAAGGGGAGTAATCTGCATTAAAGGAGGAGACATGGAAATTTTTGGAAAAGATGGAAAAACTATTTTAGCAATGGGTATGCCAACAACCTAGTTCTGCATCATACCTTTTATATACAAATATGCGCATAAGATCATTGTTCTAGACTTAAGCTTTGTTATATATCTTTCCAGAAGCAACATGATAAGTGAAGCTCCATCAGTTTTCCTGGCAAATTTCATTGTACACCACAAACCTCCATTTAAAAAAAAGAGGATTGACAACATGTACACAATTGTTCTTGAGGGCAAGCAGAAGTGTTACATAGAAGGCACGATCAAACTGTGCCAGTGATAGTACATGCTGGCATGCTGTGTCAGCTTTTCGTGGAAAATGAGCTCTGGAAGGTTCACAAAGTCTTTATAGTCTCTGTGCAACTGATATTTATCTATGGGACTGGAAATTTCCACTAACTTACCAGGACAACATAAAACAGGACAGCCCATGTATCACAAACACAGACGTTCTAAATCAGGATGTTACAAAGAAATTATAATTGAACGAAGAACAGACAGAACAACAAAAGGGCCCCCGATTTAGTGACACTGTCTCCATATTAAGATATAATGAAGGTCATTTATTCAGAGCAACATTTCAAATTTGAACCAGTCAGCTGGAGCATAACCCTGCTTTGTATTGCAATTACATTGTTTATAGAACTTTGCTGCTAACATGGTATGCTACAGTTAATGAAAGCAAAATTGGCACCAGTCTTTCACATGGACAGCATCTTTATGGGGAAATATGTCAATAAGCGCAATTGGAATTTCCAATTCTATCAAAATAATATACACAAGACATATTTCTGTAAACACCATTTTTTTGGAACATGCAAAACAAGACATGGCTTAGAGAGGCACCATAATCCTTACAATCAGTGTCACTTCCCCATTGGCCATATCAATTCAGTGTAAATTTGAACAGCATTGTTTGACTGAAAGTGTCAGCTGATGCACTCATCCAAATTTCATCCAACATGTATCCATGCCTGGATGTACCCGTCCAGGGTCCATACTTCTGTGACGGTTGTGTGCGAGTGGCTTTTCTGGAAGCTCAGATTGGCGATCTTGAGAAGCAAATTGCAACATTGAGGGAGATCGACAATCTTGAGAGGAGTCTGCTGCTCACTGAGCAGAGTTTAGTGGGGACAGGTAGTGGAGAGGGAGAAGATAAGACAGATGGGGAACAGGCACGTAGGTGGGTGACAGTGGGTCGAGGAAACGGGGGGGGGGGAGGGAAGGGCTAGCTAGTCCTGATTTATTGCAACCTAGCAGATTTGCCCGTTTGAGTGAAAATGTTGGGAGCATCAGCTCAGGAGTAGCTGTATTAGAGGAAGCTGTTACTTCTAACAGCGGAGATAACAGCCCCTCTAGTACGGGTGGGGATGAATATGTAAGGAAGGCTAGACAGGTTGTGGTGGTAGGGGACTATCATTAGGAGAGTAGATAGGCCAATCTGCCGCTCTGATCGGCTCAAGCGGACAGTTTGCGGTCTCCCGGGTGCTCGGGTCCAGCGTGTTGCTGACAGAGTGAATGGATTATTTGGAGGGGCTGGGGATGACCCAGCGGTCATGGTCCATGTTGGTACCAATGACAAAGTAAGAGTACCAATGACAAAGTCCTAAAGAATGATTTCAGGGAATTAGGTAGCAAACTTAAGAAAAGGACCTCCAAGGTGGTATTCTCTGAGATATTACCTGAGCCGCGTGCTACAGTGGAAATGCAGTGGGAGATTAGAGAGGTCAGTGCGTGGCTGAAGTCTTGATGCAGGAAGGAGGGTTTGGGGTTTTTAGAGCATTGGGCCGACTTTGCACTTGGGTACAACCTTTATAGCAGTGATGGGTTGCACCAAAACGGGAGAGGATCTGCAGTGCTGGGGATAGGATGGCTAGAAGGTTGGAGGAGATTTTAAACTAGTAGTAGGGGGGGAGGGTCATATCAATCTACAAAATGGAGATAGGACAGAAAGGAGATGGGCTTTATCTCAGTATAAGGGGGGAGGAGGGGCAAGTTCAGAAGAGAAGGTATGTAATGTTAATAATTCACAAAAAGTGACTCATGATATTAAATGTATGCTTACTAATGCAAGGAGCCTAAATAACAAAATGGGGGAACTAGAGGCAATAGCATACACTAAACAATATGACATAATAGGCATTACTGAAACATGGTGGGATGAGACACATGACTGGGCAGTTAACTTAAATGGGTTCATGTTATTTAGGAAGGATCGGAAAAACAAGAAGGGGTTTGTTTGTATGTCAACCATGAGTTAAAGCCAAATCTTAAGCAAGTGGAATGTGATGAGGAAAATGTGGCTGTTTATGGGTAAATATCTGCTTGGAGCAAAAGAAGGGAAATCAACTATCGGTTGGGATATTTATAAACCACCTAATGTTAATATTGACGAGGAACAACAGCTGTTTGAGCAAATGTAGAAAGTTGCAAATCTGGGTAACACTTTAATTATTGGAGATTTTAATTACCCGGACATAAATTGGGATAGAGGGACTAGAAGCTCAGAAAAGGGAATTAGGTTTTTGAACTTGTTAAATGACACCTTCATGTCACAACTTGTACAAGCACCAACTAGAGAGGACGCTTGTCTGGACCTGGTTCTAACAAACAACCTTGATCTTTTGACCAACATTCAAGTAGGTGAGCACTTGGGAAATAGTGATCACAATATAGTGTCCTTTGAAATAAACTAAAAAAAAAAAACAAAAGCACATGGGGTATACTAAGACATATAATTTTTAAAAGGCCAATTTCTATAAGTTAAGGGCAGCTTTACAATATATTGAGTGGAATAAACTCTTTAGTGAAAAGAACACTGAGGATAAATGGAAAATCTTCCAACAAATATTAGAAAGGTATGTACCATTGGGAAATAAATATAAAATAAACAAATTGAAACCAATATGGCTTAGTAGAGAAGTAAAACAAGAGATTAAAAATAAGAAAAGGGCATTTGAAGCATTTAAATCGGACAAGTCAGATGCATCCTATAAAAGATATAAGGAAGTCAATAATGCAAAAAGGTGATTAGATTCGCTAAACTTCAAAATGAAAAAATGATAGCCTAAGAGAGCAAAACCAACCCCAAAGCATTTTTTTAAGTACATACATTCTAAAAAAATGTTTAAAAAAATTAAAGTGTAGGTACACTAAAAACTGAAATGGGGTGTTAGTTAATGAAGACCAGGAAAATGCAGGAATTTTAAATAACTATTTCTCCTGCATATTTATTAAGGAAGAACCCATGGCATTAGATGTGCAAATGATTGCTGCTAAAAACTTGCAGAAAAATTGTAATTGGTTAATTGAAAACAAGATGCTGCAGCAACTAAATAAAGTTAATATAAACAAAGCTCCAAGGCCTGATGGTATTCATCCACAAGTACTTAAGGAACTAAGTGTAGAAACAAGTGAACCTCTGTTTTTAATCTTTCAAGATTCTTTTCTTTCAGGAAGTGTTCCGGAGGATTGGAGGAAGGCAGATGTGGTTCCTATATTCAAAAAGGGTTCAAAATCCTTGCCTGGAAATTATAGACCTGTGAGCTTAACTTCTGTGGCTGGGAAAATATTTAAAAGGTTATTAAGGGATAATATTCAAGAATTCCTTGAGAACAACATCAGCAAAAATCAGCATGGTTTTATGAAGCACAAGTCTTGTCAAACTAACTTGATTGCATTCTACGAAGAAGTAAGTAGAAGTATAGATCAGGGTGTTGCAGTGGATGTAATCTATTTGGATTTTGCCAAGGCATTTGATAAAGTTCCACACAATAGATTAGTGTTCAAACTGAAGGAAATCGGTCTAGATGAAAAGGCTTGTTCTTGGGTAGAACATTGGCTTAAAAATAGAGTACAAAGAGTTGTTATTAATGGTAAATTTTCAAGCTGGACAGAGGGGGCAAGTGGTGTCCCTCAGGGTTCTGTTCTTGGACCCCTTCTATAAATGATCTTGAAAAAAGCATTGTGTAGGACAGTGTCTGCAACCTCCAAGTACCACAACCACTACACCGGGCTCTAGAGGTTATGGTTCTAACAGTACCCCTTTAAAACAGCACTGTCCCTCAGACCCCCTGGCCTCCTCCTTTTCAGTGAAAGGCTTAAAAAACCCTTTCTTTCACCTACATGATTCCAGAGCCGATGTCCTCCTCCTCCATTGATGCCAGCCAAAGGGGGAAACTAACGCTGAATGCACACCTTATGCCTTTCTCCATAGGAAAGCATTGACTCAATGCTTTCCTATGGGGTTTTGCTTGACGCTGGATGTCCTCATGCAAAGTGTGAAGATGTCCAGCATCGTTTCAGGGAGTCAAATGCCGGTAAACTACAGGAAGAACCTCTAGTGGCTGTCTGGTAGACAGCCACTAAAGGCAGTCTTAACAATGCAATGTAAACATTGCAGTTTGTCTAAAACTACAATGTTTTATATTGCAGGGTTAAGGGGACAGGGACACTGCACCCAGACCACTTCAATGAGATGAAGGTTTCTATATTATTCCTTTAACTTTTTACTTTTCGGTCATCATTAGTGATGTCTGAAAGGAAAAATACATCCTGTTTGATGGTTGTGGAACTGTGAATATGTGATAGAAGATCTGTGAAAAATCCCAGTACTCTCTTCTGTAGAACACATTATGTACTCTTATAAGCAAGAGAAAAAATGTGGCAAGGCTCCTACTAAGTCAGTAAGAGGAAAGAAGATGGTGGGCTAAGGAATGAAAATGGAAGGGAAGAACAGCTCCTTCTATGTTTATTAGTAAAAGTTATTCTCGTCAAAGAAATTCACTGCCTTGCTTAATCAAAATAGCATTTGTATTCACCAAAATAAACAGGTTATATTATAAAATGCATTACATCATATATACTTGTTACTTTTTAGGTTTTACGAGGAACATACCATGTTGCGTTGTTGAGGTCATATCATAGCAATAGGGTTCTAGATGGGCTAGAAACCTGCCAATGCTGAGGAAATACAATTATTTACTGATTGTTATCAGCGCTGGATAAATATATATCGGACAGACATGAGTGCAAACTAACACTCCCCCCGCATTGTTAGTAATCACAGACATACAAACCTCACTCTTTCCTCTCATATTCAGAGGTCCCAAGTGGGCAGGGTTAATGTCAGTAGTAATAGCCGACATGATATCAAACACCCCAGCAAGAGTCAAGACTATAAAGTCGCTGGTCAGTTTTCTGTGGATATTGTCACAAGACCAATAAGACAGTAAATGCACATTTTACTTCCAGGAAAGAGTCCTCTCACCACCTGAAAAGCTAGGCAAACATAGCCTAGTATTAGGTTTTATTTATAGTTCCTGCAAGAGGTAAAAGAATGGAGAGTGAGCAGTAAGAAATCAAGATGGGCAATTGCAGGGTTGAATTACACCCCAGACTCCTTTAGGTGCATATTTGTCTGGAGCCCCAGCAGTTTCTAATAAAGAGGTTCATGTCTGCACGGCCTGTGTGATGAAAGGTCCTTGTCTTAGAGGTCACAAGATGTGGTTGCAGCTTCAACTTTTACGCAGGTGTACAAACCTTGGCCTGCAACAAAAAATACAGCAGAGGTGGGTAAGACAGCAGAAAGTCCATGCATAGAGTAAAACATCGGAATAAAAGAGGGTACACTGCGTGTGGGGGATGAGCAGGAGCTGCAGTATAAATAATAGGAAAGAGTTTAATAATCATTTACTTTTTACAAAAGTCTTGGAAAATACTGATTAGCCTCAGCTGAACACTGTGAGTGGTTTTCAGCCACTGGGAAATCATATGAGGATGACGGGGATCTCCTTCGAGAAACACATCCCTGTAAAGGAGAGAAAAGAGGAACTATTATGAAACTTTGTATCTGGAACATAAATTTTGGACTTTACCATATTTACTCACCCATTATGTTTCAGGAGGCATGTTGTAAGATGCAGGATCCCCTTAATAACATCCATTCCATCATGTCCTCCATCTAATGCATTGTGATCTTCGTACCTAGTGCAACGTATTTATATCAGAAACAGCTGCCGTATTGAACAGTATTACACAGCAAGGACCATGCTATAGCTTTAATAGATCAGTCATGTGAATACCTGGAGATCTCTGGATCCAGCATTGACATATCAGCAGTGAATATATAAGGTGGGTTGCTGACTATGACATCTATTGGACCCCATGTCAGCAGACGTTCTGGGGGATCTGTTTAAAAGTAAATAAAAAGAGTGGTGAGTGTGTATAATGGCTGAAGTAGACAAAAACATGCAGAATAAAAGTTTGTAATTTTTTTTTTTTTAATGCAATGAAAAATGCAAACTCGTAGTACTTGGTGAAGTTAATGCTAAAAGGGTGTTGCTCATAAGGAACAGAACATAAAAGCAGATATCGCACTGTTCAAACAAAATAGAATTTGAACGACAGATAAAACCAAATGTTAGATGGACAGCATGGAAAAGGGGTGTAATGTATACAGGCTCCTTACCGAACAAGATATCATGCTGCAATACTTGGATTTTGTTCTGGAGTCCATATCTGAGGAGAGTTCAAAATATACTTACAGAAGACATATTTTGCTTTTTAATATTGGCTTTGATTTAATTAAATCAGCAAAACACAGTCGATAATTCTCATTTGTTTTTGGCCGCTTTTTAAATTTATTTTTATAAATTGCATTTCGGCTAGAATTCCTATCAGCTGAAATACAAGCAGCTAAAACAGGTCCAAAAGCTAGCAATTACGGATAAATATGCCTTTTGGGTGGAGGCTGAAAATTAATAAATGGGGAATGGACACGTCACTGTGGGTGGAGGGTCTATTACATAAAAAAAGGGATGCATCCCAATGTGGTCAATGGGTGGGGGCTTCTAATATAATTATGTTGGGATCACACAATGGTCCTCAGCCCCATCCCATTGGCAGCAGGTGGAGGGCTACGAATAATGTAATAAAAAAGGGGACCTATTGCCCCGCCCCTAGGTCGGCCTAACCTCTAGGTGAATAGGGATCCAAGACCATAGCCAAACACCTTAGTTAAAAAAGAAATACTGCCTAATTCCCTCACCCTAATAATAGTGAAGGACACCAATAAATCTAAACACCTGTATAATACGTTTATTTACTTGCACCCTGTGTTATTGAAATTTCAACAGTCACCCGATGACCCCAGTCACATTGACCTGCACTGCACAGGCTTTTATTTGTATTATATTATATATATATATATATATATATATATATATATATATATATATATATATAATTTTTATTTATTTTTTTAACTACTTTTAGGTGTTAACTTTTACAAAGTCATTAATCAGTGATTATGTGCCCAAACTAACAGAATCACAGAAGCTGATATTTTCAATGTAAATTATGGCTACGGATTTTCATATTCAAACCAATATTTATCAGCTCCGGATGAGACTTTATCAGCAGTGATGTAATTGATCCCAACCATAAAATGGCTTATTGGGGGTTGATAAACTACTGATAAATGTAATCAGCTGTAATCAAGGCCATTGTTGGGTATGTTTTTAGTCACCATTTATTTGTTCCCTTTACAAAAATATCCCTCCTTCAAGACATGACCACTTTCTCCTAGTAATCACATTGCTCTTCCACATATCCAATGATTGGAATTCCCTCCCATAAATCTATATATAAATCACCCACCGTAGAACTGGTTTATTAGTTAAATGTAATCCCCATGTGGCCCCTCCAGTCACTTTATCCTCCAATGCCTCCTATTAATCCATATAAACAGCCTGTGGCGGTCTGCCAGTGTCACTATGCCATCTTCAGGTTTTGCAGCCACAAAAGGAAACTGAAGCCATATTGACAGACTGATTAATTCTCTAGGTGCTACACTGCAATGTATTTTCAGGTCTATAAATATTGAATCTATTCTATATTTTTTGATTGTACACTTACATCTGTTTGTTTCTGTTTTGTATAGTACAACACGTACGAAAGAATAAGGACATTCATGTTCTATTAAATATATCGTTTGGTAATAATATACGATTCCCCATATCTATTTTTGCTGTTACCAGAGGATTCAGGGTAAAAATAAAAGTAAATAAAATTTGAAAGGTGATTGGCTGCTATCTTTTGTCAAAACACATATTGTTAAAATAAAATAAAAATCCCAAATATGAAAAATAAGGACTGAATAATGGCTACAGTATGCTAAAAGTGAGACTCATATAGTAAACACATACAACAAGGGGAAGTATGTTCCATTGCCCTCTGTCATTACTTAATGATAGAAGTGGTTGACCTTTTCTCTCCGGTCTGCAGACTATATGTTCTAGGTGTTTAGCCAGCCAAGACTGTAAAAAGCATCATGGGAAGTATCACCGGAAAAGATATTCTCAAAAGCTGTCCAAAAATGCATTCTCCAAATTTTGTGTATGCTGTGACCCTCAATGCATTACTATATATAAATGTTTCACAATGGATGAACGTTGGTCCGCACACATGGATAATCCCAAGTAATCCACAGAAAAGATATGAATATGAAAAAAGTGCACATTTATTAATTTAAAGGTATACATATCAAAAATCCACGGTATCACACTGTCACAGCAGCCCTCACTGATGCTAAAGGTAGTGCAGGCATATCACACAAAAACAATATTGTGGTCTGGAGTAACATGAAATTCCCAGCAAGAAAGAAAAACAAACTAAAAAAAATAAAGCAAATATTCAAAAAAAATATCAATTTGTCGTACTACCTGCGACTGCCGGAAATAGGAGAGACCAGCCAGGTGACTACCCTGAAAAAAAGTGTGATCAAGCCCTGACGTTTTTCGCACTTTCCCTATATATAAATGTCCCCTATATTAAATAATAGGGGTTAAACCTGCTCCCAGTAGCTACCCAGGCTCTCATTGTCCAGCAATTCACCTTTCTGCATTATTCCGCGTGAGATTCACAGCCTCTTCTGTTTTATCTATTGCCACAACACAAGCCTGTAATACACAGAGAGAAAATGATCACCCACCAATAGCATAAGGCAGTGGGAACTTGCTTACTTAAAGAAACAGCGGAGTGACCCTCTCTAAACCAGATATACAAGAGAGGCCTCCACATATCTCAATAACAGATTACCTTCCCTCCAGAGAAACCAAGGGAGTGTCTTTTAATCGATCAATCATACTGGATGTCTATGCAAGATGCATTCCAAGGGCATCATGCCAACCTCACAGACAGATTTAGTGCCTCCCGCCTCCCAAGCAGAGATCACCTATCTGCCCACATACATACCCATGTATTGCTCTTACCTCCTAGACATTCCAAAGATCTCCTTTTAATTTCAAGATATATTCCCTGTCAAATCTCAGACATAAAGGGGACCCCCCCCCCCCCAAAGAACACTAAAGATCATTTACTCTTGCAACATATAAAATGTGTTAAACTTACTACTCCTTGTTAGAAATTTCTCCTAATTTTAAACATTATGTAATGTCTCATTCCTACCATATATATATATATATATATATATATATATTTTTATATATATATATATATAATGCTGCAACATTCAATCTTTATATGAAAAAAACTGGATTTATAATCACATTTAAAACATATAGAAGTGCATTCATTAAGCTGTGCAGAGATGGCCAATAGGTAGGTCCACAGCTGCTTGACTGCAACTTCCGTGATGTCTTGAAAATACTTAAAGCCAGAAAGGCATGGGAGTTGGAGTTATGATTATAAAACAGCTGGGGATCTATCGCTTTTACAAGATAAATCTCACAGTAAACTCTGCAGGTACTGCTGCACATACTGTTTGATTTAACTGAGTTCCTGGTGTTTACATGTTGAATCAAATTGCTCAAACACACGTCACCTGTGGCAGACTCCGTTGTAAGGCCAAAGATACAGCCCCTGAACCGCACCCCACTTCAAGAATTCGGGGTCCTGTGGAAGACAGCAGCCCCTGGCTGTCAGCAAGTACTAGGCCCACCAGTTCCTGAAACCAGGAGGGAAATTTGAAAGTAAACAATGCAAAGGTTAATAGATCTGCATATAAAATTGTATTTTTGAGTCTACATATATGATACTGGACCAGTCCATATAAAGCAGTATAAATGAGTACTAGACGAATGTTTGGCAACAGCAACATTTAATTTATGTGTGAGCTGTAAGGTATGCATATGTGTACAAGTGCGTGATCGATATCTGGTCTGTGTGGAAGAAGAACAGGTGACATGTTATTTGACCTTTAGATTCTCCCATGTTGTCACATTACACTACTGAAATCAAAGCCTGGGACAGACATTACATAAGACCTCTTTTTAGATATGTGGGTACCAGTCTGCTTAGCATTGCATTGCTCAGCATACCACTCTTAATAAATTAGTAAACTGAACCTGAATACAGACACACTAAGTTATAGATATATCATAAAGCAGGTCTAATGTGTATTTTTTCATTTTTTTTTTACGAGAGTGTGGTTGTAATAAAAATTCTTTGTAAATTTGATCAAAACCCTTATTTTTAATCTTCATCCAAAATGTGCCATTTTTAAAATTGTTCATGTGTAAATGGAGGTATTGCTACAATGCAGAACGCTAATTTACTTTTTTGCTCTGGAACTTGATTGATGGCTGATTTGAGCCATCAGTCGACTTACAAATATTGAGTTGTGAGGAAATGGACAAATTCTTAAAGGAGCACTGTACTGTCACACCCTTTAAACAGTTACTTCCGAGTGGGCTACATTTCAGTGTAGGATTTAACAGGTAAATAACTTATTTGCTAGTAGCCAAGTTTGTTTTTGTTGCATGGACATATAACTGAATCTTGGGAGATTCATCATCGGTAATTTCACAAAGGAATGAGTAAAAAATAGTGGAATCTTATTTTCGAAATGGCTGAAAATGATTAAAATTTGATGTCCTCTAGCAGATAATTTCAAGAAATTCTCAAATTAACTGCCTGCCACGGCCCCTCCATACCCCTCCTGACACCACTGGGGTCGAGAGTGGTCCAATCACAGGCATTTCATAGAGAAGCCTGTGATTGGATAATTTCACCAGCTCAGAGTGCATGCACGCGCTCTGGATTGGGATGGGAGGGAGGCAGAAGGAGGGAGTGGGTAGGTGTTTCTTTATAAAAAAAACAAACAAAAAAAAACATCTTATGTGCAAGGATGGAGGCAGGAGGGTGCACAATGTAGATGAGAGGGAGGGGAGATTTTCATGTCTGTAGTCAGAGTGCAGTGCCCGCTGACAACCGAAGTCATTTATGCAAAGAATTTAAATTCATTTCAAATTCTGGGAGTTCTGGGCTGCCTAAATCATGTGTGCTGGAGGTGCAAATAGCCCCCAGCACACAATTGAAAATATCTCTGTATATGGGGTATTTCAAGTAGAAGCACTGCACATACATACTCCTACCACCATGACCACTTCAAATAAAAGAAGTGGTCATGGTGGTTGGAGTAACCCTTAACATTGTTGGATAAGATTTTTAAATTATTTAATATTTTTGGATAAACCTTTAAAATAATTTAATATTATGAATATTTTAATGTTGCTATATTTAGAATGTTTTTATATATTTTAAAAACTCATTTTAAAAGTTTAGCCAAAAATATTAAATAATTTTAAAAGCTTATGCAAATATATAAAAGGGACACTCCAGGCACCCAGACCACTTCTGCCCAATGGAGTGGTCTGGGTGCCAACTCCCACTACCCTTAACCCTGCAACTGTAATTATTGCAGTTTTTATAAACTGCAATAATTACCTTGCAGGGTTAACTCCACCTAGACAGCCACTAGAGGGCACTTCCTGCTCTATAGCACAGAAAACCTGTGCTAAAGCGTCGCTGGACGTCCTCATGCTGTGTGAGGACCTCCACCGTTGCTCAGTTCCCCATAGGAAAGCATTGAAAAGCATTTTCAATGCTTTCCTATGGGGAGCTCTAATACGCGTGTGCGGCATTGCCGCACATGCGCATTAGGTCTCCCCGGCCAGTGGACGGGATCAGTCTCGCCCACCGGCCGACGTAATGAAGAGGAGGAGTGGCGGAAACCCGAAACCACCGCAGGTTTTCACCCCTTCAGCAATCGGGGATGGGTGGTGGGAGGGAGAGGGGACCTGCAGTGCCAGGAAAACGGATTGTTTTCCTGGCACTGGAGAGTCCCTTTAAACAGAGACCTGTGTTAGTATTGTAAAATAATTTCTTTGGGGCTACTATATTTTCAAGCAGCACAACAACAGCTTTAAAAAAAAAAAAAAATCTACTTACGTCATTCTAGTGATGTCAGTCGTCTTCTCGCGGAACTCCACTCCTTGTGACGTAGTCAACTCACAGAATATTAGTCCAATCCAATGCTTCTCATTTAGAAGCAGTTTGGACCCTAGGTGCTTGTGTGGCTCTTACCATGAGCCGTTAATGAAATTTTCTATGAAAAGCTGTGAATGCGACACTGTGCATGCACACGGTGTGCGCATTATAAACGGGCAGGGACACCATAGCGTTAGAAATACATCTTGCATTCCTTAAAGCAATGAAAGGAGTAGGAGAAAATGCCAATAAACTAATTCATGATATTTTAGCAACAGTGTCTTTACCAGCTGAGATTTTTTTATTTGCTTTGCGGGCATCTACTTTGCTTAATTGTCTTTGTGCTATTCAGTTATTTATTCTCTGATGTGAAGTTCTGCGCTGTGATCATGTGTGTGACATTATTATAATCTAAATACTGTATTCTAATTGTCTGCTCGTTATTTGAATGTTTCAATTACAATTGAGTTTTATTTTTTGGGGGTATATGCAGACTAGTATTACAAACCAAGGATAAAAGGTAAGGATCATGAAAGTGAGTTGAGCACAATTAATCTTTTGAATCACATTCTACAGAACTCAGCTCTAGTTACTGCATTTTACCAACAAAGCAAACATTATAAGCTTTAGCACCTTTATCCATCTTACCTCTGTCTCAGGTCGTGGGATAAATACTGGTGGCCTCATCTGTAAAGTCATATCCAAAAAATCCCACTCCTTAATAATATACTGGACTGGGACCCTAGGTAGGAACAAATATTTTACAAAGTGTTATAAGAAGCCCCCTGTTGATGCAATCAATTTAATCACCCTGTAGGAAGATAAATCAAGTTTATGTAGAACAGCACTTCTGAGGCAGTATTCTACAAGCAGAAAATGTAGTTATTGTAACATTTCCTATTAGAACAATTATATTTCCTAAACTGTCTTGTCTTATAAATAAATCAATAAAACCGTATACTGCAGCACAAAGGATGCATGTAAACAATAGAAAGGAAGTGGAACGCTTGCTTAAAGTACCATAATTACTATGTACTCCGATAAGAAGAAGGAGGAAAAATATATTTAATGCAAGCACTGTACTAGCCTTGTGTTGACACCAGATAGGTGTCAGGACAAACCAGTGGCCCAACACGCAGAATAAAGTCAAACACATAACAAATAAACAATATCAACGTATTACCGGGCTTTAGAATGGCCAGATTTAACGTAATAGAAAAAACAGTCATGAGCCGAGATCAGAAATACAGAAAGGAACAAATATGGTAAGAGCAAAGCCAAAGGGTCAGGGAAACCAGAAAGTTAAGTCAAGCCAAGATCAATAACCAATAAACAGTATCAGGAACGCGCTCTTGGATAACCCACAGGATGGAAAAAACAACAGCACATTGAATAACTGCAGGTTTGGGATTGAATAACCCAGTAAACCCTGCTATTTGCTAATTTGGGTCCCATGACCCCAGAACGTGTGTGCATAGCAAAAACGCAATGCCGCACGCACATGTCACTAGTGAAGTCATTGTGGGCGGCACTAGCATTTAGCGCCACCTTGCAGCGACCAGCGTCCTTCCTAACGCTGGACCCGGCCGTTATTTTAGGAGCTGCATGGAGGGAGAGGCGCTGGAGGTAAGGTGAGTAACCTCTCCCTTGTTTAGTGTGACCGCACCAATCAGATGCGGTCACATCACGGTGCCGATCAGGTACTGTGATGTGGTGTGACCGTACTGATCTGGTGCGGTCACACTTAGGTGCCGATCAGGTACCGTGACAAGAGGGAGTCAGATTGCAGTCTCCAGAACACCTAAGTGTATATTTATCTATACTTGTGTGAACTACATACAAACACAGTATGATGCCACATTTGTTTATTTTTTTTCAATATAGTTGGAGAATAACCAAACCACAGACAAAAAGAAATGCGGCACCTTTAAAGGTCCTGCGGCTTTTTGAACCAGAAGCAGACCATAGACTATGGATACTGTGTCTCCCTTATTTACATATCTACCTCTACATATTTGCTATTGTTTTATTTTTTATTTCTATTTCTATTTCATGAAAAAACAACAACTTGTAAAATAGAATATGGAAATAGTTACTCTTTCTTCAAAGGGTGGGGATATTTTGGCACAGATGCAGAATAAATCTGCACAAATTATTTTAAAGGGACACTTCAGGCAGGTTGTTTATGAAACAAAATATAGTGCGCTAGTTCATTGTCTGGAGATGAAACATAAAGCTTGCAGAAACCCCAGTCATTGATTTTAAGGCAGTTATTTCTTGATGAAAAAAATAAATAAAAAATGACCATACAAAAAAAATAGAAACCATTCCAAGCTTCCATTTACTTGCACAAGCAACATTCACATTGTAACTTGGCAAATGTTCCAGTCAAGCTATTTTGGGCTTACATTTGAAAACCTGATAATTCTCACTTTAGTTAATAACATTTTTAAATATTGTCGTAATTGTCTTGCTTCAAATGAGAAATTAATGCTTGTATGTGCTTAACGTCAAAATGAATCACGCACTTAGTTCTCCAAGGAGCAGGAGACGAGACAATTACTCGATAAGTTTCAGATTCTTGGGAAAAATTGGAAAGAATTGACATTCACAAACTTTATTTTTTTATTTTAATTCCTTATTTGTTTTAAATGTATTACCTCTATGCTGAAATACAAATGATGCTCAGTTAACCCTGGAGTGTCACTTAATAAATGAAAAAAAACAAAACACAAAATCTTGTGTAAACAGAGTCATATAGTAATAGGAATGCTTGTGGTTCTGTTGCTACATTAAGCTGCAGGAAGACCGTTGTTTGTTTTCCTGTTATTGTATGATCCTAAGGGATGCCTGCCAGAGTCTGCAGTAATGTGTTGCCAAGTATATCTGTCAGCGTGCCATATCTCAGTACATGGAATGCGCGGTCAAGTGGTCACCTTTGCAAACGCTGTTGTCCCATGCTCTCTACATGTTCCAGTTGATCGGCAGAGACAGGACACCGTGACACAGAAGGAGGAATATGGTGAAACTGCAAGAGACAAATAAAGCAACATAAATATGATGCCCTCGTACCCAGCATTCCCAGGCTTATCAGTAATAGTGTGTGTGTTGGTCAATGTCACAAGAGATGGGACTTAAGCTGTCATTTTATACAAATCATTTATTCACTATTTATGAAAACTATACACATAATGGAATAAATGCAATCTTTTGCCCAGTAGTATACCAAAAAATAGTAATCAAATATACAAATACCATAATAGTTAGAGTACATAGTACACCATGAGCACAGGTCAACCATGTGACCCAAATCATTTCCTCAATGTTTCAGTTTGTGCTTTCTTCAAAAGAGGACCTTTGTTATTTTATATTTGCCCAATTACACTAAATACTGGATACCTGGAAATAAAAACAGCCTTTTATTTATTCTGGAATGTGCACCACTTTCATTAGTATTTGCAGTGCTGATTGATTGATCTGACTGAACCTTTCACACCACTTCCCCATAATCCAGGTTTAGATCCTAATGACCCCAATGTGTTGTGTTTTTTTTCATGTTTGCTTATACATAACCTAGAAAATAAATTCACAGAGCCTAGAAATACCCATATAAATGGGTTATTCAAGACATGATGGAAACATGGGGTATAGCAAGAAGAGAAAAAAAAAAAAAGTTTGCAACACTGACACAGCGTGCACTCTGTGTCCTTAAAATGGGTCTTATTAATGAAAACACTTTGAAGCTATTTTTTTTCTTATGTATGTGTATATCTTTTTTTTCCTCCATTTGATAGAGAAAAAAAAAATCATAAAAACATACATGGAAAAATATGTATGTCCATTTAAGCTGTGTGACACTCTGTACATAGAATTTGTACACATTGCCATTAGCCAAAATGACATAGTAATGATGCTAACAGAGGTGAAGTTATACTTAAGGCAGCATCGTTAAAGGACCACTATAGGCACCCAGACCACTTCAGCTCAATGAAGTGCCAGGTCCCTCTAGTTTTAACCCTCACAGTGAGAAGACGCTGATGTCCATAGGAAAGCATTGAGTAATGCTTTCCTATGGGCGGTTTGAAAGCGCGCGCATGCACATTCTGCGCAGACGTCGGCAGGGGATGGAGAGTTCCCCAGCGCCGAGGGAGCCCGGCGCTGGAGAAGGGTAGGTGGCTAAAGGGGTTTTAACCCCTTCAGCCCAGCGGGAGGGGGGCCATGAGGGTGGGAGGGACCTAAGGACTAAATAGTGCCAGGAAAACAAGTTTGTTTTCCTGGCTCTATAGTGGTCCTTTAAATATCTTTGTTAGTGCTGTGTTTCATAGTGAAAAGCTATACAGATTCCAAGAACCATGACCACTTCGAATCAGTGAAGTGGTCTTGGTGTTTGTAGTAACCTTTTAAGTTTATACTCCAGATGTTTTCTATTACTCATTTCCATAATTGTTCTTGTGAGTGTGTTTCTGTAATTTATTATATACAGGGATGAAACTTCAGGGTGCTTTGCACAATTTTCTACATTTAACACATTTTGCAACAAGCAGAGAAGAAAATAACCGTTTGACACTAAAGAGAAAGTGAAATCTCTGTGGATGACCACTAGTCCTGTAAATGAACAGGCCAAAAGAGAGTTCCTTGTATTGGCTTTTTTAAAGTTCTGTTAGTGAACAGATCACTGAATAGTTGTTTATAATGGCTTTCCTTGTAAAAATGCTGAAACTGACCAAAGATAGAATACTAAGTACCTATCCATAAGAGTGGTGACGATACTTTGGTATCTAACTATATTCCATTATCATTGCTCCCTGAATTGTCAAAAATCTTGGGAAAATTAGTTCACATGCAACTATGTGAGTATTATCAAAAATCGAAATATCTAACCCCTGAGCAATCAGGCTTTTGTCCAAATCATTTAACTACAACGACATCCAAACTGGCATGGAACAAGGAGACTTAATTGGAGCTATTTTCCTTTATTTTGCCAAGGCCTTTGACATGGTAGACCATGGTGTTCTATTGCAAAAACTTAAAAAGACAGCTATTGGTGAGCCTCTGCTAACCTGGTTTTAGTTATATGTATTGGATCGAGCGCAATACATGTCCATTTCTAACAGTGTCTCCCTTCCTCCCCCAGTTACGTGTGGTGTTTCCCAAAGCTCTGTACTTGGTCCCCTACTATTCACATTATTCAATAATGATCTGTCTAGTGTCTCCAAAGCCTCCTAAGTACACTTGTACGCAGACAATGCTAGCAAAACATATTTACCAGAGCTCGAGGCTGTGCTCCAAGTCCAGTTTGCAGAAGTAAAAAAGAGGATTGCAGAGAATAAAAACTTTTTCTAAACATTGACAAAACTGTTACAATGGTCTTTGGAACAGTACCTCCAGAGGAAAGGCAGTATTTACAGCGTTGCCTAGTAACACTTCTAGTAACAGTCACTCAGACGGCATCCAGAGTGCACGCTGTGCATGGAGGCACTGAATGTTCCCCATTGAGATGCATTGATTCAATTAATCTCTATGAGGAGATTCTGATTGGCCGCAGCATGGCATTTGGCCACACATGCGCAATAGTCTCCCAATGCTTTCCTATGGGATCGCAGTCAGGGAGGCAGAGCCAGCTGCGGCGAGACCAGCACAGTGTGGGGGGAAAAAGGTGAGTAAAAAGCCCTTACCCATGTGATTGGAGGGGGACCAGTCACCTAAACACACACTAACACACACTCACTGACTGACACTGCATTAATAACACACATTAAGGTGACCACCCAGTGTCCCTGTCTGGAGCATTTCGGCTTTCCTTGGGGTCCAGTGGGGCTTCAGTCATCTCCCTGCTCTGCTCCATAGAGCATTGTCTAGTGATGCCGGGGCCAAAATTACATCACATTCTGGCTCCCGGCATCACTGGAGGACGCGCAAGGGAGCAGAGCGGGGAGGTTACAGCACCCTCGTGCACCTGCCCGTCTGCCTCAATCCTCCAGGAGCCTACACAACCCACGCTCTCCCTAAGCAGGATAACCGACCGCACGTCCACGCTCTACATCAGCTGGCTGGCTTAGGGGCTTGTAAAGATAAAAGTGCAGGTATTAAGTGGGTGCTTGGTGCCAATGCAAAGTACTCTAACGTCTAGGTGGGGTCCCCTTAACCTTCACCAGTAGTACAAAGCACAAGTAAATATTAGACGGAGTAGCTGAATATCTGAACCTAATATTTATTGGCTCCTTACTTGTGAGTGTAAACTTATCGCATATTTGGCACTTTAACTATAAGTTCTAACGATATTGCACTATTATGTTTATGTCTTTTATGTTTTATTGTAGGAGTTTTACCTAAGACTTGTTCCCATGTGTGTATGTAAGATACTCCGTCTAATATTTACTTTTGTACACCTCAGGGGCTGAATGGGCCAACAAAACCCTGGGAGTACCCTGCAGTACTAGCACTTTATTTAGTATACCGGATTACGAAAAGAAAGTAGCTCAATTCTCAGTTTCATACAAAGCACCGCAATTAAGGAAAGACTTCCCGGACATAATTAAATCTTCCGCCACACTAAAATTCTTTAAGAGATCCCTGTCAACATATCGCAATACACCTGTAATCATGGTTGATTTTATTTCTTACTTGTTCTGTGTTAAATGTATATGTGTATTTTAATATAACTTTGTATTTTTAATATTATACTGTACCCAGTTGTAAAATAAAATGTGTGTCAGCCAAGGACATACTTGAAAACAAGAGAAATCTTAATGTATCCTTTCTGGCAAAATATTTTAATAAATAAATAAAGGGACTTTGTTTGTTGAACTAGAATTATCACACTCTGCATTATTTAGTCTATCAGAACAACTCTCCACTTACTGTCTTGGCTCCCAACGCATGTGAAATGAGAATCTCACTGGATTCGCGTGCCTCTGGGATCTTGTGAGCTTCGAATACTTTCTGCCAGTGTAAAGCCAGCATACTTGGGGTCATGTCAAATTTTCTCAGCCACCTTCGATGCACCCAGGAGTGGCTAACACTTGGTAGAAGTCTACACAACATCATGGGATTGACATACATGGCCTCTAACACAGAATGGCAAATATTTCAGCTGAGAGGTGGAAAAAGAAAAGATAAACCAAAATCAGAATATGTTGAAAAGCTACCAAATGATCTCTTCAGAGACACTTCATCGCAAAATTCAATCGGACTGGAATTCTTCACAATTTATTTTTTTGTGTTTTCCACTGGCATCCAGATGTTAATGTGGCATCCATTCAACAAAGAGCTTGAAGGCAGATAAGTAAATGCAGAGAGAAATCTGTAATCATAGAGAATAAGAGTATTAAAAAAAAATCAAAAAAAAAATCAAGACAAAACACTGAATTGACAGGGTGATTTACTAAAATGTGAAATTGTTCAGATTATATATGATTGATTTGTTGACTGCCTGTATTATAATACTGGTTAAAGGACAACTATAGGCACCCAGACCACTTCAGCTCAATGAAGTGGTCTGAGTGCCAGGTCCATCTAGGGTTAACCCTGCCTGCTGTAAACATAGCAGTTTCAGAGAAACTGCTATGTTTACATTAGGGTTAATCCAGCCTCTAGTGGCTGTCTCATTGAGAGCCGCTAGAGGCGCTTCCGCGCTTCTCACTGTGAAAATTACAGTGAGAAGACGCTGGACGTCCATAGGAAAGCATTGAGAAATGCTTTAAACATAGAAACATAGAATGTGACGGCAGATAAGAACCATTCGGCCCATCTAGTCTGCCCAATTTTCTAAATACTTTCATTAGTCCCTAGTCTTATCTTATAGTTAGGATAGCCTTATGCCTATCCCACGCATGCTTAAACTCCTTTTACTGTGTTAACCTCTACCACTTCAGCTGGAAGGCTATTCCATGCATCCACTACCCTCTCAGTAAAGCAATACTTCCTGATATTATTTTTAAACCTTTGTCCCTCTAATTTAAGACTATGTCCTCTTGTTGTGGTAGTTTTTCTTCTTTTAGATATAGTCTCCTCCTTTACTGTGTTGATTCCCTTTATATATTTAAATGTTTCTATCATATCCCCCCTGTCTCGTCTTTCCTCCAAGCTATACATGTTAAGATCCTTTTAACCTTTCCTGGTAAGTTTTATCCCGCAATCCATGAACCAGTTTAGTAGCCCTTCTCTGAACCCTCTCTAAGGTATCAATATCCTTCTGAAGATATGGTCTCCAGTACTGTGTACAATATTCCAAGTGAGGTCTCACCAGTGTTCTGTACAATGGCATGAGCACTTCCCTCTTTCTACTGCTAATACCTCTCCCTATACAACTAAGCATTCTGCTAGCATTTCCTGCTGCTCTATTATATTGTCTGCCTACCTTTAAGTCATCAGAAATAATCACCCCTAAATCCCTTTCCTCATATGTTGAGGTAGGACTCTATCAAAATATTCTGTACTCTGCCCTTGGGTTTTTACGTCCAAGATGCATTATCTTGCACTTATCCACATTAAATGTCAGTTGCCACAATTCTGACCATTTTTCCAGTTTACCTAAATCATTTGCCATTTGGCTTATCCCTCCTGGAACATCAACCCTGTTACATATCTTAGTATCATCAGCAAAAAGACATACCTTACCATCAAGACCTTCTGCAATATCACTAATAAAAATATTACAGAGAATGGGTCCAAGTACAGATCCCTGAGGTACCCCACTGGTGACAAGTCCAAGCTTCAAATATATTCCATTAACTACAACCCTCTGTTGCCTGTCACTCAGCCACTGCCTATGGACTGACTGAATGCGCACACGCGTGCGCATTCAGCCTATGATGTCGGAAGGAGGAGGACAGTCCCCAGCACCAAGGGAGCCCGGCGCTGGAGAAAGGTAAGATATTAACCCCTTCCTCCCATTTCAGCCTGGCGGGCGGGGGTGTCCTTTAACAACATAAACCACTCACTCTATGTTTTAATTTCTGTTGTTTCTGCATTACATTCAACCAGAAATCACAAGGTACACAGAAGCCAGCCTCACCCACAGTACAGTTCAAGACATAAAATGCAGATATATCCAGAACGTCCTCAAGTGTCAGTGTCTCTTTTTTAGGGACTTGCTGAAGTGCTTTATGTGCACAGTGTGTCCTGTTATTTCATTTTACAAAAAGTTCAGATTTCAATAGGAATTGGCACATTTATAAATTAACATTGTAATATGTCAATCAGACAACCGGTCATGTTACTTCCTGGTTGCTTAGCTCATAGGAGCTAAACTCCAGAGGCAGGCAATTGCCCAGAGCAATTGTAAATGAGCTGCAATGGGAACTCTGTCTCCACAGAGTCCTAGGCTGGATTAGAATGGATGGGCTTCTAAATGCTGTAGACAAGAGATTTGCAACTTTATCAAACTGTTTATATATATATATATATATATATATATATATATATATATATACATACATACATACATACACACACACATACATATACATATATATACCCGCAAAGAGAAAAATGAAGAAAATACATGCATGTTTTTATTGGGGGGGAATATCTACCATATATCTAACGCATGCTGTTGTTGTTATGTTGATTGTGGTGTTTATTTAAGGGTGATGCATAATGACCAGCATTTCAAATGGGCAATGAGACACTTAAGGGAGACACTAAGGGATGTAGGTGGATGTGTGGCCTAGGAGGGGTTCTATTCTGAAACCCTTTAGATGATTACTGATAAATTGTATGCACTTCAAATGTAAATTAGAACAAGAACAATGTATTTTTTTTTTTATTTGCACTTACTGATTTCTAAAAAACATTTATTGTAGTTTAAAAATATATATTACTATGATTATTATTGCTGTGGGGCTCTGGTATAAATCCAGACACACCAACTGATCTCCTATAAAACAGTGAAATTAGGATGGAAAAGAGAGGCAAAGAGATTTGGCCCAAAATAAAGACTGTCCCTCATAAATATGGAAACTAGGTATGTAGTGGCCACTATTTTTGAAAATATGAAAAAACAAACAAACAAAAAAAAGAAAAACATAGGTTGCCTATAATACTCAGAGTGTTACTTTAAAAACCTACATGTCATTATATAAAATAATTAAGAGGCAATACAGCTGCAAATGACTGCTTCAATGTATCTACTAAACACTGTAAAATAAGAAATTACTGAACAGTAAAATGCGTGGTACAGTGTCAGAGCTAGATTACCTGTTAGGTGGCCAAGGCAGCCACCTAGGGCCTGGGAGCAGAAAGGGACCTGGTAATCCCCTGTCTGAGCCTGGAAGCCCAGCTCTGATCAAGCCCCACCTCAGGCCGGCAGAGAGATTAAACGGCCCTTTATAAAATACTCCTTAGTGGCAGGGCCGGACTGGGGATACAAAGCAGCCCTGAAAAAAAAAAAAAAGGTGTTTAAAAACAATACTTCTAAATACACACAGACCCCATGAAAGACACACCCACCATGACACAGACAGACCGAGACACACACACACCATGACACAGTCACACAGGGCAGACAGCTGGGTTAGGTGTGCTGGTGTCCGCAGGGGGAGCTGGCTGTTCTGGCTCTGCTCCCCAGCCCGCAGCCAAATGAGACCAGGGCCGGGATATGACGTCATATTATTACGTCATCTTATTAAGTAGCACGCAGGGGCGGGGAAGCAGAGCAAGAACAGCCAGCTCCCCCTGCGGCCGCCAGAACAGCCAGCTCCCCCTGCGGCCGCCAGAACAGCCAGCTGTCTGTCCGGCCCCAGGTGCTGACGGCCCACCAGGAAATTTCCCAGTATCCCGGTGGGCCAGTCCGGCCCTGCCTGGTGGTCTGTGGTCAACGAGCAGTCCTTCTCCAGTTCAGCACTTTCTGAGGGAGTCGGATTGCAGGCTCCGCAACTTTCTCAGAGAGCCAGAAGGCATACAGTTTCTCAGAAACTGCAACATTTTACTTTGCTAGGTTAAGGGGACAGGGGAACTGCACCCATACCACTTCAATGAGATGAGTGGACTGGGTACCTATAGTGTTCCTTTAATCCAACTCTGCTTAGTGTCATACATTACTGTTTAGAATAAGGTAAGAAAGAGTAACTGAAAATATTACCTACTTTCCCACAAACTTTTGTAATGAAAGAAGCCTATGAGACAGCAAAAATTATTTTAAAGGACCACTATAGTGCCAGGAAAACAAACTTGTTTTCCTGGCACTATAGTGTTAATAGGTCCCCCCCCCACCCTCATGGCTCCCCTTCTGCCAGGCTCTAGGGGAAGGAAGGGGTTAAACCTTTCTCCAGCGCCGGGCTCCCTCGGCGCTGGGGACTCTCCTCCCTCTACCGCCAAATGCGCATGCGCGTCAAGAGCCGCGCGTGCATTTAGTCAGTCCACAGGAAAGCATTCCCAATGCTTTCCTATGGACGCTGGCGTCTTCTCACTGTGAAAATCCCAGTGAGAAGCGCGGAAGCGCCTCTAGCGGCTGTCAATGAGACAGCCACTAGAGGCTGGATTAACCCATATGTAAACATAGCAGTTTCTCTGAAACTGCTAAGTTTACATCAGGCAGGGTTAACCCAGATGGACCTGGCACCCAGACCACTTAATTAAAGGACCACTATAGTGCCAGGAAAACATACTCGTTTTCCTGGCACTATAGTGCCCTGAGGGTGCCTCCACCCTCAGGGTCCCCCTCCCGCCGGGCTCTAGGGGGTGGAAGGGGTTAAACCTACCGCTTTCTCCAGCGCTGGGGTGGGGAGCTCTCCTCCTCCTCCTCGGCTGAATGCGCATGCATTCTCTGAAACTGCTATGTTTATATAAAAAAGGGTTAAACCTAGCTGGACCTGGCAAACTTCTGGAATAAAAGGGAATCATGACATGTCACACATGTCCTGTGTCCTTAAGCTGAAGTGGTCTGGGTGCCTATAGTGGTCCTTTAAGCAGTTATAATTGTTCCAGTACACTGCACATACTATGTAATACCACATCACACGTGCACATAGTGTTAATATTCCAATAGAAAGATGCAATAACGATATATGTCACTTTGTCAGCAGACAGCTGTTTTGACTACCGTTTATAACAATGCACATGTACCTAAAAAGTATGTCATTATTTCGTTTCTTATGGAAAATTGTCTGTTCTCACCTGGCCACAGGATCATTCCATATCCATTCAAGAAGTAACATGCTGTTTCCTGTACACTCAGTTCAGAGCCCCCATAGCAACAAACAAGCTAAAACATTAGTTCCTGCTGCAGGCAGAGGGCACACTCACACTAATGTAGCTGATGCTATAAATTTGGGGCTTATTTACTTATATCTGTAATGGGGTAAACTGTGAATTGCAAATAAGTCTGCATAATATGTTTGTTTTCCTGTAGAACTATAGTGTGAAGGGAAAAAAACCTGGAATAGAATCCTCAACAGAATACAGGACTGCTGGCAAATATGTATATTGGAAATATATGCAGATATGAAATGCATATATATTCATTGCTGTGTCTTTTCTGCAGGGGATTTACTGGCTTGATATACTAAATGTGTAGGTTAAACATGATAATGAGGCTGTGGGGGAGCATGCTGGGGGCAGGGTGTGTGGGAGAAGGCTGTGGAGGACAAGGTGTGGGAATGCATGCTGGGGGCAAGGGTTGCATGAGAGGGCTGTGGAGTAGCAGGGTATGGGGGAGCATGCTTGGGGCAGGTTGTATGGGAAAAGGCTGTGACAAGCCTCCCCAATTTGACCTACCGTATATACTCGAGTATAAGTTGACCCGAATATAGGCCGAGGCACCTAATTTTACCACAAAAAACTGTGAAAACTTATTGACTCGAGTATAAGCCTAGTGTGGGAAATGCAGCAGCTCCTGGTAAATTTCTAAATAAAAATAGATCCCAATAAAATTACATTAATTGAGGGATCAGTAAGTTAAAGGTTTTTGAATGTTTATTTACAGTATGTGTATTTAATGACTACAGTGTTTGTGTAGTGTGTGTATATAATGAATGCAGTAAGTGTTTGTGTAGTGTGTGTATATAATAAATGCATAGTGTGTGTGTATAAATAATGAATGCAGTGTGTGTATATAATGAATGCAGTGTTTGTGTAGTGTGTGTATATAATGAATGTAGTGTGTGTTTGTGTGAATGCAGTATATAATGCAGAGTGTGTGTGTATATGATGCAGTGTGTGTGTGTTTGTGTAGTGTGAGTAAACTGGGTGGGGGGAGGGCATTTTTAATATTATTATTGTAATATTTAATTTTTTAACTTTTTTTTTTTTTGCCCCCCCTCCCTGCTTGTTACCTGGCCAGGGAGGGGGGATATGCTAATCCCTGGTGGTCCAGTGGCATGTACTGCTCCTTTCCAGCAGCTCCCTTCATCTCCCTGTGTAAATCTCGCGTGCTGCGCGAAGTGTTGCAATGGTAACTCGTGGCAACACTCTGAAGGCCGTGGGACTCGCGAGATTTACACAGGGAGATGAAGGGAGCTGCTGGAAAGGTAAGTAACAGCTTGCTGCCGCCCCCCAGGACCACCGGGCTTACATTGCCATAATACAGACCCTGACTCGAGTATAAGCCGAGGGGGGCTTTTTCAGCACAAAAAATGTGCTGAAAAACTCGGCTTATACTCGAGTATACACGGTACCTTTTCCCTGGTGGTCCAGTGGGATCACTCTCCAGTGTTTGAGTTCTTGCGAGATCCGGTCAGAGCGTTGCCATGGTAACTGCAGCTCACACTTGGCAGAGCTACAGACTGGAGATTCTTTCCGGGCAGACAGAGCGGAGGGGCCCCGCACCCGGCGGCATACAGGGCAAGCCGCCGGGCCCCCTCTTGGTGTCGGGTCAGGGACCCGACAGGTCAGCCTGCCCTGATGATTAGAGAGCCGCCTTTGCTGCATATATATACATGCAGCAGATGCGGCCTGGCCCCTACCTTCATCACTTACATAGGAATGGTTAATGGGGCCAAGAAAACTTATGGTTCTGGGGTCTCCATCTAAACCATGGGCCCTAGGCAGCTGCCTAGAGTCACCTTATGGTTAATCCTGCTCTGCCACTAGAAGCTACTGGTCACTGACTTAATGCCTACAAGTTTGCTGAAAAAGTCAGCAAGCACCCTGCTTTCAAACAGTAAAGAAACTTCCATTGCGTCATATAATGTCTACAGTCAGGAAGGGAGGAGCAAGGCATAAACTCTACCATTTATTACATTAGCATTTTTAGAGATTGATGAAAAATGCTTTTCTTTTAGAAATATTTGATGTATCTGTATTTACTCTGCGTCGGCATTATGCTATTCTTATTTTAACAACTTTTGATCTACTTACTGTATGTGAGAAAATTAGCATTTTTGGTTTTATACTAACATTTCAGACACTGTGAAATATTGCAAGATAAAGGACAGCATATACTGTCCAAAGCATTTTATTAGTAAAAAATAACTACTGTTTAAATGTACATAATGTTAATTTTTAACAGAGCTTTATAGCCATTGACAGCATATACCATGCTGGAGCCAGGGATCAGCTGGTATCATTGCATACTTTAGGATCCCATCCAGGGCCGGCTTTAGGGAGGGGGGAATGCTGATCTCTGGTGTTCCAGTGTGCTGGGAATATGGTCTGCCCCTGCACCAGGTGCAGACCATGCGTAACTGTCTCACAAGCTCAGGCACTCGCTGTGTCAGAGATTTTCTGGGGTAATCTGCGGCAGCTCTCTGATTGGCCGAAGCTCAGAAAACAGCTGCTCATAGTCTGCAGCCAATAGAAGTGCAGCCCAGAGGTACCAGACTGCCTTGCCTGCATTACAGAGTGGCAGACTAAGTATGTTCCATAATACTGTGAGTTGTTTTGCTTTGGAGCTCTGGATTTCCCTTATTTACCTTGACCTCCTTGGCATAAACCCTCATAGTAATGTGCTGTTTATCCATTTATCACTGAGCTCAGCAGCAACAAAAACCCTCACAGTACTATGTGGTATGTACCAGTTTATCACAGAACTCCACAAGTATAAAACTCACAGTAATGTGCAATGTATGAATATGTCACAGAGCTCTGCAGCAATACAACTCCCAGTAATACGCCTATTAGTGTATCACAGAGCTCTCTAACTATAAAATACAGAGCAATGTGCATTTTATATGCCAGAGCTCTACTGTAATAAATCTCATAATAATATGATGTAATGTTACATAGTTACATAGGCTGAAAATTGACATGTGTCCATCAAGTTCAGCTTTCCTCACATTTGTTTTTTGCTGTTGATCCAAAAGAAGGCAAAACCCCTCAGTCTGAAGCACTTCAATTTTGCAACAAATTAGGAAAACAATTCCCTCTTGACCCCAGAATAATAGTCTGTATAACATTTGTATAATGTTATCATATCCCCTCTGAGGTGACATTTTTCTAAACTAAAGAGGTTTAAATGTGTTAACCTTTCTTCATAACTAAAATGTTCCATTCCTTTTATTAATTTTGTAGCCAGCCTCTGCACTCTTTCTAGTGCCATAATATCCTTTGTTAGAACAGATGCCCAAAATTGCACAGCATATTCAATATGTGGTCTTACCAGCGATTTCTAAAGAGGCAAAATGATATTCTCATCCCGAGAATAAATGCACCTTTTTCATGCACGACAATACCTTACTGGCCTTAGCCACCGCTGATTGACATTGCACATTGTTGTGTGCGTGATAGGCGTGATGGCTGTGTGTGATATGTATGTTATGTGTTGTTAAGTGTGATATTTGTAATGGGTGTATTAACTGTGTGTGATATATGTGTGTATTGGCTGTGTGGGATATTTGTGCTGGGTTTATTGGCTGTATGTGGGTGGGCATTTAATTCAAATAAAAATATGCATGTAGGCCCATCTGTAAATGCAGGAGTATGTTTTTGCAGAGTCAGAATGCAGGGGAACTGATCCTAGCTGGTTGATGTTACCAGTCTTTACAAGTTTATTAAACACAAAGCTGGTCTTTCAGCAGAAGAGGGTGCTTTTAAAAGTCTTGGTTTTGAGAGCAACACAATTAAGTTCATGATAGAACTTCTAAAGAAGGTTATGGTTGACAACTACTTTTTATTTTAGGATGTTTTTTTTTTCTCCAGTTCCAAGGGTACTTCAGTGGGTTACAATGTGGCACCTACTTACGCTAGCATATTCACGTCTGAAGGAAGTTCAAATATATCAAAATGTATTAATTAAAAGACATGCCACCAAATGGTGTCATTACATAGATGACGTCCTGGTGTTGTGGAATGGCACATTGGTATCCCTGGAAAACTTATTATGTTTCTTAATTCTAAGCACAGACTGTATTAACCCCTTAAGGACCAAACTTCTGGAATAAAAGGGAATCATGACATGTCATGTGTCCTTAAGGGGTTAAAAGAACAATATAGGGTCAGGAACACAATGTGTATTCCTGACCCTACAGATTTAAAAACACTATTTAGGTTACTGGATCCTTTTGCCACAATTAAATAAGTAGAAAACTCACTTTATTCCAGCGCAGCACATGTCCACATTAGATTGTCATTTCTGATGTCATCAGCCATGGAGGCAGGGTGAGGGGCAGAGCCAAATGCTGCACTGGCCATTCACCATCTACTCATAGAAATGCATTACATGTGTTTACATGAAAAGGCCTGCAGGGACAGACTACTAAGCTGTAGATGTTCTGATGACTATAGTGTTCCCCTTAAGTTTACATTGATTCATGATTTCTTATGTTAACCTTTCCTCAATATTCCTATCATAAAACACACTGACTACTACCCTATATAGGAAAACCCTTGATAAAAACACCATTCTACACTACACGAGTTATCACCTTCCCTCGACAATTAATGCATTAATAAATAAATAAATAAATCTAAAATGATGTATAATAAGTATAGTCGCTCTTAAACAGAAAAGGTGAGATTGTGGTAGAATGAACCTGGGTCACAAATGCACAAGAGCCTTGGTCCTTAACCCCTTAAGGACACATGACGGAAATATTCTGTCATGATTCCCTTTTATTCCAAAAGTTGTGTCCTTAAGGGGTTAAAGGTTTATATCAACCACAATGACCACTTCTGCTTGTAGAAGTGGTTATGGTAGTAGGAGTGTGTACATGCAACCTTTCTGCTTAAAAAACGCTGCACATCCTGCGATATTTTCTTATTTGTACTAGGGACTAGTTACACCCCTGGCACACATGTCTTGGGCAATCCGGAACAGCTTGCCGAACATCCATTCTGCGCAAAAACTACGTCTGTCGCCCGCGCACTGATGCCAGACATGAGCTTCTCATTTACGGGAAGTTTTTCTCTCCTTGCTCCCATCTTTCATTTAAGCCTACCTCCGTATACCCTTTAACATCCTATTTTTTTTTATTTTATTATTATAATACCCTTCCTCCTTCTGTTCAATCACACTCCCTCCTTATGCACTCTGAGCCAAGGAAACAGTCTCTACATGAAGCATTTTATTGGACAGCAAGAGAGCACTGGTGACATAGGACAGATGTGTGGAGTCCAGCTAGGGGTGCTTTGTCTTGCACTGGATTCAAGGTTTACAGCTTGTTAATATATATTATATATATTTAACATTAACCATATATCCTTAATAACATTAGCCTTCCCATAAGAGGGTTACAGTAACATTGTAAGGGGATAAGGAAGCTGTAGTTGTGCAATAGGTCAATATTTGAGAAGCTGATGACACAGAAGCGCTGCCATTCGTAAAACAGGCAAGTCCTGGACATCTACACACCAGGACAGTGCCCACAGGGACCACCATAAAGATGGCCACCAGTGAAACACACTATCATTTTACGTCATTCGGCCGCTTCCGGTATAAACACCTGAACTCTTGGCCGCTCCTACGGTTGTCATAGAAACATTGCTGCAGCATGTGACCTGGCCGTCGTCGCTCGCAGGGTACCAGCCACAGACTCTGTTTTGCCGAGTTGATTGTCACATGGAAGAACCAATGGGACGCGGGAAAGCTGGTTCTTTGGCGTCCAATGAAAAGCAGAGTTACTGGCAGAGGGCGTGTCCCTGCATCCAGACACGGGATCTGCCCCTGGTACCCTGACTGAGAGATAACCTGCCAGACCGCCCGGGCTGTCACTGGCGAACATGGCGCTCCGTTAATGGGCTGAGGTCAGACTGCCTCTCCTACTGATAATACCTTGTTATACCCAATATACAGCTCTGCATGGCCCCCCTGCTCTCCCCCCACCCAATATACAGCTCTGCATGGCCCCCCTGCTCCCCCCACCCAATATACAGCTCTGCATGGCCCCCCTGCTCCCCCCACCCAATATACAGCTCTGCGCCTTGCTCTCCCCACCCAATATACAGCTCTGTGCATGGCCCCCTGCTCTCCCCACCAATATACAGCTCTGCATGCTCTGCATGCCCCCTGCTGCCCCACCTAATATATAGCTCTGCATGGCCCCCTGCTACCCCCACCCTAATATATAGCTGCATGGCCCTGCTCCCCCTGCTCCCCCACCTAATATATGACTCTGTAGGCCCCCCTGCTCCCCACCCAGTATACAGCTCTGCATGGCCCCCCTGCTACCCCCACCTAATATATATAGCTCTGCATGGCCCCCTGCTCCCCCACAGTATATAGCTCTGCATGGCCCCTGCTCCCCACCTAATATATAGCTCTGCATGGCCCCCTGCTCCCCACCAGTATACAGCTCTGCGGCCCCTGGCCCCTGTATACAGCTCTGCAAAGCCCCTGCTACCCCACCTAATATATGGCTCTGCATGGCCCCCTGCTCCCCTGCCTGCCCCTGCTCCCCCACCCCACCTAATATATGGCTCTGCATGGCCCCCTGCTCCCCACCCACATGACTTGCATGGCCCCTGCTGCCCCCACCTAATATATAGTGCATGGCCCCTGCTCCCCACAGCTATATATATGCTCTGGCTGGCCCCTGCATGGCCCCCCTCCCCACCTCTGCAAAACCCCCTGCTCTCCCCCACCAATATGCTCTGCATGGCCCCCTGCTCCCCCACCCAATATACAGCTCATGGCCCCCCCCCACCCAATATACAGCTCTGCAAAACCCCCTGCTCTCCCCCACCCAATATACAGCTCTGCGCCCCCATACCCCCCACCCAATATACAGGTCTGCATAGCCCCCTACCCCCACCAATATACAGGTCTGCATAGCCCCTGCTCCTCCCCACCCAATATCTGTGCTCTGCATGAGCACCCTCCCACCCCCCCCACCCAATATACGGCTCTGCATGGCACCCCTGCTATCCCCCACCCAATATACGGCTCTGCATGGCACCCCTGCTATCCCCCACCCAATATACGGCTCTGCAGGGCACCCCTGCTATCCCCCACCCAATATACGGCTCTGCAGGGCACCCTTGCTATCCCCCACCCAATATACGGCTCTGCTTGGCCCCCTGCTATCCTCCACCCAATATACAGTTCTGCTTGGCACCCCTGCTCTCCCATCCAATATACAGCTCTGCATGGCACCCCTGCTCTCCCACCCAATATACAGCTCTGCATGGCACCCCTGCTACCCCTCACCCAATATACAGCTCTGCATGGCTCCCCTGCTACCCCTCACCCAATATACAGCTCTGCATGTTATTCCTATTTTAACCCCATCCAATATACAGCTCTGCAGGGCACCCATGCTGCCCATCACCCAATATACAGCTCTGCATGTTTTTGTTTTACCCTCACCCAGTATACAGCTCTGCATTGCACCCTGCTGCCCCCCATCCCTTATAGATCATTACATGACTACCTTGCTGCCCATGTACAGCTGCACACAGCACTTTTCTACCTCCCGATGTAATATACTATATATACAAAGATGCCAATATATAGCTCTCCACCGCAACCCTGGTGTCTCTGATCTTTGCATAGCATTCCTGCTGCACAAAGCTATTATAGATGTGACATCTATGTGTGGCATCACTTTGGCCCTTTGCATTGCATTCCTGTTTTCATTGTGTTAAAATATAGCTATGTATTCCAGTTCTGCTTCCCTTGAGTTGATATAAGGTCTGCATGTCATCCTTGCCTCCACTGAAGCAATATACAGCAATGAATGGCATTCTTGCAGACCCAGGACTAATATACTGCTCTCTATGGCATTCCTGCTTGCTATTGGCTAATTTACTGCTCTCTATGGCATTCCTGCTGGCCGTGGGCTAATATACTGCTGGCTGTGGGCTAACATACTGCTCTCTGTGGCATTCCTGCTGGCTGTGGGCTAACATACTGCTCTCTGTGGCATTCCTGCTGGCTGTGGGCTAATATACTGCTCTCTGTGGCATTCCTGCTGGCTGTGGGCTAATATACTGCTCTCTGTGGCATTCCTGCTGGCCCTGGACTATTATATTGCTCTCTATGGTATTCATGCTGGCCATGGGCTAATATACTGCTCTCTATGACAGTTTTACTGGCCATGGGCATTCATGTGCTCCCTGAAACAATATTTAGTTCTGCATGGCATCTCTGCAGGCCATGAGCCCAATATACAGCATTGTGTGGTATCCCTGTTGACACTGAGCTAAAATATCAGACTTCCTGGAATCCTGCTGGGCTTGAGCTAATAATATACATCTCTGGATGTCATCCTTGCAGCCCTGTGCCAGTATACAGCCCATCATAGGATTCCTAGCATACTCCTCTTCTTGGCAGCCATGCAGTCTCTCTTAGCCAGTATACAGCTATACATGTCAGTCCAGATGCCCCTGTGCCAATATACAGCTCTGCATGTCATCCCTGCTGCATTATATAACTTTTCTTTGTGTCCTGAGCTGACATTCAGAACTGCACGGCATCCATGCTGCCCCTGTCTATACACATCTCCCCTGAAATATATGATGACCTGTGTTATATCAAGCAATGACCTCTATGTAAGGTGTCCTCCATATTTTTCATTGCAGGCTAGTCCAGGGATGTGTGACCTAGTGCAGAGGCTGCTGGTAACAGCACAGACATGAGTAACCGTAACGTGACATCGCCTCTGTATTTTGGAGTCACTGTGGCGGCTGATTCAAGCACATCCACAAACAGCACCAAAGGTTTAGACTCCAGTGGGGCACCCACCATGGGCACCTGGCTGCTGTCCCTTGGCATTGCCACTGTGATCGGACTGATTTTGGCAATGGTGTGTGACTATGGAAAGTATGGTACCTGAACTGCTGACAAAACCGTATAGTGCACAAATTATGTACACATTATTTATACACAAAGTAGATGATCATTTCAACATACAATGTGCATCGGGACATATCCCATATCTAATGACTGAAAATGCCACGGTATATTTTTATGTAGCAGGGTTAAATTATCCACTTTTCAATAGCCATAGGTGAGTGAAAGTTCAGCCTTGGCAAGCAGTGTGGCAAAGTGCAACTACTGCATACATACTAGCTACCCCCAATTATACAGTACATCTATACTTTAGTAAAACAAACACTCTTAATAATAATAATGATGAAGATATAACCAATCCATTAAATAGCTCAAATACATCTCTAGTTTGTCTATCATTTTTGTTTCTACCTAGTCATTTCTGTTGGAGAAATGTGTTTACTTTTGATCCAATTGATAAGCATTTCATGGTATGATATTTATCATTTTTTTTGTTTGTCTTTTTGAAGCCTTTAAAGTATATCTATCTTAGAGTAGAAATTGTACAATATCCCATTGGGAACAGTATTGAGATTACAGAATGCTGAGAGCAGAAGTGTGCATAGCTATTGGGAGGTAGAAATGTTTATTTCTCCATTTGTTACAAATTTTAATTTGTTACACTGATCCCCAACAGGCCAAGTGTTATCAGTATTGCCAATGGAATAGAACTGGGCCTAAATCCTGGAGTGCTGGTCGAATCATTGTTATGATATGGCACAATGTCATTTATGGCATTGATTTAATATTTTTGTTGACACTTTTCAAATGATTTAATATTTTTGGATAAACTGAAAATTTTATCTATCTATCTATCTATCTATATCATGTAAATAACATATCAAAACATTAAAGGACCACTATAGGCACCCAGACCACTTCAGCTTAATGAGGTGGTCTGGGTGCCTGGTCCATCTAGGATTAACCCTTTTTTTTTATAAACATAGCAGTTTCAGAGAAACTGCTATGTTTATGTTAAGGTTAATCCAGCCTCTAGTGGCTGAAAATCACAGCGAGAGGACGCCAGCGTCCATAAGAAAGCATTGTAAATGCTTTCCTATGAACTGGCTGAATGCGCGCACGCGACTCCAACCGATGACGTCGCTATGGAGGAGGAGAGGAGGAGGAGAGCTCCCCACCCGGCACTGGAGAAAGAGGTAAGTTTAACCCCTTCCTCTCCCCAGAGCCCGGCGGGAGGGGGACCCTGAGGGTGGGGGCACCCTCAGGCCACTATAGTGCCAGGAAAACAAGTATGTTTTCCTGGCACTATAGTGGTCTTTTAAAACATTTTTCAAAATATTAAATCATTTAAAAAGCTTACACAAAACTATTAAATCAAGAGCTATATTGGAAAAAAGGGTAAAAGTATACGCTAAGCACCTCAACTACTTTAGATTAATGAAGCAATTTTGGTGTATAGGTTATACCCTTGCAGTGTCACTATTTAATTATTTGCCATTTAGGAGTAAATCCTTTTTACTTCTGTTTATGTAGCTCCAGCCACACTTCCCTGGTCTGTGACTCACACAGTCTCTGTGAAAGAAAGGTTTAAATTTCAGTCATATCTTACAGTACATTGTGTTTTAGTCTAGAAGTTTGTCTCCTGCTCTGTTAATTGAGCTTTAATCACATATAGGAGGCTCTAGTAGACAATTAACAGGGCGGGATGTGGAAAATTCAAAATGAAACATACCGTATTTTCCGGTGTATAAGACGACTGGGCGTATAAGACGACCCCCAACTTTTCCAGTTAAAATATAGAGTTTGGGATATACTCGCCGTATAAGACTACCCCTCTTCCAATGCACACCAAATAAAAATTAGCCATGATGTACAGTGAGCAGACAGAGCTACACAGCAAGACATTAAATAATGATAATCTGAAATAGCATTTAAAGCCCAGGTATGTGCCAGGCTGTTTGGCATATAATCCATGCCTGCTGGTCTAGCACACAGGAGGCTAATTGCGATATATTCTTTTTACCTCCCCCCCCCGCCCCCCAATCCTCCCTACGTTCTTCTCCCCTCCCCTTCCCTGTGCAGAGTGGGTGGCCGAGCTTCTCTTCGTCCTTTCAGTCCGGTTGGGTACCGCGCGGTACAGGAGATTCAGTCAGTCCAGCCGGGAACAGGTAACTGAATCTCCTGTACCGCGCGGTACCCGGCCGGACTGACAGGACGAAGAGGAGCTCGGCCACCCACTCTGCACAGGGAAGGGGAGGTGAGATAAGAGGCAGTGCGGCAGCCGTCTGAGCGCTCTCTATAGAGCGCTCAGGCGGCTGCAGCATTAGAAGGGCCGGCTATGAGGGCGCCCCCGGCAGCTATATAGACCCTATACCCGGCGTATAAGATGACCCCCGACTTTGGAGAAGATTTTCCAGGGTTAAAAAGTCATCTTATACGCCAGAAAATACTGTACTTGCAATAAGGGAAGCTAAATATTTAGGGAGACTGTGACAGTAGTGAATAATCTACTGCGATATTCAGCATGTTACCGATAACCCGTATCGCCCTTGTAATTTACTGATATTACTGATTACTCCCAGTCACCCCACGACTTCTGCATCCAGAAACTCTAGCTGCCAGCCACTGAAGTGCCATGTTGTGACCTCACATCACCCCTTTCTGTAAGTCTCTGCATGCAGAGCTCAGCTGAAGGCAGTTAGTTGAGACAGTGAATAATCTACTGCAATGTACTAGACCTGGCTAACCATGTAATAGGAGTGTGATTGCTGTCACACTCTTATCAGTAATTGTATATGTTGGGATCGCAGTGATACCAGCATGTACAGACTGGCTGTCTAAGAGCGATTTGAGTGTGACCGCTGACAGCAATCCCACTTCTATCCAGTAACAGCACTTTACATGCTAAGATCCCAGTTATCCCATCATGTACCGGCTGCCTGAGAATTATAGGATGTTCTGTTCAGATTGGATGTTTGCATGTTCAGTTAGAACATGATTGTGTTACTTTTTGAAAACTTTAAATTTAAAGAATATCGGCACTCTACCCCATAGGCAACCGATAATCGTTATCGGCTCTGGAAAAATTATATTGGTCGATCCCTACTATTGGCCATAGGAAGATAAGCATTCTAGAAATTCTGTCTCCCATTGGTGATGTAGTTGGCCTGAATAAAGCAAATGCAATCTTTTCTCTTTACTTCACCACTTTGTCTGTTTATAGCAACAGGAGTGTATTTGCTAAACAGTGAATTAAAAACCACGTCCAAAATTAGCTGTCTAGGGATAAAAAGGTAATTTTGGACTAAATATTTTGATTCCATTAATAATTCACTCTTTAGTTAAACTCCTTTTCTTTTTCTCAATTCTCTTTCACTCTCTTTCTTTCTCTCTCTTTTTCTCTCTTTTCAGGTTCTTTACATCAGAAAACGAAAAAGGTGAGGTTTCTTACTGTAATGCATTTTTTATTTCTTATTTGCTTTATTTCTTCTTGTATTTTATAATAGTTTATGGAGCTTCAAGTCTCTGTCTTCTTTTAAATGCTAGCTGTGTACTTAAAGGAATAATCTTACCACTAAAAAGGAACAGTCTCAGTAGTGGTTATGGTGTAAAGAGTGCTCTGGTGCCCACCCCATGTAATAAAAAAAACTATTTGTTAATAGTTTGACAATATACATGTGGTCTGCCAGGTGATGGAAACTTTCTCCACTGAGAGCTGGTTCGAAGTTTCCATTTGCTATATTGAACTAACCCTTGCGTCACCTGATGGTTCTCTGCTAATGAGCTAATCCCTGCACTTCCTGGCTTATCTCTATAGACAGAGCCTCTGACCGCTGTCTAGCAGACAACAGATAAGTAGCTAAATCTTGGGCAGAGGGTTTGACTACTTACTTTGGGGAAGGAGGGGCGCTCTAGTGGGTATTGGGCTTGGAGTGTTCTTTTAACATACTGCATAACAAAATAATGTAGCTATGAACCTTCATGCCCACCTCCCTGTCTGTCACCTTACAAAATATTGCACAAAGTGTACATGCCATAGAAGTCTTAAGTTACTAGATACATTCTCTCAGAACTTTCTGCAAGCAATCCCGTGCTGCTGCAAGTAACTTCATTCATAAAAAAAAAAATATATAAAACCAATGAACAAGTTAGCAGCTACCTCCGTGCAGCTTCTTTTTTTTTCTTCTCAAGAGCTGAAAGTATATTTGGACCTGCATAGGACTCCTTTTGAAAATGACAGGAGGAACAGCATTTGTTAAGAAATTTTAAATGAATCATATATTTTCATTTGTATGTTTGAAGGTCATTTCACTAGCCCATTGTAGAGACTATGTTGCATACCTGTTGCAACTGACCTTCATTTGCACACATTTAGTGGATGACAGGCCTATCTAAAAACCGGCAGCGAAAGATAGGGGCAGATTTTTAAATTCTATTCTAGTACAAAAACTAGAAAGACAGTTTTATGATAGACATTTTAAAGAAAATGCATCAATTTTAAAATGATTAATACTTGGGAAAGGATCTGTAAGTAGGTGATGTAGAATTCAAAGGCTGTGCAATAGAAGAAGTGGTTTGACGTCAACACATAACAATGAATGAAAAAGATCTATTAAAATGGAGCAGCCATTCCGTATAGTTGGCTGAGTGGAAATTGAACAAAGTGATTAACGTGATTTTTGAACTTACATTCACTTACTATTCTGTTAGCCCAACTTACAGATTTTATTTTTATTTTTGCCTGCCGCACAATGTTTCTATGACATGAAGAGTAAGTCTAATAATTCTATCATTGCCTTCCTCTACTGCTCCCAGCCTTAACAAACCACTATAGTCACTAAAAAAACTTTTTGGGCTTTATGAAGCAGTTATGGTGTGTAGATCATGCCCCATGCAGTCTCACTGCTCAATTATCTGCCATTTAAATAATTTTGTTAATGCAGCCCTAGTCATACATCCCTGCATGTGACTTACACAGCCTTCCTAAACTCTTCCTTTAAAGAGTTATCTAATGTTTACACTTCCTTTATTGTAGTGTTTAATTTAGAATTTCTTATCTCCTGCTCTGTTAATAGCCATCTAGACCCAGCAGGACCTTCCTGTGTTTGAAAAAAGTTTATTTGCAGAGCAGGACACACAAACTCATAAAGCAAGTTAACATCTGGTTGACATTCTAAAAATGCTAATTTCTTTTCATGCAGATTGTGTCAGTCACTGCTAGAGAAGGTGTGGCTAGGGCTGAATGGACAGAAACAGGTGATTTGACTCTTAAATAGCAGAGAATTGAGGGCCGCATGATCTATACACCAAAACCACTTCATTAAGCTAATGTTTTTAGTGTCTCTTTAAGCTCATTTTTGTGAGATCTGCTAATTGCCATTATTTCCTCTTCCCACAGGCTGGAAAAGCTCCGCCATCAATTGATGCCAATGTATAATTTTGACCCAGCTGAAGAACAGGAAGATCTTGAACAAGAACTGCTGGAGCCTAATAGGGACCAACAGCCGCAGGGCAAGGTATTTATCTATAAGTATATTCTGTACATGTGGCACTTTCATTGTATGGAAGAGAAAGGCAGTAATGTTAAAGGGACACTGTAGGCACCCAGACCACTCAGCTCATTAAAGTGGTCAGGGTGCAATGATCTATGTCCCTTAATTCTACAGTGGTAATTATTGCAGTTTCTGAAAAACGGCAATAATTGCCTAGCAGGGTTAATGTCTCCTGGTAGACAGCCACTAAAGGGACTTCTGGGTGCCTAGGCGACTTTTGGTAGTCTAAATGACACTGGACGTTCTCACGCTATGCATGAGAACTTCCAGCGTCACCGGAATTCCCATAGGAAAGCATTGATTAATACTTTCCTATGGGGAAATCCTAGTGAGAGTGACCCAGCGCAGAGGGACATCGTGGCTGGATTCAGCAGGGGGGGGGGACTGTAGGATTCTATAGTGCCAGATAAACGGCTTTGTTTTCCTGGCACTATAGAATCCCTTTAAAACCCCTATTCATTGCCATGTCAAACTGTATGCTTGTTTGATCAACGCCTCAGCCCTCTCCTCATTGATTTAGCAAAAAATAATTTGTCAGTTGTGTTTTGTTTACATGTTGCATAACCATTAGACATGACTGAATAATATGTTAGTCCATTATCAATAACATTATTTTAGTAATTCTGTTCAGGGGTATGCATTATGTGACAAGCTGGAAGAATTGTCATTGTGTAAATTCAGCAGCATGTTGTGTTTTTGTTTTGTTTTTTTGTTTGTTTTTTTGATGGTCAGAGTGATTTTGCTGAGGGTCGGTATGTGTTTGTGTGAAAGTGTGTGAATGCCAGAGGGTATTCTTTTTTGGAGGGTCTGTGTGTGTGTGTGCTGTGTCATGTCTTTCATATGATCTAAGTGTGTGAATGCTGAGGCGTGTTTTTCGTCGTCATTTTAAAAAAAATTTATTTAAAGTGAAATATGTCCTGTATTCGCAAAGTGAAAGAGGAATATTACTGCACCTAGTGTGCCTGCAGTCTGGTTGCACACTAGGTGCAGTCTGCTTGTTTAAACTATATGCAGAGAATTGATTTAACAGGTGTGGGAGGGACCATATCTCTCCATAAACATACCAGAACATGTATAATTTTTTTTACCATAATTGGGATTAATGTATTACTGTCAACATGGACTCTTGTGCTGGAACCTCTAAGAAAGAGACCCATAAGTTCAGCCACTTAACTTACAATATTCATCCTCAGTAGAAATCGAAATATTTCTGAGCTACACCCACTATCAGACATTCCAACACTGCTCTTTGAACAATTTCAATTCTTGTAACCAGCCTGCCTTTGCTTATTAGAGCTGTAATCGTGATCTCTAGACTGTGAGTACAGTCAGGCAAACAGATTTTGAGATCCACTATTAGGGCCAGAGTTAGGGACATTTTTGCTTTCCAGGTTTTTTCACTGTGGTGTACACAAATATGATAGCATACAATATGTGTGGTGTATCCCACATTGTAATAGGCAAATCTTTCAGCCACATATTTATGGTTCAAACTTATCATCCAACCTCAACCTAAAATATCTGAGTGCTTTTCAACCACTAGAGCCCCAAACTCATTGTTCTGTTTGGTTAACGTGTAGATGGTGCACACTTTGTGGCATGGAGTACTGTCCTTCTGGAAGTAACCATTAGAAATGATCATACTGTGGCTGTAAAGGGATTCTTGTGGTCTGCACCGATATTAGATACATATTCAACAGATACTCCGTTGCTGTTAAGAGACCTAATGTGCACCAAGGAAACATTCCTCTTACCATTACAACACCAGTCACATGGGCAGGAGAGGTCCATGGATTTAACAATCATTCATCTGTATAGAGCAAAGTCAACAAAGCTAGGTTATGGAATGCTAAAATAAACATGGCCTTGAAAGTGCATCATTGTATCCTGCAGTCATCAGAGCAAATTGATTAAAATGAGATTAGTCTCCTGGTGTAATTCATGAAAAATAGATAAATACAATCTCAAAGGACCAGAGTTCTTTTGATATATAGCGTGTTCTAGCATGAACATTTAATGGCTTGTACTCGTGCCATGAGAAAGTTCATGACCATTGCATCGCTATGACTGCTAGGATTGTACTGTAGGTATAAACTCTACAGCTGGAAACCTCCACAAGCTACAAGTGTAGCAACTCAGTGCTAGTAATTAGACTGAAATGCTACAAGATGTTTTATGTAATGTCTCAGGTAAGTTATGTACAAAATTAACTGTTTTTCACATGGGATAATTGTAAAAGGAGTTTAGTAAGGAGTAGTGTTAAGTTAGATCTGAGATCGCAATGTGTGAAGTAAAGGGAAGAAACGATAGGAGGGGGTGTAATGTGCTTTTGAGCATCTACCGGTAAAGGCCTGACCTATTTCATATGTTTTCTTATCCCCTCTAATTAATAGTTTTCAGCTATATAGACTTTAGTATATATGTACATACATATATCTCTACCTTACTTAGTCTAACTGACCTGTACTGTAATATATTCTCGATTTTGTATAGCACAGTGGTAATGTCACCAACTTTAAACTGGGAACCACAGGTTCGAATTCACGGTCCGACTGCTGCACCAGTAAGTGTTCCTGGGCAAGACACCTAATGACATATAGCATGTCCACCTCAATGCTACTACAACAGCAGACCCAATGAGAGAGGCTACATGAAATGTATGTGGGAGCTATGGATGAATAAGAGCCATCATCTACCCCAACACCAAAACAGCTGGTTACCTAACATTTGAACATCTTCAATAGGAATCTTGTGTCACAACTGGAAATAAATGGACTACAGAAGAAATCAACCATACACCATGAGGAGGAAGAAATTTTACAAAATTCACATTCTTACCTGCAGTGAATTGTCAAATGGATCCATAACAGACATAAGGGAAATTATCCTAGAAAAACTAGCAGTCGTTAACCTGTGGACAAGACTACCGAAGATCACTGGAAAGCAACCACCAGACCGCATACTAGCTGCAGTTAAACAAACAGGCTCATATATGCCACAGCATTAGTGGTCCTCCAGCTACTTGACTACAAGATCAGGCTCAAAGAGAAGCAATGCCTATCATGGAGACCCAGTGGCTACTAGACCTGAAAGCAGACCACTGCATGCTGCCAGAACAGGAACCAGTCAAAGATATCTAACAGAGAGCAGCACACATGAAGACCTGGTCAGCCCCAGGAGCTGACAGGATCCATAACTACTGACAGGATCCACAACTACTGGATAAAGAAGTTAACAGGCCTCCCCTTAAACTCCTGTGCCTCCCCACAACATGGAAACTCCTATCAGGCATCATAGCCTCCAAGATCGAAGGATATATATGAGCAATACTCAGAAGGGAATTGGAAACCACACTAACTATTAGTAGACCAAGCAGTCACAAAGGATTCTAAGACTGTGTCAATTGGCCTGGATTGATTATGACACAATGCCACACACCTCTCTACAAGGTCAGCAAGACAATAAGAGCCTTCATCAAGAACTCTATGGGCAAGTGGAAAACAACTCTAGAAGCCAATTCCAGGACAATAACTCAAGGTCATGCACTATCCCCAATGCTGTTCTGCAAAGACCTCAACCCCCTTAGTCAAGTCATCAAGAAGAGTGGATACGAATACAGGTTCAAGAATGAAGAGTTGCCATCAGCCATCTACTCTACATGTACGACATCAAGCTGTATGCCAAGAATGAGTGGGACATTGACTCACTGATCCACAGCAAGGACATCGGAATGTCGTTCGGAAGCGCGGGCGGATGATAGCAAAAAGAGGGAAGATGATCAGGACAGAAGGAGTTGAAGTTGCAGAAGGCCAAATAGGAGATGTAGAGAACAACTACAAGTACCTGGGGGTACCATAAGCGCATAGCAACCATGAAGAAGAGTGAAGGAAGACCGCAACATCCAAGAACCTCCAAGGAGTCAGACAGGTCCTGAAGTCCCAGCTCAATGGCAAGAACAAGATCAAAGCCATCAACATATATTTCCTACTGGTCATCAGGTACCCAGCTGGAATAATAACCTAGCCAATAGAAGAACTGGTCACCATGGATGTCAAGACCATGAAACTACTCACTATGAATGGAGGATTCCACCCAAAATCCAGCACACAGAGATTGTACACCTGCCGGAAAGAAGGAGGTCGGGGCCTGATGAGTGTCAAGGCCACATTATGAAGGATGCAGAAAAAGAGGAGGTTCCTTGGCAAGACAAACCTCTCCATGGCAGATAGTGGATGTGGCTCACATGAAAAAAAAAAATCATACCAGTGGTTGGAAAAGGCAGGACTGAAAGACAGCACTGAGGCACTAATCCTAGCAGCACATGAGCAGGCACTCAGCACCAGATCAATAGAAGCAGGAGTCTACTACACCAGGCAAAACCCAAGGTTCAGACAGTCCAGCACCTAGTAACCGGATGTAAGCATGAACAGCATACACGGAGAGCCACAACCAAGTTGCTGGGATTGTGTACCGAAACACCTGCACAGAATATGGATTGGACCTGCCTAAGTCCAGATGGGAGATACTACAGAGGGTAGTTGAGAATGACAGGGCTAAGATCCTGTGGGACTTCAAGATCCAGACAGACCAGCAAGGGCTGGCCAACCGACAAGACATCGTGGTGGTAAACAAGGAACGAAAGACTGCAGTCGTGGTGGATGTGGCAATACCCAGCGACTATCACATCAAGAAGAAGGAATATGAGAAGGTGGACAAATACCAATGACTGAAAGAAGAACTAGAAAGGATGTGGAAAGTGAAGGCAGTAGTAGTCCAGTTGTGATCGGGGCTGTGACTCCCAAGTTGGGGCTGTCCAGAAGAGTGCAGTTCTAGGAGATACTGTGCAGAACCCTCAAACTCCCAGGCCTCTGGTAGATGACCTGAGAATGAGAAATAAACATACCACACAGGAGGGGTGAGAAAATCTAATTTAAAAAATAAAAAATATAAATATCTATCTATACTAAATGCAATTAGACACAACCATTGAAAGATTTTATTTGTGATGGTGGTGGTTTGTGCTGTGCAATTTGTTTTGCAATTTGCACTTTGAAAATCATTTTTTGTTGCCTGTGATCCTTTTCTGGTACGCTATTTAGCGTTCCTGCCATTAGCTTAGCATTTGTGAGTTTAATACTTTTTTTTTAAAGAGACACAATAGGCAGGAAATAAGGGGACACTATAGACACCAAAGCCGCTATAGATTAATGTATTAATTATGGGGCAAATAGCCTTTTCCTGCTGGCTCAGCAGTGTAAACATTGAGGTTTCTGTGAAAATGCAGTATTTAAACTGCTGTCTAATGTCACTTCTAGTGGCTGTCACACGGGTAGTACTTGGTTCAGTGCTTGGTTCAGTGCTGCAAAGATTGCAGGTCAAGCTTTCAACGACTCCACACTATGTAATGTATGTATGAACACTCCCCATAGAGATGCATTAATTCAATGTATCTCTAAGAAGATGCTGTGGCGAAAGTAACCTCGCCACTGGTTTTTGGAGGGGCCTGTTTGCCAGCCTCATACCCTGTGACTATGGCCCCTGTGTTAAACCCTGATTAAAACCACTGTGTGTGTCTTTTTGGACTTGTATGGCCGCACTTCGAATTACTAAACAACTGCATGAACCAGAGACCACCCTGGAGCTTGTTAACACCTATTAAAAACTTGGAACGTTTCTCACAGAGTGTTCTAATTGTTCTTCTGGGTGGCCGCAACTCCTATGGACAACCATGAGGTGGCGGCCATCTTGTTCGCATGAACGCAGGCAGCGGTGTTTGGGCATGAATCTCATGGAACTAAAATCGGACACAGAAACTCCTGAACACCGCTGGACCTCCATCATCGCCTGCGTTCGTTTCTATACAAGTTAGAAGGGCACTGTTCTGTGAAATCATTCGTCTGGATGAGGGGAACAAGCTCCAGGGTAAGACTATTGACTCTGTTCGGTAGTTTGTTCGTTTTCAAACTACCGAACTAGACCGACCACAAGCCCTGATTCTCTGGAACTGTTTTGGGCATGGGACCATGCCTGCGGTCGGTCAAATAAATGACTTTCATAGAATTCCTGAACTGATCTGGGTGATTTTTGGATATGTTGGTCACCCAGATCAGAGCTATCGGGATGTGATGTGTTGTGGAGATATTATGTTATTTGGGGTACTTTTGGGACTTTATAGAAATGTGTTTTTTCTCTGCCTGGAGATAATTGGGTTAATACAGTAGCTGACTCCATTACCTCCCAGGCAGAGGGGAGGGATTGTATGCGATGTTTGGTAGTGTCGTGCACTGGAATATTGTTCTTATTGGTTTGTGAATATTGTAACTCCGTTCCCTGTGTGTGCGTACCCCTTGCATGGGGATTGTCATATAAGGCCAAGTGTGGCATCATTAAAATTAGTTCCTCTTCACCCTCAACATAGAGCCTCGTCTCATGTGTGGAGGGGACAGCTATATTCACTCTGGGGATTGCTATACTCATTATACTCCCCTGGGTTCTAATCACTAGCTCTTATAAGAGCTGTTCCTGCTATACTCTCCGGAGTAGGAGAGGTTCAACTACTGAAAGCTGGATACTGGTCTTGGGTCCAGGGTGGGTGGAGGACGGCGAGACCCCAGCCAAGCTGTGGCGGTTTGTGGGGTCTATGGTGCTGATGGTGTCAAGTGGAGTGCTTGGAGTCCTCGGTGAGCACTAGGAGCATCAATTTGATGGAGGCACCCAGTCGAGATGCCAGGTGGTCCGTCACAGATGCCAATTGAAGCAGTGCAGCAATTTGCTGCGCATGTGCACTAGCCCCCAATGCATTACGAAGAGGATACACTGGGTTGGCTGAGTGGTGAGGGAGAAAAATGCAGAGCTCTACTGAGTATGAGTGTGAGATGAGACCTGAAAGAAAGAGATGGAAAGTTATATGAAGGTATTTACACCTGGGGGGAGAATAGGAAAGAGGGGGAGGAGGTAGCTATGTGTTATCTCCACTGAGTATGAGATGAGGCCTGAGGGTTATTGGATTTGCTGCAGGATGTTAAATTTTTGTTCTTATCCCATAAACTTCTGTCTAGGCGAGATGTATGAATAAGTAGATAATCTCTCCCCCCCCCCCCGCCACAGTTCCATGATGTAAAACCTTCTGCTTTGTCATATTCAGGGGGCATACTTACAGTGTACTTTATACCAGTAATGTCTGTATTTATTGCTCTTCAATGGGGGGACTAAAGATGAAAATGAAAAATCACATTTTAATAGCTAATTAAAATTTGATTATTAATTGTGATGGGGTTTTTTTTGTTTTGTTTTTTTTTCTATTTATTAGACTCGTACTAGACCAGGAAGAGACCCGACTAAACACAAGTGTCTCATTCTAGTCTGTCTGTCAAGCAGCGGTTTATGGCATAAGTAGTTCAGTCTCCAGATGCAGTTTCACTTATCACATAGAATGACTGACTGTAACTGTTTAATAAGTTGTCTGTTCATAACCAGATTCTCAGTGACCCACCAACGCCAGACATCTCCATCCACACTGCTCACAATTGTGATGGATCTTAGACAGCAATGGAGGAAGTAGAATTTCTCCTTCAAAGACACTGGTCCAGAGGGCAGTCTTATAGCTGCAGTTGTAATCCACTATGGGAAGCCACAGGAACAAGAATATTCTTTTCACCATATCTTTTGCAATAAGGCAAAGTCTTTAAGGTGTTTAGAGTGACGCTTACGCATTACAGGCTGTGGCTAAATTGCTTTTCTGCCAGGGGGCAAGCATTGCACCCATGAGTAGCACATCTAAGGAAGGTGGTTTTTACCGTCTCCTGTAGCAGAAAGGCGGTTTGCTGGCAGAGTCTTAATACATTTTTTATGTCCGTATGTATCTTCCCTACCTGTTTTAACTATGTCTATGTGTTCCCAGGTCCTACTCACCAGTCTGTGCCCCCTACAGAGACCCACCCGCCTGGTTTTTACAGACGTTGCCAACTCTATCAGCGCCTAAAAGAGGATTCACTATTGAACAGTGAGACATTCAGAGCTTGGGTATCAGTGTCCCTGTGACTCACCATGCCAAAAAGAGGATTCACTTTTAAACAGTGTGACATACACAGAGCCTGGGTATCAGTGTCACTGTGACTCACCATGCTGGTTTGTGTCACTGTGCCCTGGACGATTTCCATGGAAGGAGGAGCCTCGGCAGACCCTGACATACAGCAATCTCATGCTGCCACTGCTAAGGGGCCAGTAATATTCTGAGCCTGTACAATGGACTCTGCACCATCACCTGTGCCACTCTCCATACAATTCCATTCAGAACCTTAGCATATTTACACACTGCCTAAATCCATTCCATTGACCCACCCATTGATTAACTGATTAATTTATGGGGTCTTCTGCTTATACAGTGTATTGCACTGAAACCCAAATACATGCTAGTCTACGACAATGTACAGTACTATACAAGGATACACTGCTTTTACTGAACATCGAAATACACTGTAAACACTCAGCCAGTACTGGTTTTAGTGTAGTAAACACAAGCCAATCTGCTCAAGCACTGATTAAAATACATTCCTAAGGCATGGGCTGCTCAGCCTGCAATATAAGGCTGAAGATAAAGGCACTTACCATTTAAAACCTTTTTGTAGCTGGTGCACACATAGGTTCTCCTGCTCACTTGTCCCTGAGTCAGCATCAGATATAAGGAATCTTGACACTAGGCTTCAGTGTAGTTTATTCAAGGTTCCAGCAAAGACAGCTGCCAACTCCAACAACCAGGTGTGTTTGTCCTTCTAAGATAAGGCTGGAGGGCATTATGGGAAATATAGTTAAGAAAAATCTGAGTTCCAAGGTTGTCAATCACTCTTTATGCCATGGCACTTATCACCAAGTCATGCAGTACACTGTAGATACACCACTGCTTGACCCACAACATCCTTTCGTTCACAGTGTGCTTGTTAAAGTCACTGACTCCCAGCTATCTGAATTAAGATGACATTGCTTGTCTACATAGACACCGGTGTGTTAACATGTATACACCTTGTAGACACTGCTCGGCATGTGTGCTAACATTCTGCACTAATACACAGCACTGTATATGGCTGTATATGCGATTGCTCAAGACTTCAAAGCTCTGCAGTGGAATGAATGTACTCCACTATACTTTAAAATGGCAACGATATAATTAACTGTGCCCTCAAATTACACCAATATACTTAAAACTGAAATTAATGTCACGATTAGCTGTACTGTGTGCTTACATGGTGCAATACAACCTACATTGTACCAGTATGTATTGCTGTACATTCACATACATTTTTCACACCACTCCTACATTAACAAACTACCCCCAATGCATTGCTATTATATGTTGCTGTTCATTAACTCCCTTTTCTCTGCAGTCTTCTGTGCAATTCACACAGGGCTGGGAATGTGTGGACTATTTATCAACATGCAACCCTGTTTGGCAGCAAAAACAGGGTTATTGTGCATGCATCATGGGGACCTCACCTGATAGACTTTTTGGTATTTACACTCCGATCCAACCCACTTAGACAAGTGTGTCCCACAGATCACATATTTAAAGGATCAGTCCACTTAAGAACTTCAGCTTGCTACATGTGCTTCTGTGTCTGCAGGCACAGTCCTATTTGTGACACTTTATAAAAGTGCCAATTTCAATAGTAATCCGCACTTCTATAAAACTTTGCAAAAATGTCGGATTGGCAGCTGGGGAGGTTTTTCCCGCTTACATTAGGTGAGCATAGCTAAAGGAAGTGGTTGGCACACAGGGCTAGCATGCACCTGTCTTCTCTCCTCATTGAGAAGTATAGGAAGCTTTGATTGCCTGTTCCCTTGCTGGTCCAGCACAGATGTTTCTTAATAGGAAGTCTCTGGCGTGTTCCCTGGCACAATCTAAACAGGTCTGCAGCTTTAGCAAGTTGTTGTTTTTTTTTTTGTTTTTGTTTTTTTCATATGCCCCAAAGAAAACATGCAGATAATATTTAAAATTGAATGGAGTGTTCTTTTAATGAATTGGACCTATGACGCTTCAAACCATTTTATTTAGGGTCCCACATACTGTCTACCAGCATTAGATGCCAAGAATCTGAGTGTGGATTGGAGAGGCTCCAGCTAGGTACTTAAGTGCAATTTAACCCTTTTTTTGCTGCAGGGTTGCATTGCTTACTCCTTCAGCATGAAGGAAATTAATTATTGACTACATGGCAGAGACTGTGCCCAAGAGAAGCAAGGGGCTATAAAAGGGTTGCACTGGCAGTGCCATGCTGCACTAATTATTGGCAGGCTAAAGATTTGATATGTATATATTTGATTTCTCCTGTGCTTCATTAAATTCCTCAAACCCACAAATCTTGAATCTCTGGCCTCATTACTTCACTAATTAACCCTTTATTACGTTTTTTTTTTTTTTCTCCTCTTGTTATACAAATGTATATTTTATTCTGAGAATGTTACTCATCAGCCCGTTTCATTAACCCCTTCTTTCCCCAGTGTGAAGTAAATGATGTTGGCTCCCAGGACACAGTAAGAATCATAAAAAAATACATTTCACTGTGGAAGAATGGCTTGCTTATAATGAGAGCAGGATTTTATGTCATTACCAAGAGTAGATAAAGGTTAATCTTTTATTTCGTGGCTACAGATGTGATTTGCTTTAGTTTGTATTTTCAATCTTCCAAATCCTTATAGAAGAGAAGATTAAGGGATTAATTTTAAGAAGGCTGGAGTGTAAAAATGCCAGTATTTTTCTAATTAGGCCTGTATTTACTAAGGGGTGAATTAGAGAAAATTACTTTGACTGGCAATTGTACTCTTGCAATTTTTTTGGGGGTGTATTTAGGTTGAATTGTAAAAGGGTCTGTACATAGGCTATGGTCCCATCTATGGTGCAAGTACCATGAGCTAGAGCAGCAGTTCCATTTAGGTTTTGTGGGTTGCTAAGTGCCTAACACGATTTCTCATACACCCCCTGGAGATGAGGTAGATGTGTGTGTAAGATATATGCTTGACGAACTCAAATTATTGGAAAAGATGTAGTTGACAAATTAATTTGAGAAACTGCAGGAACTTAAAATGGAATATATTTTGCTTATGTAATACATTAAAATCTTGAATACCCCTGTCCTTGATGTCTATTTAAGTATGGTAATCGTAACATCTATTAATAATGCTAGACATTCTAACAAATTAGTAGTTTTAACATTTCAGACAGCCTGGCCCTCTGCACACCTATCGCTAATAAGGACGTAGAACTTCTATCAATTTCATCTATATTTTAAAGGACGACTAAAAAGTCATCAAGACCACTTCATCTCATTGAAATAGTCTGAGTGCAATGGTCCTGTCCCTTTTTAACTCTGCAATGTACAACAAGGCAGTTTTTTAGAAGCTGCAGTGTTTACACTGCAGGGCTAAATCCACATTTAGTGGCTCTTCCTTACAGCCACAAGAGATGCTTCCGCAGCAATGACAAAGTAAAACCCGGTTGATGTGGAGGCTCCTAGGAAAGCATTGAGCACGATTATTTTCTCTGAGGAAGATTGGAATGCACCTTTTGGTGCTCACTGGACATGTGCATCAGGTTCTTAATGCTTCTCTATGAAAACTATTGAATTAGACCATCAAAGACGAAGCAATGACGACGCGGGAGGCAGATCGGTGAGGAGCATTTAGACGCATTGGCTCTAAAAAAGGTAAGTAAAACTTTTATTGGGGAAACATGTATAGAACTAGGAGCAGTAATATAGCATAAGGCTTTAGCGTTCCTTTAACCCCTTAAGGACCAAACTTCTGGAATAAAAGGAAATCATGACGTGTCCTTAAGGGGTTAAAGCCATTCAATAGCTGAACATTTCAGTCTACCTCTCCCAATCCATCTACTTATATCCTTTAGTTTACCTTTCTCAGCCAGTTCCTCATAATCTGTATGCTTGTTTCTTATTGCTCTCAAGCCATCTGTCTGCACGTCTAGTTAATACAGTTTGTTTATCTGTTTGGGGCCAATTAATCGAGATATATGGCTAGGAGGCAGTGTTATTGGGAGTATGGTTGATTGTAACAAATTGGGGAGATATTACTGGGGTGGCAATGATTTTGTATAGGGCCAACCATGTATACTATTGCTGTTTTATATACATAGTATACCTTTTTTCCCTTTTTTATTTGTTTTCCCTTGTTTGACAGTGATTAGATTGACTCTGCAATTGTGTATGAGCAATAGAGTTGTGAGTGATGTGAAGGTCATCCAAACAGATTTCGCATGATTTCCTTAACATGTAATAAGACCATCATATTCAGAATTTGCGCAAGGCATAGATTATATTTTTATTGCGGTATTGGCGTGTGAAGGCGCAATACTTTCTGGATTACACACTGCAATTATGCCTCTCCACGCCAGCTGTCTATCTTAAGGTATCCTAGATTAGTATCCTTCCACATTGTACGCTGCCGCAGATCCTGTTAATGATTTCTAAATAATTAATAAAATAGTTTGTCAATGGGAATCGTTCTACTGATGGAATACACAATGTTACCACTTGGTGGCACTTTGACCTCATATATTCCTTTAAGTCTATGCAGATACATTTAATGGTTACTTTGTTTCCCCTATCTAATGGCAGATATCACATTTTCCTCAAAAGTAACCAACATTCTTTACAGCATGATTCACTATGGTGCTGGAAACATATCTTAGGTGTGATTAAATCCACCTATTGGACCTTGACAGGTGATTTTAAGTAGCCTTGTAAGGTTTGAAACTATATTTTGTGTGTATTTTGTATAAATTTAGGTTTTTACAGCACTACCAATTTTAAGATATTTTCCAGGTGAGCCTGCAACCCCTCCTTTTATTTTTACTTTAAAAAACAAATGAAGCTATTAAAGTGGCCAGTGATTGTCCTTTTCTTTTGCAGTGGTTTGGATTTGGTGTAGGCTAGAGGAGATGCTGAATGAGTGAACAATTGAAAGATGGCATACTAATTATTATATGAGACAAGTGAAGCCCAAGGCAAACCCTCTATGACTAGTTAAGCATGCCTGATTTAAGTCACTCAAAACAGAGCCAGCTTAGGACTCTGCATAGCAAGTTAAAGTCCATTCTGTCTTCGAACACTGTCAAATTCATTACGCAGGGGTGGTGTGGTGAAAACGAGGGAAGAGACCACTGAGGGAGAAGGGGTGGGGGAGGAAAGACAACCAAGGGAGGGAGGGAGGGGGTGGAGGAAAAGACCACTAAGGTAGGGAGGGGTGGAGGAAAGACCACTAGGGTGGGGAGGTGGAGGAGAGACCACCAAGGATGAGGGGAGTGAGACCACTAGTGGAGGAGGGGGTACACTAATGAGGCTGGGGGAGAGTAGAGACCACTAAGAGGGGTAGGAGAGAGAGCACTAAGGGGTGGGGGGAGCACCAAGGGATGGGGGGAGGGTGGGAGAGAGCACTAGGAGACAGGAGGTGAGAGCTCTAAGGGACTGGAGGGGAGAGCACTACAGGAAAGGGGGCGGGAAGATCACTAAGGGACAGGAGGGGAGAGCTCCAAGGGACATGAGGGGAGAGAGGCTGAGGAAGGGGGGGGGGGGAAGAGAGGCACGAAGGGGCTGGTAGGACTCAGCCCTATCCTACCCCACACCACCCCACAAACTCTCTCTTTCATACTAAACATACCATGCTTCCCTACACACACAGAAACATACCATGCTTCCCTACACACACAGAAACACACCATGCTTCCCTTACACACAGAGAAACATACCATGCTTCCCTTACACACAGAGAAACATACCATGCATCCATTACACACACACACACACACACACACACACACACACTGCATCCCTTACATACACTAAAACACACCTTGCATCCCTTACACATACAAACGCAATTTACACAATGCATCCCTTAAACACAAGAAACACACAATACATCCCTTACACACAAACACACTGCATCCACTACACACACACACACACACACACACTGCATCACCTACACAAACTGGTATCCCTATACACTTCATTCAGGAGCTGGAACTGCTTCACGTTCCCCCAGAAAATTGAATTTTGTGACCACAGTTAAAAACAGGCGCCAGAGAGCCTGTTCTACAACAGACCAGTGGAGCCAGACTGCGGCCAGAGCCCATCATCATCCTCATATGGTTGTAAGTAGGCAATCTAGTATATTATTAGTGCCACTAATCTCTAATTTACTTAACATTAAAGGGACACTATAGTCCCTAGAACCACTGCAGCTTAATGAAGTGGTTCTGGTGTCTATAGAATGTCCCTGCAGGCCTTTTAATGTAAACACACACTGTGTGCAGCACTGGCGTTAGTTCATATGGCAGATCATATGCGTGGGGCATTGTGATGTCACATGGGGGGGGGGGGAGCGGCAAATTTTTCTTTTGCCTAGGGTGGCAAAAATCCTTGCACCGGCCCTACATTCCAGAGTGATTTGTGATTGTCCCAAATCACCTATGTTTATAGATCAGCTCTTTTGGCCTTACATATTTAATTCATTTGATTTTACCAGTGTTAATTTTGGTGTGAAGTTTCAATTTAGTTTTAGGTATAGTCTTTTGAATAAAAAAAAACATTTTAGTTTTAGTCGACTAAATCTTCAGTAGACTTTAGTCAAATACATTTCCAGTAGATTTCAGTTAACACGACTAAAATATAATGGGTTTAGTTAAAGCCTTTATCTGTCTCTTTTGCTCCTTCCACAGCCCCTCTGTGCAGTGTTAATTATGGAGGCAAATTTTACTTTAGTTTTAGTCATAGTATTTTGTCTAAAACTCCATTTTAGTGTCAGTCGTATTTTAGTCATCTACATTATTATTTTTTGAATAGTCTAGTTCAGAAAAAATGTAACCAATTAATATGTGACTAAAATTGTTACACTACTTTGTATGTTAATACTTGTTGCTTTAGATCCCCCAATATATTATTGTAAAAGGCTATAGAATATGTCAGTGCTATGCAAACATAGAAAGATAGGTGTGTGTGTGTGTGTGTATAGGTGTGTGTGTGTGTGTATGTATATGTATATGTGTGTGTGTGTGTGTGTATATATATATATATATATATATATATATATATCCGTGCGTAGCAAGAGATAGCTGTGTTTAAGAGAGTGCAGTGAGAGATAGATGTGTATGTTATAGTGTGCAGTGAGAGATAGCTGTGTATGTTAAAGTAGAGCAGAGAGAGATAGCTGTGCACCTGGTACTTCATCTGTTGAAGAACACTAATTATCCCAATCATTAAATGTGACAAATGTTGATGCCTCCTGTTGGTCTCTGACAAGATACCCAGATAATTAGTTGTCATTACACGTCATTAATTGCTGCTAGAGCACTTTAATAAAGAGCAGAGCTGAGCTGCCACAGTGCAGAGACGGGGTATGGTATTTAGGTCCATCCTCTGCACCAGTTTGCAAAATGATTTTTTTTTTTTTTTTTAAACTATGGCTGTGCTTTATGATAAAACAATGTGCTCACCAGCTACAGGCAATTAAAGAATTAGAGGGCAAACATCAACAGAAATCTAAAGAAATTGGTATTCTACAGAGGATATTTTCCACTAATAAAATGCAGGTGCTGTTACTGCTCCAAAACCACTGGTTTAATTTGTTATTGTAATCTAGAATAGCATTCTTCAGGCATCTAGAAGCAATATGTGCTATGTACCCTGTCTATCAAGTGATGGAGCTGTTTACCATTTCTATAGCAGAGAGCTATTTCTAAATGAAAATACTGAAGGCAAACAAAATAATGGAAACACTCTTCAATGACCATACCTAATACAGCCCACTGTCGTGGTTATGGAGCCAGAGGTGCCCTGGTGCCTTTCCACAGTAAGATGTCTTTACAGTTTGATAACATACCTGAGGCCCCTGGGCACACTAATCATCAGCCCATTCGTTATACACATGAATTTTTCTAAGCCATATGTCCGCTAGTTTAACCTGTTTAATTTCATGCTTCTCAATGAAAATCCACAAAGCTAATGATAATGAGATGATACCCGTTGAACTCATAATATAGCGCATAAGATAGGGTGTCACTCAGAATTGTTGCCTAATCTGCCATAACTGGCTCCTGCCATTTGATGATACTTTTCATGCAACTACGGTACCTTTAACGTATAAACTGTGTTTTATGCCTTGTTAAGCTAAACAATTACTGCTAAATGCTGAATGACCTGCAGGCTGTTGAGCCCTGCTTACATATGCAAACAAAAAATGTGAGATTAAGCATGACACTGTCAAACTCTTTTATATGTTGATATATGTTGATACACGCTGTTGTGGCGTTTGTGGAAACTTTGTACCTACCCGCACAACAACAAAAATTTTTTTTTTTTAAAAAAGCATTGCTGGTGGCGTTTAGATCTGAGTGCAGAAAACGCCTTGTATTCAAATTGAAGTATAGGGGAAAGTAACTGGTGATATAGGAATAACCAGACTGTACAACCGGTAGGGAGTCTCAGTCCTAAGGAGAGGAGGTCGATGGATGTCTAACTATCACCTGTATCTAAAATTACTCATTATGGATCACAACCAGAGGCCTCAATGAACCTCAATTACAGTTAATGTTAAGCTCGGTGACGGTTTGTGGTGTGCGTCTTTAAAAAGTCTTCCCTCAAATACTGTTTGTAAATGTTAACACCCCCCCACCTCTGATTCTATACCCCAACAACCTGAATGCAACAAAGGAGCGAAATGTATGAACATCATTAAAAAACCTATATATATAATATATATATATATATATATATATATCTTTTAAAACTTGTATCATAACCTTTGACCCCCCTAACGTTTTCCTTCTGTACTCCCCCACCCGCCAAACAAAAAAATCTTTAAAAATAAAGAATTTATAAAAAGTCTTCCCTCTACTCTCTGGCAGTTCATGGGTATTACCTCTTAGGAGTGTGTTGTGCTTTTTGTGGCTAGCTTTACCATTTATACCATTTTGTGTACTCCTGACACAGCTTATTTATTGACGTTCTCTGTCTATTGCTTATAATGACCCAACTTTGCTTGTAAATGGGTATTGACTTATCATGTTCCTCAGTCTATCACCTTGAAACCAACAAAGCAGCCAAACATGCTAAACTCTGTCTTGAGTAGTATTGGAGTCTATTTATATCCGAACACCAGGATAATTGGTCTGACATGTTGCCTGAAACCATGCAATGCATATCTCCAACGAGCACATACCATTCTTTGTATCATCCTTCTGATGCAGTTAAAGAACGGGCTATGTAGTTGTGGTTAGACCTCTTAGGAGTTACTGTGAGAGCATACTGTACGTTTACCAGTTATCCTATATCCTGTATTCCTGTTTGAGCTTGTTTATTGATCATTATATGTCTGCTGCCCATACTTGCCTCTGCAATGTTTGTCAACTCTCCTAACTTCAGCACTCCCTGGCTTTGGCTTATACCTTTGAACTTTATTTTGTTTACACTTATTTGGAGTGTCTTTGTATCTTTTAATGTCAATCACTTTAAGTTTGGTAATGTGTCTTTCTATAACTTGTCTATAATTGCAGTTACAGATCTGACATTGTTAGATTAGTCTGACCCTGGCACAAGGCACTCATTTATAGTCTTTGTAAGATCTAGGATCGTAGTGCAGAACTGGGGTTTTGTGCAGTTATTGCATCCAGATCATGTCACTTTTTGCTCTACTCCCTACTACTTGCCCTCTTATCTGCTTCACTATCCCCCTCTCCTTCCTCATCTTTACTCATTGAGTCTCATCAAACCCTTCTCCTACACTATTGCTCTTTCCTTGCTCTAACTCTCATGCTCCCTTCTTCCCTATCCATTTTACGCTGCTTTTTTAACTGTCCTTTCTGTCTTTCTTTTCCTTCTGTGATGATGTGGTTTGATCCTTCTCATAAAGTGTGGGTTTAGCCTAAGAAAACCTAGATGAAGGACAGCAAGGCAGATTACTGGTCCTTATGGAGGCCTGGTTTAAAAGAACACAAAGGGTGTAGCATCCTAATCGAAAATAAAGTTGCTATGGTGCCTTGAGGTCCTTGGCACTTTCTTGCCTTTAGGGTTTTAAACTGTTCGCAAATGGTTTAACTCTAAAGTCTGCTCTGCAGCACCATTTCTCTCTGTCTCCACCCATATCCACTTTCAGAATTCCTGCTAAAGTAAGTTTAGGACTACGGTTTGGCAATGGTGTCGCTGAATGGCTTAGAACGGTCAGCTGATGTTCTAAGCCAATTTGTAGCTCCCGATTTGTAAAAATGGCTTGAAAAAGGTATGTACAGAAACAGCAACCTGAACAGGGATAGGTACACTAATCAGCCACAACACTGACAGGTTAATTGATTATATTGTTACAATGACACCTGTCAAGGGGTGGGATATATTAGGCAACCAGTGAACACTCAGTTCTTTAATTTCAGGCATTGGAAGCAGGAAAAATGGGCAAGCGAAAAGATCTAAAGAACTTTGACATGGGCCAAATAGTGATGATTAAATAAGGGGGTGAGAGCATCTCCAAAATGGCAAGACATTTGGGGTGTTCCCGGTATGCAGTGCTTAGTACATACTATATATGATGCAAGGAAGGGCAACCAGTGAACTGGCGTAAGGGTCCTACATGCCCAAGGCTCATTAATACATGTTGGGAGCGAAGACAAGCCTGTTTGGTCCGATAACACAGAAGAACTACGGTAGCTCAGATTGCTGGAAAAACTTAATGCTGGCCATGGTAGAAAGGTGTCAGGACACAAAGTGCATTTTGCTATGTATGGGGCTGAGTAGCTGCAGACCGGGCATAGTGCCCACTATGACCCCTGTATACTGCTGAAAGTGCCTTCAATAAGTACAAAAGCCCCAGAACTGAACCATGGAGCAATAGAAAAAGGGTTGCCTGATCGGATGAATCACGTTTTCTTTTAGATCAGGTGGATGGCGAGGTGCATGTCCATCATTTACTCCGGGAAGAGAAACCAGTGGGATGTGCTGGAACAACAAATCTGAACCATGAAGGCCCCACCTCACAACTTGCAGGACTTAAAGGATCTACTACTAATGTCTTGATGCCAGATACCACAGGACACGTTCAGAGGTCTTGTGAAGTCTATGCCTCAATGCATTAGACCTGTTTTGGTAGCAAGAAGGGAACCTTGACGATATTAGGCAGGTGGTTTTAATGTTGTGGCTGATCAGTGTATAGTCAAGAGCCATGCCAAAGTTGATACACCATAAAACCACAGAGTCAGTAACACAGGCTAGGGTCACATAAACCAAAACAGGGTAAGTAGACCTAGTCACTCAACACCAAAACCATACTAATAAGCAGGTATGATCTAAAAGACTACACAAACTTAACTACAGAAAACAGCTTACCTTGGGATGCTGTACAGAATTTCTATTGGAATGGTGTTCGAGAACAGTTTGTCTGTCATTCAGTTCTCTTAAAAAACTAAAAAACTGTACTTAACATATTTACCAATTTATCATAACAGGAGCGGCAGAGTATTGAACTGTACAAGAGGCATGCCCTAACAGACCCTGACATCCTCTCATTCATCTACTCTCATTTCATCACTTTACTTTGTCATACTCTTCCTCCTTTGTTCTCCTTTATCACTCTGTGTCCTCCCTGTTCATTCTCACACACCATGCTTCACTATCTTTGTGTCCTCACTGCACCCTCTTAAATTGCTTCACTATCACTGTGTCCTCACTGCTCCCTCTCACACTGCTTCACTATCCGTGTCCTCACTGCTCCCTCTCACACTGCTTCACTATCTCACTGGGTCCTCACTGCTCCCTCTCACACTGCTACACTATCATTGTGTCCTCACTGCTCCCTCTCACACTGCTTCCCTATCACCGTGTCCTCATTGCTCCCTCTCACACTGCTTCACTATCACCGTGTCCTCACTGCTCCCTCTCACACTGCTTCACTATCACTGTGTCCTCACTGCTCCCTCTCACACTGCTTCACTATCACTGTGTCCTCGCTGCTCCCTCTCACACTGCTTCAGTATCACTGTGTCCTCGCTGCTCCCTCTCACACTGCTTCACTATCACTGTGTCCTCACTGCTCCCTCTCACACTGCTTCACTATCACTGTGTCCTCGCTGCTCCCTCTCACACAGCTTCAGTATCACTGTGTCCTCGCTGCTCCCTCTCACACTGCTTCACGATCACTGTGTCCTCACTGCTCCCTCTCACACTGCTTCACTATCACTGTGTCCTGACTGCTCCCTCTCACATTGCTTCACTATCAGTGTCCTCACTGTTCCCTCTCACACTGCTACACTATCAGTGTCCTCACTGTTCCCTCTCACACTGCTTCACTATCAGTGTCCTCACTGCTCCGTCTCACATTGCTTCACTATCAGTGTCCTCACTGTTCCCTCCCACACTGCTTCACTATCAGTATCCTCACTGCTCTCTCTCACACTGCTTCACTATCACTGTGTCCTCGCTGCTCCCTCTTACACTGCTTCACTATCACTGTTTCCTCACTGCTTCCTCTCACACTGCTTCACTATCACTGTGTCCTCATTGCTCCCTCTCACACTGCTTCACTATCACTGTGTCCCGGTTGCTCCCTCTCACACTACGTCTCCTTAGCAAATTTCTCCACCATGTCATCAAGCCTTAGCTTCAAATTTGCTTCATCAGAAGAATTTCTAACTACTCTTTTCATTGGGCTCTGAGATAGTGAATTTATGTTTGGAGAAGGATGACTACTGAAATGTAATAGACTATTAAGGTCAGTTGGCTTATTGAACAAATGGTAGAGAAAATGGAGTTATGGAATCTGATATTAGAATTCTAAAACTTGATCTCTTCAGGACGCCACTGGATAGTATATTGAATATGTTCCTCTACCTCATTCATGTGATTCAGGAATCTCTGCAGATCCTCTATGGAGCACCTTCAAAAGTATCCATGTACAAATTGCCATATACTACAACTACAGTACTTTGTGAGTACTAGGCAGTGACTAGGAAGCAATAAGTAAACTAAAAAGAAAATTAAAATACATTATGATTATAAAATTTAATAATTGAAAGAAAAAAAACTTGAACATTTACATCAGGGTTGCTTTAAAGGACCACTATAGGCACCCAGACCACTTCAGCTTAATGAAGTGGTCTGGGTGCCAGGTCCAGCTAGGGTTAACCCTTTTTTCTATAAACATAGCAGTTTCAGAGAAGCTGCTATGTTTACCTATGGGTTAATCC